ACGCCCCCCCGCCCCCCCCCCCCCCGCCCCGCCCCCGCCCCCCCCCCCCGCCCCCCCCCCCCCCCCCCCCCCCCCCCCCCCCCCCCCCCCCCCCGCGTACCATCGATATCACCAACAAAGCATCTGGGATTCCCAGCTTCTTAATGGCATACCTAGCATAAAGTCTAACGGTGACGGCGAGAAGACCAATGATTCCAGCGAGATAAACAACAACTTTGGGAATAACATGATTCCCAATATCTCCCGCCGGAGCAGCAGGATGTCCATGCGTATCGTAGTCCATCGTCTTGGAATAGTACAATTACTAATTATAGGCGTACTAATCTTGCGTCGAGCCGAAGGTGTAATATCTGTAACAGTTTCGCGATGATGTATGATGGCAAAAATAAGGAGTGGGTTTCAAGATGAAATTAGAATTAATCATGAATTACCAAAGGAAATTGAAGTATCTAAGGGAAAGGGAAAGCGATCTGGGGAATCAGCCCGATACGCATTGTAATATAGCGTTCCACTCAAGGGAGGGCAGAAAAACATTGAAGATCTAGAGCTGTTGTAAAAATTAATACCCTTGAACCGGAGGTTAGTGCCTTACACAAGAGATAGAGTCTTCATATGCGCGTCTGATTGGCGTTCCCTAGCTTACCAGTTTACCCATATTTGCCCTCTCTTGCGGCGTTTCGCAATTCCTAGATAGTCCAATTACCACTTGACGGAATGACAGGAAAGGTTTCTTGAACATGTACATTGAGGAATCACAATGTCTCTAAGTATTATCTATCACAGTTGCCTAGAGTACGAATCTTAGCTCACTGGCGCGCGAAAATCAGCGTAAACCTTTAGTCAGCTCTTCGGTGAAAGCCTGAAACTCCAAGCAAGGATGTCGTTGCTAACTCGGCAAATGTGAGGAAGGGATGACGGGTTGTGCGTGGCTTCGATATCCAGCGCCCTATCAAAACTAGGGATAATTTTGTTGGGATGGACAAACCAACAGACCGTGCAAGTATCCAAAATAATATGGGGAGAGCCGAAGAGCGAACAGGATCTCTCAACTATGGAATCCTTGACGTCCCTTCCGTATTTGCGGGCATTATGCTCCCTGAGGAAATCTGTTATTGCTTCTAAAGCTTTAGCATCGGAAACATACATGAAGGATTTGCAGCTTCACCATTACCTGAGTAATATAGGGAGGATGAATGCTATATATCTACCTAACAAACCAACATCCATCTATTGTTGATCGATATGTACTCACACCTAAAGCTCATCAAAACATGAAGAAAGGATATGTGACAGGTAGGTAGTACGTCGAACACGTATACGGTAATATCATTTCCTAGACATTCTGATTGGATCGATGCCTATGTAGTGATCGTGCCGCCACATGGCCACGGGTCAAAATACACCAGCTGAAGAAATTTATGTATTTGGAACCCAGACTTCAGCGAAATGCAAGGGGAACAAACATTTGATCTCCCCTGGCAATTAATTTGAGATCTTTGAACTAACAATGCAGGGCAGATCCTGACTTACCACGAGATGCGCAGGGGTAAAAGTAGGGACGGTTACATCCCCGATCCACGGGATGTGCCTGCACTCCTCGTGCAAACTTAAGCGAGAGATCTACAAGATCAAACTACGTTAAACATGCGAGATATAGATTCTTAATACTGGAAACACTTCCTGTTTTTGGAAATGGCGGCTCTCGCTAAACAAAACACGTAGGCGACCCACGTAGGCCAATATGCCCATTAAAGGGAGTATCGTATGTAGATTTAGTTACACCAGCCTAACACTTTGTGTGTGTAAAGATCCAACATGTAAAATTGCTGACAGTTACTCAACGTTTATCGTGGGTGACGGACGTTGCATGATCCAGAATTGATAATCACATCAACGTCTGCCTTTCTTTCAAGTACTTCTACTTCCTGCCTCTGTGTCCCACGTAACGGTCCAGCTTATTCTTCCTCAAGAACTTATCCAAAAGACCCGCGACCTTGTCATTATCCATGTCCATAAACGCGATATGCGTGCTACCTTTGAGCCCCGCGTCCTTCCCTAGCAAGAGCACTTCCGCATTGCCTCCATACATGTTGATGATCTTAGCAGAGAGCCTCGCTTGCGCGAGGAAAATGAAATTCTCTGAGCGGTGATCGCTGAAGATGTACTGGATAGCAGGTAGTTTAGCGAGCTTTTTAAATTGCTCGAGCGGGACGATAAGTGGTCCGAAGGGCTGGCTAGCGGTGATGTTGAGGTTGTCGGGGAAAATGTAGCCGAAGCTCTCGTATGCCACGATCGCTTTGGTATTGGTCGTGTTACTCAGCGCCACCGCCAGCTGCGCACGCAATCCTGCTGCCGAGTTGGTCAGGTACACGATGCTGTCGCCGATTTTGTAGGAGTCGGCGGCAACTGCCGCAGCATTCGCTTGTAGGTAAATGTTAGCGTTTGTGTCATATTCGACATAACGAGCGCTGGTCGTCTGTTGCCAAGCAGTCTCGTTAGAAGCCGGAAACTGCGTGTCATTCCAGAAGTTGGGATACGACGGGCCGAAATTCCACGCGACGAAGTTTCCCTGATCTCTGTAGTCGGGTATGTAGAAAGTCGGCTCGCATGCCCAATTAGCACGCCCTAGCCGTGGTGCATCCCAAAGGTAGACAGGGTAATTTCGTCTTAGAAACATATCCTTGAAGCCTTCGCCCCCGTCAAATCGGTTCTGCCAAGTCTGTGTGCTGGAGCTGTGCCACATAACGAGACTCGTCTTCCGTGGTTTCCAAGGAATGAAATATTCCATGTAGCCATGATCACAAGAGAGTGTCATGTTAGGATTTCTAGGGTTTCGTATGACCTTGCCAGCGATATTGAACCCGCCAGAACGGTCGAGCATTATAGGTCGCCTCTTCACATTTTGCTCGTCGCAACGTACACCACTCGCAAATAGCGCAAGCAAGGTAATGATGCACTTGATAACCACTGAAGCCATCTCTAATACGGGCAGTGAAGAACGTGAGCTGGGCCGTCAATTTTGATAAAGACACGATTCTCATATCAAATTGGAACGGACGGCTTTACCCCTCTTAAGCTGATTCAAGAGGGGCAGACCTATATGATGTGCCGTCCCGCCTGTAGGATACTCCCGGATTCTTGGGCCTGATTAATTAGCTTTTCCTGAATTCATTTGTAGTTGAGCTGGAAAAATGAACTGATTTTCGCCATTCAGCCGAAAGGCACCCCAGCAGTCGGAGATGTTAACCCAGATCCAAGGACTGATTCCATATCTAGGTCTTGGTAATTACTTACTGAATCTACGTCAGCTCTCAAAATCAAGGGAAAATAGGTTGTATTGAAGCCTCCAAGACTGGGGACTTTGATTATTGAACGTCGGAGTCCCTCAAGCATAGCGCCATCTCATGTGCTACACCCGTGTATGCATACGTTTGTCGCGGTCGCAGCTTGAATCAGTTTCAGAGGCCCGATTATCATAAGAGTATCTCACGATCTGATTGAAAGAGATCAACATTATTATACAAGTACCTCTTGTACTGAAATAAATTTTTATGATACTTGGTGCTGCTAAGCGAAGGACACGATCGCTTGTAGCTTCGCGATGAGGTCAATTCGATATATTCGGTAATAATTCCACACCTAGCATGACGAAGATATATCTCTTGAGGCGTCTGAACCTTCGTCGTTGCTGTTTTCAGAGGATGATTCACGGTCTACGCGCTCCACAAAGGTAACCCTGAATTCTAAAGCTTTAGGTTCCGTTTGACCCTCAAGTATCTTTCTATCATTAATCCACTGAAAAAGGCAGCTTCCGCACGCTGATCTGACGCCAAAAACATTCAACTCGATCAGATCGATAGCACCAAGGTGCTCATCATACAATACGTCGAACGTGAGCCCTTGCTTCATTAACAAGCTGTCCATCTCATCCTCAGGATCTAGTTCTGCTGCGATTTGCACCTTTATTTCTTCGGCGCCTTCGACAATCCTCTCAACTATTGCTCTACGTTCTTTGTCGGGTTCAAGATAGAAACGCCATTGCTGATACCATCTGTACTGACTGATTGCAGAAATGCGCAGCGAATCTACTGAACTGAAAGCCGGACAGAAGACGCGATATTCTCTTTCGCCTCGCATACGGTCATTCCATGGCATGAAGAAAACCTCAAAAACCTGGGCGCCATCATCAAGGGCGTTAATCATGGTGTTCCGTGCACGATACGATGTCAACAGGAGCAGCAGCGCCTCGTTCACAGAGCGCAGCGGAGAGTTCTCAAATGTCTTCTGCATGCCGTCTTTGGCGGAACAGGCGTCGAATCTCATGAACAGCCCTTCTTGGGGGAATTCGATTGCCAAGAATGATGGCACAATCTCTTCGTCAATTTCCTCTCGATAGATTCGATTGATTGAGCCTAGCGGTATGGATGCCTCGGCCACGCGGAGGAGCAACCGAGTCTGTGGCTGCGAGAGCGTGACAATTTGGGCGTCGGATGGTGCAAGCCTACGTGAGCGTAGAATGAGAGGAAGCCATCGCTTGAAGGAGTACGGCTTCTCTGAGGGTCTGGCGAGAAGGTCAGGCGCTTCGTGTTCAGTGTGGAATGCCGTGTTGAATCGCGCTTTCGTGGAGTCAATGCCATGTGCACGTGATGGGTTAGTTTGTTCGATATCCGCCAAAACTTCAAAGTGATCTATATTGACTAGGCTAACTGTCATCATGAGAGAGCGAGTGCAATTGAGTGTATGATTTCGAGTTGATCCTTATGTCCTCGTTGACTTGAGGAGAGGAGTCGATATTCTGTAGCTTTACGATGGGTGCAAGGAATAGTTCAGCCACGTGGTTTATGTAGGATTTCTTGAGGGAAAACTGCGAGAGAGACTTCAAGGTTGTCATCGACATTGCTATTCACCATACTCACTTTGCTGATCACATTGTTGTGTTGTCGTCCATGGGTGAAAAGCCAGTGAATACCTACATATGTACGTCGTAGCTACCTGTATTGTGTAACTGCGTAGGTAGGTATGGGCATAGTACTTGCCTACTACTTGTTACAGCAAGACCAGTGCTTCAGCGCAGCCTAAGCCACGCAATACCACTGGATCTCAGTGAAGGCCACACGCTAGAGCGCCCCCGCCAGCTACACCTAACATCTGCATCTTCATCTATCTATCAATCAATTCACTGACTTCGGCTTATGGACAGCACCGTAAACCTCTGCCCTAAGGTACTTCGTTCAGGTTGCATAACAAATGATGTTGGTGGTACTTGCAATTGAAGATATTCACAACGTATTGGTCTGCTGTGGCTGCTGCCAAGATCGATGCCGTCTATTTGGGCCGCCCTTCCTGGCCTTGGCAGCTGGCCTTGACTCTATATACAATTGGACCGACCTTCTTAACCTCCGAGATCTCCCACATTTCTCATAAAAGAGAGGACTGAATAGCCTCACTCTTGAATACGAAGAACATGCCCTGTTCCTATTAGGCAACAACCGAAGGCCGCGGGCAACGTATATAACACTGCCTACTTAGTTCCCGGTATGATAAAAAGTGATAAATGTACTACTTAGGTTAACTATGTATTTGAGGACCAATTTCCTTTGCTGCGCAGGATTCAGCTAACCTAGTTGGGCCCCTTATTGCCCCTTGTTCAAACCGACTACCTAAGTACGAAGTAGGCAATCAGGAGCGTGATGCTTGTTCAACCCCAATCAGGCTGTGGTTCTCGGTTGCTACCCACACTGAGACCGAATGGATGCATGATCTGCAAGTGGGTTGCGATGACATACTGCAACAGCTAGGCCAAGTCCAACCATGGCGGTTTTGTAGTATATCTCAACTTCACCCGTGGCCAGTCATCAGTGTCTGGGTATATTGCTCATAGCTCTGTGCTCTATATCGATATCCGCGTGCAACAGCTTCTGAAATAACCGTCCAAGTCAATTCCCAAACCCCCTTCATGGCTGGGCTTGATGATCTTCCCCCGGGCACGCCGGCTAGCGCACCGCCCCCCGGGGTAGCCCCGGATTATGTTGACCCTACATTCATGGGCCCGTCGTTCGTGGCTCTGGGGATATTCTTGTCACTATCGCTTCTTGCCGTTTTCGTCAGGATTTTCGTCCGCTTTCGCATCACCAAGGCCTGGGGCTGGGATGACTGTAAGTTTTGTGTCGGGTCGTGATATCCCATCGCTGATACAAACCATCTGCTAGACACATGTATTAAAGCTGCTGTATAGCTCTTACAACCCGTCCGGGCGATGCAGCTAACTGTTGATGTAGATTGGATCAGTGATCTATGCGATCTTATACGTCAAAGGTACAGGATTCAACTAGTGAACCAAGACGGCCAAACCTAACCTGCTACAACAGTCAGCACGGAATATCCGGTAAGGCATATATGGGAGATCACACTTTCATCTTATGCTAGCGCAATCGAGACTCAAGTACGTATCGCTTGCACCCAGAGGGCGAAATCTTGCTTATGCTATTCAGACATTATCAGTAAACGGAATCGTATACCAGATCACAATCTTCTTCACCAAGCTTTCTATTCTGCTTCTTTATCTGAGGATCTTCAGTGTCAATCAAGCATTTACCCGCGTTACAATCGCCAGCATTGTTGTTCTAACTCTTTTATATGTTCCACTGGCCGGTCTCGCAATCGGTTTCCTCGCCGCCTGCAATGACCTGACAAACCTTCTTGAATCCCCTTTTTGCAAACACTATAGCAGTCCGACCTTGGCTTTTAGCGCAATCTTCAATGTTGTTACTGATCTCTGGCTCCTATTATTACCATTCCCGCTTCTCATAAAGCTGCAAATGCAACCTCGACAAAAACTAGGTCTTGCTGCTGTTTTTGCTGCCGGTGTAGGGTAAGTTGGCCATGAGTGACCGGAGTCATCTGGTCGATCTTGCCTTGCTAATTCGATCTATCTCAGAGCTTGTGCTGCTAGTGTCGCACGACTGGCAGAAATTATCATTCACCGTAACAGTTCAGACCCAACCTGGAGCCACGGTATAATTGCTGAATTCAGGTCTGTCTCTCTGCAATGCTAAATCAATTAGGATATACTAAAGATTATGAAGTTTCGCCGAAATCAATATCGGTATCATTGTTGCTTGCTCTTCCGTTTTCCCCGCCTTTTTCAGCCGAGTGAAAGGCGCGTTGAGGCACGCTCCCGATGAGTCGAAACACACCCAACTGCCTGATTCAGAACCAGATGCCAGCCAGACTACATGAAGAAACTCAGAGTCGCCAGTTCTATAAAACAAAGGAAGAAAGGAAAAACACGCAAAAACACTCACAAAGTTTTCATCAGAGGATATGACAGCGCCATTGGCATTTCCGAAAGAATACACCGTTGTACGTGGGATGCGACAAAGATGGTATCTAGAACCTCTCGCTAGGTACCATACCCGAGTAACTTGAATACTGGTAATTGGAAGGGATGTGTGAGATGATAACAATTGAATATAATAGCCGCCGATCATATACTGCGACTGGCGAGAATGTCATGTTCCACAGACTGAAGAACACAAAACTGAAAGTTGAAATAGGGGTATTGTGACCACTGAGGACTGAGGACATAATGACTCATAAAGCGCTCAAAGCAGCGGAGATGATAACATCTCTATAACGCGCGCGCGCTGGAGGACATCGTTCTCGCAACTTCACTTCGACGACAGATAATCCTCAGTCCAGACTTGGGCCGGGAACTAGAATTAGCTCTGCTTCATTTCTATAGATGCCATAGAACCCAATAGAGTTTATGCTGAGTGTCAACATATCTATATTCGCTATTATCTAGCCCGAAAATGGGAATGTTCACTTAATAAACTTCGATCTTTAGAGAAATCCATCTCCTTTATACAAGCTCCTTGCGAAGCATCGAGCTTCCCGTCGGCCATTCTTTGCCAGTCTCATCTACATCGATCCAGGCTACTTTCCGCTGAGCATAGACCTTATAGCCGTGTCGCGTATACCAATCTTCATTGGTGACCTGCGGACCATGTGTCAGTCGGAAAAAGCCAAGCCAAGCCAGCAAAGATAAATCAAAGAAAAAAAATCAAAAAGAAGATTGCAAAAGATGTGAAACCTACAGCTAGTATCGGCCGCTTCAGAGCAATTCGTCGTGGACTATCTGGTACGCACTCCGAGTTGGCGATGGTTTCCAAGGTGATAGCCTTGGCGCCGAAGTCTTCCTTGGCCATTCTATGCGCACATCAACACATTACTCTTTCCACTCTGTGACAATCGTCTTGACTCACTTCTCGCAATACGCCATTGCGGCGCCCCCGAGGCCGCGGTTCTGCAGCGCCGAGGAGATGTAGAAGTTCATGAGCGAGAGGATCCCGTCGGCGAGACTAGTCTGCAGCTCTGGCTCAGGGGTCACCGAGTCGAGCGCGATATGGCCAACGGGATGGAAGCGTGGCACGAGGGGATCCGGTTTATGAGGCCGGCCTAGAATCGTCTTGCATGTGTCTGGGAGAGCTTGCGCCTCGCTGGGATAGGCTGCAAGGTGGCTTTTAAGCCGTGAGGGGCTTTCGGGATGGTCTGGGTGGAGGACCTGGGATAATGTTAGAAGCACGACGGCGATAGTCCAAGCTTGGCGCTTCGATTCGAGGCCGTCAATGCGTGCGACTACTTACCACCCAATGCAGACCCGATTGCCCTTTTCTCTGTGTTTCTCTCCAGCCGTCTACTTGGTCAACCTTCCATCCACAGGCGATTCGCTGCAACTTCATCCGATCAACATGTTCTTGCGAGTCGGGATCCCAGGGAATCAAGTAGACGGGAACAGGACCCCTGGCAGACTTTTCGGTGCCGTCTTGCGTAGTCATCATGAGATTCAATTGATCAATGATTCAAGAATAAGTGACTTCTTTCTAAAGACCCGGTGTATCATATGTATTGAAATTATGTTATATATACCCTATTCATTCTAATTCTCCCCTACTCATTTTAGTACACTCATGTGTTGACTTGAATCCACTTTCGGCCTCTTCGTAGAGTCACCTAGCGACTTTCCTCGGACAGACTGGGGGATATCGCTGTTGGTGGGTTGTATATCTCTGATATTACCTAATCAAATGAGTCACGCCGATGGTTGTCCATGGGTGTCACGTATAGCTACTATGCTGTAGCTAGGTGGATGGCAATGTCGTTGGTAGTAGGGATAGAATAGTTGGGGGCCATTCCCATGGAAAAGTGCAGTAGAAAGGAGGGATATTCTCCAATGGTCTTATATCTTCCCTGAATGGCATGTATCGCGCATTTTGCATGGATTTATCTCATTTATTGATTTATCGCATTTAGTGTTGAATTCAGTTCAAATATGTTCAGATATCCCCCCAGTGTCTCGAGGAGATGTCTTCAATACATTCCTAGGTTGTACCGAAGGCGCCAAAATATGAACCATCACGTGATAAATTGTACTTCACCTTACTTCTCAATTATCTTAATGTGATTGTATATCGTTTCAGAAAGCCCAGTAATCTATGCTCAGTGCAGAGTTATTAGCGCGCCGGCGCTAGACACTTTTGAGGGAGATTGTCGTCGTCCATTAAAAACTCCACTAGTCAAAATGTTGTTTGCATAACGCAAGGCTGCTGCAAACCCTCAAAGATCTGAGAGACAACATTAGTGTCAAAAAAGAACATGATGAGTGAAATGAGTGAGTGAGTGAGAAGCAGTGTAATTGAAATTCAAGACTCGGGGCCTGTGAGCTATACCTAGGTAGTCGTCATAGCCATGCACCCTAAGAACATCGACATTGCACGTTGACATACTTTGATTTGTGTTCTTGTAGCTCACGTAACACGGAAGAAGCGCTGATGGTGCTGAAGTGAGAAGCTTGCAACGGCCATTGGAGGTACTTATTCATTTCGATATAAATCCATGAGGCTTGATAGAGAACTCAACCATCCTTCATAAGCTCTAAACAATCAATCGTCCAAGCCACCCCACTCCTCATCCATGCTCTTTTGGTCTTGGGTATCATCATTAGGTCCCTCTAGCTTTCTTTTTTTACTACTAGCGATAGCCTCACGCCGGTTATTTTCCTTCCGCCTCTCCCATGCGCTCTTGGTGGTGATCTTGTTCGCATTGCCACGTCGCGACTCGATACCACGTTGCTTGAGCTTCTTCTTCTCCTCTTTACTGATCTTAGGTAGTGACTCGAGAAGCCACTTGGGGACTCCGCCATCATCGGTCTTACCAGCTTGCTTCTCGCTTTGGGAGATAACATTTGCGATGCTCTTCAGATAAGGGATGTCGTCGTTGGTGTAGAATGTGCATGCGATGCCTGGCTGTCCTGCTCGTCCCGTCCGTCCAACTCGATGAACATAGGCAGCCGCAGAAGTGGGCACATCATAGTTTACGACTCCGGACACACCCCTGAAATCTAAACCTCTCATGAGCAGGTCCGTGGTTACCAAAGCCCAAATCTCGCCAGACCGGAACCTGCGTACGATATCCGAGCGAGCGGAGTCAGAGAGTGAAGAGTGAAGCGCAGCTATACGAGAAGGTCCACCTGCTTCGACAGGGAAATCGAATTTGAGCTCATTATGAAGAGCTGTAGCACGTTCGATGGTCTGCGTAAATACGAGGATCGGAAGGTTCATATCTGGTACTGAGGCACTCGATGACTGGGGATGAAGGATTTGTCGTAAAGCGAAGAGTTTTCCTTGCTCGGTGGCACAATAGACTAGTTTGTGGCCGATACTCGGGACAGCCGTATCCTTCAACCCTACGACAAGACGTACAAGAGGGACTACGCGATTATCCCTGTCACGCTTGCTCAATTGATTCGATATCAATTCTTCAATATGTGCTCCCATTGTTGCCGAGAAACACCTCAACCGCAGAGAAGGATTAATACAAGCCGACCAGATTTGTAGAGTTTGCTCTAGGAACCGCTGTTCCAGTAGAACATCCCCCTCATCGAGGATCAATGATCGAACGGTCGGCAGCGTCCGTGACTTTAAAAAGTTTCCTAGTAACAAGGGCGTAGTGATAAGAATATCAGCTCTTGTAAGAGTTGTCTCCTTTGCTTGATCATTCTCATCGGAGTCGCTACCATCGGAGCTATCGCTGCTTTCTTCGCTTTCCGAGTTGGAAACCTCATTGTCTTCACTCTCCATCCGACCCTCGGCTGGTAACCTCATACCTCGCTTCATCATGACAATCTTGACTCCCGTATTTTTCGTCAATTTCCGGCCCTCGTTAGTAATCTGCTCAGCTAACTCTCTTGTAGGTACCACGACGATGGTTTCCAGAACCCGGTCTTTTGTAACCTCAGCCCTTCGTCGTAAAACATCGTTGATGGCAGGGATCAAGAAGGCCAAGGTCTTCCCGCTTCCCGTAGGTGCTACAGCAAGAAAGTGGATGCCATCTTCCGGTTCTATGCCTAACTCAGCGGCAGCTGTGGTAGATATGGCCCTCCCCGGTCGGATTAGAGCGGGAAGAGAGCCCAGTTGCACCTCTGTAGGTATCCGATAGCCTTGGTCGGCTAAATTATCTTCCAATCGAGGCGATAGTTTCCAAGTGGCGCGGAGTTGTGTGAAGGAGACTAGGGGTTGAGGAAAGAGAGCCTTTTTCGCGTCCTTTGCTTTCACCGTCGAAACATCCTTCTTCTTTTTCTTAGATTTTGTAATTTTTGCCTTCCGATCCTCATGGTGGGAGAGTAGGGTAAACTTGAGACGATGCGATCGTAAGACTTGCCGAACTTCATCGTCATCGAGGAGCGAGGGCTCGGTCTTGGGTATATCCTTAGGCTGTTCCTCAGTTACGGTTGGTTGAGCCGTAGGCTTGGATTGTTTGGGTTCGCGGGAGGCGAAGAAGTCTAGAGATGAGTCTTCAGCGTCGTCGTGGGCTCTGCCGAATTGAAGGTCCTGATCGTCTCGTTTGCGCTTGATTCCCTTGTCGTGATACAGCTGGGGATTCTGCACCCTGGGAGCAGGTTTGAATTCAAATGCTTGGCTAGAAGACGTCTTTTTTGCGCCACGGGACAAAATCTTGAGAACATCCATGATGGATCGACCTGCTGGACTAAGCACCTCATACCCCAGCGCGAAGGGCCTTGTTACCTTTGGCGCTGTAGAGTGGGAACCCAAGAATCACCATATGTTCTGAGACGGAGTGAAGCAATACAAAAAAATACCGAGCTAATGAAGCTGACGATAAGATAAGTAACGTAACAGTGGTAGCACCTTACCGACAGCGGGCATGTGCCCCGCAGTCATGTATCTAACTTGGTTCGAGTACGCCGATTACTATGCTAACGTGCGTATGACAGAGGTAGCTCTACCAAGCTCGGTACTTTTATTGCACCATTAAGGACATATGTAAGCCGCCCTCGCCGCCCTGTGCAAGGTACCTCCAGGAAGGTTCCGCCCGTAGGCAGATCCGGGTTTCGTCACGTCGAGCTCTCACAGCCGCCCATCCACCATTACCTACCTTAGGTACCTGAGGCTGCAGCTGTGCATTTACAATCAAATCTACATTTCCTAAAGCAGCCATCTGAGTTAATCTCGCCAACTCAATTCGCATACCTCCAACTCACCTAGCTACGCTCCATCAGTTCCGACTCTCATCTGATCTTCCTGGACCTTCCTTCTGCCATCTTCGTTGGTGCTCCGGAGCCCATCCCCGTCATATTACGACATTATCTGCCCAAGCGACACGCCACCGGTCTGCCAACATGGATCGGTTGAACCGCATGCTCGCGGGTGCCACAGGCATGGGCGGTCTTGGAGCGACGCCTGGAGCGGTATGTGATTGCCCTCACCACCTTGTTCAATCTAGGCGGCCACCCATCCTTCAGTGCGCTAACAAGTGGCATGTTATCAGGATAACCAAAACTTGATAGACAACTCCGAGACGGTGTATATCTCCTCCCTAGCGCTGCTGAAGATGTTAAGGCATGGCCGAGCTGGTGTTCCCATGGAAGTAATGGGTTTGATGCTGGGCGAGTTCGTCGACGACTTCACTGTCCGCGTGGTGGATGTTTTTGCCATGCCTCAGAGTGGCACTGGTGTCAGTGTCGAGGCTGTAGACCCTGTTTTCCAGCAGAAGATGATGGATATGTTAACACAGACTGGAAGGTAAAGGAGATGTGGTTTTCCCTTAGTTCATTCAATTCTAACCAAGACCTCCAGACCCGAATCAGTCGTGGGCTGGTATCACTCCCATCCCGGCTTTGGCTGCTGGCTATCCTCCGTCGATATCAACACTCAGCAATCCTTCGAACAGTTGACACCTCGCGCTGTTGCCGTCGTCGTCGATCCCATACAGTCAGTGAAGGGGAAGGTCGTTATTGATGCCTTCCGACTCATCAACCCACAGTCTCTGATGCTTGGTCAGGAGCCGAGACAAAGTACATCCAACTTGGGTCATCTAAACAAGCCTTCCATACAAGCCCTTATCCATGGTCTTAACCGTCATTACTATTCTATTGGAATTAATTATCGGAAGACTGCCTTGGAGGAGAATATGCTTATGAACCTTCATAAGCATGTTTGGACCGAGGCGTTAGAGATGGAGGACTTCCGACACGAAGGCGACCGGAATAAGGACCACTTCAAGAGACTGGTCACTCTAGCCGAGGGATACGAGAAGAGAGTCAAGGAGGAGACTGAGTTGACTAAGGAGCAGCTCAAGACTCGCTACGTTGGCAAACTCGACCCGAAGAAGCACTTGGAAGACGTTGGTCAACAGCTTATTGAGGACAACATAGTGTCTGTATCCCGCCAGATGATTGACAAAGAAGCCACCATGCCGAAAAGGGACGCCGTTTCCAATGGCCAAGCCAATGGGGAGCATATGGATAAGGATGAGGAGCTGTGAGTGTACAGAGTTTGGGGTAATCCAATCATGTTCTTCGACCAGTAGCTATGTATCATAGGCGTTGGAACATGCAGAGAACGGGCTAGCGGCTTCGGGTCTGAAACACAATAATCATGCTTTGAAGCTAAGTTATACATCGGGCCATCCTCTGCATGTGGATATACTCGTATTGGGCTCTTGAGTAAGGCGCATCAAGCAAGCTCTTTCGCAGGATCTATTGGTTTCTCGCAGATTCATACAATACCCATTGTGTGACAAGGAGTTCATTGTGAATGTCTTGCTATTTCAAAGAACATGTTGGACCCTGGAACGATTGAGATATGGTCTGCTAGAACTAATAGACAAAGAAGCATCTCATACAAGTATATGTCTTCCTGCTTCTACAGCCTGCTTTCTTGCCAAGCGAGTCGTCATATTAATCATATTTATAACTTGAAAAGCACCCTATGCTAGGAGACACTTTCAGAGTAAGTTTCGTTTCCATATCAAACAACACAAAACTGTTCAAATGTCGCCCAATCTTATCCAATTTCTTAAGGCTTGTTGCTGCTTCCCCCAGCAGCGCCCCAAACCAAACCCCAGTCTGAGCAGTCCCATTCGCCGTGCAGAACATTACAACTCCAGACTCCGAGCTAACCTAGGGTGGGAAGTCCCAGAGCGCAGCGCGCCGGGTCAGAGCAACCGCCCAGAGCATATAACAATGACTACGGGCCAGTCGAGCCCACATCCACGTATCAGGACAGAAGGCCGGTTTCCAATTAAAGTCAGCCCGGAGGTACAGGTAGAGTGGTTAAAGACAAGCATGGACCGTGAAAGGCTCAAGGAGCTCTGCAACGTCGTACACGCGACGTTTGAACACGTACCCTACGCAATCTGTGGCCTTGGCGCCTTAATCAATCACGGAATCACAGGGCGGAAAACAAGTAGGATATCAATCCTATGTCCACAAACCTCGAAAAATGCTGTCAAGTCATGGGCCGCGACACGGGGATTCAAGATCTATGGCGACTCGATCTGTGTACCCACAAAAGAGGGTATCAGACGCGTGCGCATAAAGTACATCGAGTTCGGCTTCGAACAGCTGCAGACCGTGAAGTCGAGCTTCAGCAACGCTACCGTGCTGTCTCTTACAAGCACACTGGACAACATAGCAGCAGGACACCTAGAAAATCTGCGTCGCGGCGACGAGCGCGCGCTGACCACACTTGCTGCGGATATATTCTGGATTCTCAAGCTCATGGCGCAACGTCACGAGAACATCGATTCACGCCTTCTCCCCACGTTTCTCGGCGAGGAGTTCTTCACTGATTTCACGGCACGCCACAGTAATGCTCGAACGGAGATGGCACTCGCCGGCATCGACGTCAGCGCCGCGCTCGCAAAACATCGGACAGCGGCGTCCCTGAGGGAGCATGATGAATTGTTGAGAAATCATGGATTGAAGGGCGATGTCGCTGATACACAGATTGGCCAGTTTGAGAATATGAAGAGTCTCGGTAATAAGAGCGTGTATACGCTTCACGGCCGTGAAGCAGGAGGCGAGTCGAATGCTCCGCCGATGGAGCAAAGTCATGCGCGTCGTAGTAATTCTGGCGGTCGCAATCTTACGTCCAAGCCGCCGAGGAAGCCTAAGTCCATTGAGAGACCAGTTGCTGACTGGATTTAGTTGAGTTGACGATTGAGACACAGATGAGGAGATGATATAGACAGTTTTAGTAAGTTATGTTTCCAAACCCTTTGGACGCTTTAATAATTCAGCTGATTTGATTTCAATCTGCTTTGATTGTTATTTTTCTACTTCATATCATCTTCACAATGCTAAATTACTCATGAGGCCGGGAATGACTTTTTCGAGTAAGCAGTATCTTAATCTACTCTTACTAACTGGAGATTGCCATTGTAAAGACGTCCGCTTTCACGATTGCTTTGATACATACCTCTCCTCCGTAGCCAACTCATCCTTTAGCTAATCATTATAGTTTCCGTAGTCTCGCGCTTAAGTTCAACCACAAGGACTATATTCAGGGCGTGGGATTGAGGCGATTCACAATTCGAATGGATCGCTAGGTATGGTAAGGGCCCTTAGCTACCTACCAGGTCCCTCCTTAGCCTTGGTGACTAACTTTGACTCTATATACAATTAGTACTGTCTTTACTAACCTCCGAACTCTACGAGTAGTCTCATGCTAAACTCACTTTTCGTATGTCTTGTCAGGGGGGACGTTTGCTATGCACCCGTAGCTGTAGGCGATCTGCATGGCACCATACCTGTAAAATGGTCAATCAGGGCTCCTCTCGTAGCAACAAGAGTCACTTACATGTTTGGGATCTTTAACAAAGATCATCACATTGGCTCATCTTAGTGATTGCTTTCTGTCTCATCTGCAGTCGAATTAATCACTGTCGGTCTGGAAGAACCTATCCCATTTACTGGGTGGTGCGCTCCAGTCGCTATATGCCAACCATGGGGCGCCGTAGTTCTCGACGTCCAGTCTATCAACAGGAATACCCGATAGCTCCGAAATCAAGTCCCGACAGCCCATATGTCCATTCTCGCGGGCAAAGTTCATGGCTCTTAGGCAATGCCTTCGTTGAAACCCAGGAACGGCGTCAATTCCACCCCTGGCAACGACTGTGTTACACGTGTAACCTCTATACTAAGCTGAATATGCAGTTCGCCTTGCGCTACGGCCGTACGAAGGACCTTTGCAGGCTGTTCATGGTGTCTCAAGACATGCGGGCAATATTGGGCAATGTTGGAAAGTGAGATTATACAGACTTCGCTTCTTGAAACAGACCCTAGAGACCCAGGCGGTCTGGGCTGGCAGACCAATTGTATATAGAGTCAAGTCAAGCCACCAACAGCCAAGAAGGAGTTGGTTGGTCAAGGACTACTGCAGCCCTAGTAGATCATTGTAATCTGAATCCCCAGTTCCAAGTCCAGTTTATCTGCCCTTGTTATATGAGCAGTCAGCGCGTTTGTCAATTCAAGACCACCAACTCGAGCCCAAAATCAGCAATAGTAATAACTTACGCATGACTCTCCCTGGCTGGTAGATGAACGTAACACGTAATGTAACAATAAAGCAATGTAAATGCAGTATTATGCCGCCACACTTTGAAAGAATAAAATATTGTCACGTCGGAAGCCTAACCGTCTGTATTTACTTATGGGTACTGCGAAGGGAGCTGAGGGGGGGGGACAGCTGACAGGCAACAACAACAAACCAACAAACCTACAACCTCTTACTAAGAATTATGAAATAATACGTGAAAAGCTCTGATCAATGAGTGTAGAAGGCAAGGCAATGTATATTCTCTAAGGTACGTCGTGGTCTGTCTACTAGGTCTCGTCTGTCTGGCTCGCGCCGGGGCGACCTATGTCTTATATATGTGAAAGCAACGAGAGAAATCAAAGTGAAGCGTCCGCCATACTCTTTCTTCCGTAATGTTCATGCCCCTATTCCTAGCCCTGTCACAGTACCGAGACAAGTAATAAAAGTTCGTTTATCAATGAGTAGAAAGTGTTTCATCCAAATGATTTTCTCTATGCACCATGCCAATCAGGCCACCGATCTTACTTAGATCGCTAAGCAGCGTTGCAAAAGGTGACAGCACTTCTCTCCTGGGTTATCGTTGGGCATCAAATGCAACCGGCTCAATTGAGCATTTGCTGTCAATATTACTAATACTGCTACATTCTATTCCTTTTATCTAATGGATTGGTCATTACATACTAATAAAGATATGGAAGAAATATGATTGATTGACTGATAGCCTTACTCTACATTCGTAGATGCACTGGTCACCAGTACTTACATCACTAGTAGGTAGGTGAATACTTGACATCCTATAGTGATTCACACGCGGTAGCCGCCTATATACTACACCACAAGAACTATCAAGAGAAACAAAGAAAGGAAAGGGGGGGGAGAAAGAGAAGTTATGTAATACAAGTATATCTTGCACCGCCTGCTCCGTTCATTCTCAACCTTTCTGCCTCAAGCAGCGTGTCGAAGGTTTTCCCGGACGCCACATCCTGCTCAGTCATCCATATACTTCCTTCCAGCGCAAGATCAGTTTCATTCACCACCTTTACTAGGCTTACTCGCTCATTGCTGTGAACTAGGCGAACTATGGCTACAACAGATGCCAGCCAGCGCTGCACACCAAATAAATAATACTTCAGTTAACTATTAGATAACTGAACCGAATAGAACGAAATAACAACTTCTACTGACTTAGTTAAATAAAATATAAAATATATTTTAACTGCTAATTAGTTAATTATTTTAATATTTATATTATAAATTAAATGATAATGAAAATTAATGAAATTAAAAGTGCTTATATAAATAAAAAATATAATGGTTGGGGTAGCCCATAAGGGCAGGGCCTGTAAGACCCCCGTCTAACTTATATAAGATAAAACCTTTATTAATAACTAACCTGTGCTCATTACATTAAACGTTTACTCTGGATCACACCCTGCTAATTGTTCCTGAATAAAAGCCTCGCCTTCGGGCCGCTGCTTACAAGGTGTGTAACACGGCGTCAATATTACCTCATGTCACTGCCTTTGGTGGCTAGGATTACTATCTCACATCGACTAATTAAGTAATTACATCTTCATCTTTATTATAGAAATTACATGATGTAGTCCATGTGCCGTTGGTACAACTCAGCGCAATAACAATATTACCTCATGTCACTGCCTTTGGTGGCCAGGATTACTATCCTACATCGACTAATCAAGTAGTTACGTCTTCATCTTTGTTATAGCAATTACATGATGTAGTCCGTATGCTGTTGGTACACCTCAGCGCAATAACAATATATATTGTTGTCCTCACAGTCTTGCTCCGCTACAGAGGATATTGCTTCTTCACTCTCCAAAGAAAGCCCGCCTCACCAGCATCGAGGTTATACCCATCATTTGTTCATGACACTGGCTCTTATTCTTGCTGGTTCGCTTGTTAAGTCGGGCCCCGGCTCACCCATCATCGCATTCTTACACTCAGATTGCTAAGAGGTCGATTACCATTCGCTAAGACTATGCAAGTTATACTTTCTCCTCTGAAACTCTCCCACTTTGACACTTGACCCGATTAACAGTCGTCATTGACATTATCGTCATCCCTTCCATTGTAGCTTCTTCGGTAGTATGCTGACCAGCTCTCAAGCAATTTGTACCATGTCTAAGTTTGCTGACCTGCGAATCGCTTCTGCCCGGGCGTATTACAACAACAACAAGCCGTATGGAGAAGCGGAAACCATCACTCTGTACATCTACAATGCCGGTCCTGATCGAGCGGCAGCTCCTGTAGTGAGGGCTGGTTATACCTACTCCATGGACTACAATAATGTCACTACTAGCCTTCGTTCGGTGAAAGAGTGGGGTCAGCCATCTCAAGATATCCGATCTGGATCTCTTATTTGGACTGACCTACCCCATCCAACAAGTCACTATGAAGGGTGGGACATGGTGACCACTCTTCCTGATATCGAGGCTGGTCGACTCATGGAACTCAAATTGTCGTTCCCTATGCTACACGAGACATCCCACGCTGATTACACACTGAACGCGTCAGTCTCATCGTCGACCATAGATCCACGCACGAAGAACAATTCGACAACATATATCATCACTCCTAACCATAATGGAGATGACGAAAAATATTGGAAGACCCCAGGTGATCTCGCCAATCTGGACTTTGATGGTCTCACCTCCGTTGTGCCATTATCACAGGCTGATCTACGGATTGCTTCTGCCTATGCCCACTACAATAATAACCTGCCATATGGGCAGAGCGAGACATTGACGTTCTTTGTCTTCAATCATGGGCCGACGATTGCTACTAAGCCTCTTGTGACAGCAGGTTACGGGTCATCGATGGACTGGACCAACATTTCCTGCAGCGGTGAACAGCTATGGGTACCTGATGGAATCGATCCTTCCTTGAACATTGACAGCAGCGAATGGCAGCCTCTTGATGGCGTTAGCTGCCATTATGAGGGTTGGAATGTAATCTGCAGTCTTCCCAACATTCCGCCTACCGTGTTGTATCGTGTCAAAATCACCTTCCCTATGACTCATAAAACTTCATCCGAGGACGTTTACGCCACTGCCAGGATATCATCAGACGCTGCAGAGGTCAATCCAGACAATAAATCCACCAGCTATGTGATCACCCCCAACCACAATGATGACGACGATGAGTACTGGCAGGCCAAAGGGACCATCGAGCAGCTGAATGGCCCCTCTGAGCCTTCTGGGGCCCGAGCATGTTCGACGGGGTGGCTACTGGATACCCCGATTATCTTGGACGGCGGCGATGGCATTGAAGAAATTGCTCTAAGGGACCTAGAGACGGTGATCTCTAATCCCGATAGTAAGAACGAACTCATAATGAGCCTCAATCTTCGAAATGACTATTTTAAGTCCAAGGCTGCCACTAAAGTCGGATATAAGACTTCTACAGATGTCATCGTCTTGTCATTCTCAGCAGATGGCAAGAATGAACTATCCTTCAAAGCCCATCCGGATACATTGCTGTATCTAATCCCTTCTGAGGTCAAGGTTGGGGAAACGAAGCTGCGTCTCGGATACTGGATGCCGGTGCAAACGCTTTGGGTTGGTGCGGTTGTCAAAGGGATGAGTCCTGGTGGGGGTTCCACAGTGGCCTACATAACAAACATAAAGAAGGTCAGAGGTACAGGGTTCCGAAGTGCTGAGAATGCTGAGAGTGCTGAGAGTGCTGAGCCTCAGATGGTCAGCAAAAGTCATAGTTACGTGGTTGGTAGAACGGATTTTGGAGGGGTACTAACTCACAACCCAAAGACGGGCGAGCACTGCGGCAACCCCAACGTCCCGGCCATTCTGCAGTATCTTGTTTTTATAGCGTTCGGCTTAATAGCAACCCTAATACCGCCGCCTAACCTCCTAGATCCTCCACATGGATACTCCTTACGTCACCGACGGCCCTCAGACCCGCGACCGCCGCCTCAACCTGCCCCACCGGTCCTTCCTCTGGGCGTGCCGCGACGTGATGGGTACGGAAACTGGTTGATCTACCTATATGAGGAAGACACTCCAGGTGCAGTGGAAAATGCCCGCTATGCTGTTGAACAGGTAGGGCTCCCTTGGCAACTCACCTATGACCCAGCTGGCGCACCAGCGAGACGATCACAGTCCACCGGCCGACACCCGAGCCAGAGGGAGCTTCTTCAACTGGCAACTGAGGAGCTGGGAGGGGCCACAGGAACAACAGGCCAACTGGATCGTGACGAATATCCACCTGCTATTGCACTAGAAGGTGGATCAGGGGCAATCGTCACCTACATCGAAGCTGGAGACAACCGCAGAGCCGGCAGCTTGATGGGACAGCAGTTTGCCAACTACCGGATGGTGCCCCAACCCGATAATCATTCGCCACTCCAGCCCGGGGATACATTCCGGTACGTTATTATCCATGCGAACATGGCCGGCCTTGATTACCTAGGAGACGGGACAGATGAGTCACAGATTGAAGAACCGCCTATAGATTAGGTGGCTACGCATCGTCCAGGTAAGCTTTGAAAATTGTAGGACGCTGTTTTCATGATCTAACTCCATGATGGCCGGTAGGTATGGAAGAAGTTATGTTGAGGATGGATACTGGCTATGCGTTTCTTCGTGTACAGCCATAAAGACTACATGCTTGAAATACACTTTCGTTTGTTTTCTTGACTATGACCAGACTGTGCCGTTATCAAAGCCTATTACTGTAGTTCAGAGTACACAATAATAGCACTGAATTAACTCCGGTACCCGCCGCGCCCTCTCAGCATGTAGATTATCTCGACGACGTACACCGCATATAACCGCGCTCCATAGAGTAGTCTTACGTAGTAGGCCTTCATATTAATGAGTTTTTCAAACTGGTACGTGAATGGCAGGTCCTAAGGGTCCGGGATGAGCGGCAGAAACGAGCCGCCTGCCTTCCTCGACGCCGCCGTGGTGCCCGTATTGTCCTCGATGGCGGCGGCCAGCCAGCCACCGTCGGTCGCGTACACGGAGTCCTGCGCAAAGGGCGATAAGACAAGGCCTGGACACGTGGCGGCCGAGATGCTCATGTCGTATTGTTGATCTACAGCTGCACCAAGTCGGTGCTGTTGTGCCCAAGCATTCACGTCCCGCAGATTTGGTTATTCGCGTCCTACATGATTATATAAGGGGAATAGCACGCGATACTGGTGCTGTGGGCAGCCTCGAAAAAATCAAGCTCGTGTTAGCCTGGAGGTTCGCACTGGTATGGACTCTCAATATTGAGCAGATGAATATAAAGTATTGATACTATCGAAATATACTCTAAGGGCCTAGCCGTTCAAATGCGAACAATCATAAAGGGCCATTAGGACCACTTATAACATAACGCTAAATAACTATACGTTTTATATAAATAAAGAAAATTAAACATTAAAACAATATAATAAACAATTAACTTGAAAATCTAACATCTATCCTTACTTATATATATAATATATATAGAAGTTAAGATTATCGTTGCGCAAAGTGTTGTTAGCTCTTGAAAATTGCTGGTAGAGCCAGTCAGCTCAACATTAGGTAAGTAAGTACCCACCAAAATATGCTTGGTGGGGTTATTCTGCACTCTCCAACACCTCTGACGATGAGATCGCAATGTCCTCCCAATCTTGACAGCAAGAAAATACCAAAAAGGTTTAATACCAGAAGGGATACACAATACCAATCCTATCACTCCTGACCATCGTGAGCTGGTCTGTTCTGCGCCTCTCCAACGGGAACAATTACAGCCGTAAGGACCCGGCGCCATAATCCGGGCACATGCAGAAGCTCGAAGCGGACGAGACCGTTTTCGAGTACGACTTCTCCCCTGCAACATAACTCTTCGAGATCCATCTCGGATTTAGCGTCGGGCGATGCACTGCATTTTTAGTTCCTTCCAGTCGATCACGAATGGTTGCAAAGCAGATGAAACTCCCTCCTCTGCAATACATCTCTTCGAGGTCTAGCTCAGAATTGGCATCGGGCACTGCACTGCTTTTTTAGCCTCTTCCCGTTGGTTGTGAATGGCTGCAAAGCAGATAAACCCCTCTCGAGCAAGAACCCCTCTGAAATACAACTCTTCGAGGTTCACCTCGGATTTGGCGTCGGGCACTGCACTGCCTTTTTAGTCTCCTCCGGTCGGCTGTGAATGGTTGCCGTTAACCTCCACCACGGGAATACTGTGATCTTCGCGAAACAAGAGCATAGCATCATGATCCTACCGCGACCATGTGGCCAAGATTCTCTCAGCGCCCTTCTCAGCAGCCACCATGACCCCGAACTGTGGGTTCACAGTCAAAGGCGCCACGATTGACGCATCGACGACGAAGATATTCGTCGTGCCAATGACCCTTGTATCCGCGTCGACGCAGCGTCCAATTCTACATGAGCTAGACCAATGCTGCACCGACCCCACAGCATAGGCAGACGGCGTGGTGATATACTTGTATATCTCTTGCACCGTAGAGTGTCGAGGGATGTTCAAAGGTGTAAGCCCTACAGCAGAGGGAGCTTGAGGGGTTGAGCTTGGGAGATGCTGGAAGATGGAATAAATGAATTTGGCGATATTCATCCCATCGCGGGGGTGCGAGTAGTAAACGCCGGAACTAGGCGTGGGGACGAATTTACCATCAAGCACGACCCTCCCAGATGACAGCAATCCCGAGGTGCCATAAATATTCAGAGTGATCGTATTACTTCCTACGAAGTCGGTGAAACCTGAGGAGTCAATGGTTCCCTGAACTCCCGTCCTGCTGCCATCCGGGTTAGGAACATAGCCCCAGAAGACAGAGGTCTGCGAAGCGACAGCGTAGGGGCCGCTCCGGTGCTTCAGATATAAGTCTCTGTCTGAGGGCTTGGGGTTATCGTAACTATGTGTGTACGACTCTATTCCCGGCCCCGAGAGCTCGATGAAAGTATTAGGGTTATCAAAAAGCCCCATGCCCACCTCGCTATTGATGACCCAGTTGGAAGACGACGTTCCGGCTGTCGATAGCTTAGATAGCATATCCCGCGGACCAATGCCAGAGTGCATGAGCAGACCTGGCGAGGCGACCGCGCCCGTGCTAACAATTACTCGTCCGCCCGGAGACAATGAAATGGTAACGTTGTGATTGTTCACCTCAGCCTGGACGCCAGAAGCTGCTCCGCGGACCTGGTTGATCCGCCAGACCCTCACGCCGCTCTGCAAGCGGAAGTTCTTGCGCTTCAGTGCATCTTGCAGATGCGTGCGTACGGGCCCTCCTCGCTGACCACCAATATAGTTGTAGGCCGGCCTCCCGAAAACCCTGTCTTTGTTATCCGGCTCGCGATTAATCGAAACGTTTGAGAACCCAGAGGACTCCACGAGCCATTTCTTCGCGGCCTTGTAGCCGCTTTGCAAGTAGAATTTCTTGTCCTGAGAGTACACTGTAACAGGTGCCTGCTTCGCTAGTAGTCGACTGGTAGCATGTTGGACGTCCGCGCTCTTCCATCCTTTCGGGTGGTAGTCGTCCCAGTCCGACGCTGGAGGCTGGAAAAATAGCCCCGCGTTGATGGCGCTATTGCCGCCAATTGTGCATGCCTGATAGCTATTGACGATGCCGGACGGGCAAAGCAGGGTCTTGCTCCCGCTGAATATACTTTTGTCTAGGCAGTGGATATTAGCGAGAGCCTTCTGACCCATCATAGCAGACCGTAATGCTTACATAGCCCGGGGACGTCAACACGGCTGAGCGATGAGCCAGTGAGCCACGCAGGCTTCTCAGTTCCTCCCGTGATACCGTATGATGGACCACCAATCTCGAGCAGGAGGGTCTTCTTCCCCCCTTCGCTTAAGCGATCTGCAACGATAATGCCAGCAGTGCCGGCCCCAATGACAATGGCATCCCATTTCTGATCTATCCAATCTACCGGGGAAGGAGCTGCCCATGAGCGGGTAGATAATGAAATGGCGGCAATAAGCCAGCACGCGAATGACTTCATTTTGTTAGGCAAGTGGAATATGTTGAGCGCCTCCTCGCATTCTTTGATACCAAGGGCTCTTTACGATGGAGAAACAAAGCCGAGTTTTGGGGTACTGGGTAGCTGTAGATCCTGATTTTCAAGCCGGATAAAGCATCACAACAGGTCTCTGTTATATCACCCAACCAACATGAAAATGTCAAAAAGAACAGCCGTTCTCATAAGAGTGTCCGTTCAATATATATATATATATATATATATGTATTGATATTGCCTTGAATGACATAATCATTTTCAGCTCGTATTCCTCGCAAATTTTCTCAGGGCGTAGAAAGTCAGCTTAGCCAGGTCCTAGAAGCCACAAATTGTGGCTACTTAGGCTACATGGCGTGCGGGACTCAGCTAGCTGATCGGCTATCCCGGTGTTTATCATATCATCAAGAAGACTAACGAGACTAATAATGAACACGAGTAACCTGCTCCACGCATTAGCCAAAGATGCCTCCGTTCCGGCCCGGGCCGTGGCAGAATACGAAGATTGATGACGTGAGACAATTTCACCAACTTTTGCCACTAACCATGTCCTCGAGCAGGGTAAAAGCAAGCATTTAAGAAATCAATGCAAATGCGCAATTGATCCCGAGCAATACGTGCGATCAACAGAGCAGCGTAGTCGGGACCAAATATCTAAGAAAGCCGTGCAACATGCATCTTATCATCAGGGAAGATGACTGGATGAGATCTCGCTAGTCTCGAGATCTCCTCACAGCTTCTCCTCACCTGTAACAGTCGACGTCACCTACATAGCAAAGCATACTAAACAAATACCAAATCCACAAGGCAAAGTAATGGGACAATCGCAATCGCAATCGCAATCACATGAATCCAGCGCGCAAAAGATGTCCCTAACAGAAACGGACCTAGCGCACCTGCGCCGCACCCTCGAGCTCGCAAGCGAGGCCCTCGTAGCCGGCGACGCGCCCTTCGGGTCCGTCCTCGTCGACGCGCGGGGCTTATTCCTCCGTGAAGACCGCAACCGCACCGCGACGCTGGGCGACGGCACGCGACACCCGGAACTCGAGCTCGCGCGCTGGGCCGCGACGAACATGGCTTTTGAGGAGCGCGCGGCGGCGACCGTGTACACCTCGGGCGAGCACTGCGCGATGTGCGCCGCGGCGCACGCCTGGGTCGGTCTGGGGCGCGTCGTGTTCGTGGCGAGCGTGGGGCAGCTCGCGGGTTGGCAGCGAGAGTTCAGGGACGGCTCGGATGGGTATGAATCGCCGGTTGCGCCGCTGCCTATCCGGGTTGTTGCGCCGGGCGTCCCCGTGCAGGGCCCTGTGCCGGAGTTCGAAGAGCAGATTAAGGATTTGCATCGCCGGTGGGCGAAGAAGAGGGGATTAGTGTAGGGGCTTTGAGTAGGATATTTTGAATGGTTTTACCTGATGATATGATTGAGAAGACGACTACACCGGATCAACTCTGGAGTGAAATTGAGTGAATATGTATTTGGGCTGTTGTTGAAGTAAAGCTTCCGTTGCATAGTGCTATTTTTTAATAGCCGATGTCGACATCATATATCAGAGACAAAACGAAGTAACAATACCGTCGAAAGATATAGTTTCCAATGCCCGATCCATAATAATTATTGAACATATTATATTGTACAAATAGTGCCATGGGCTCTCTATGATATGTATTACATTATTATGCGTTGTGATTGTGGCCGAAGGGTATCAATGATAATGTCCTAGCTCTCTGATGCCCTTGCAGTAACCAAAATTGGCCCCGTCCTCATCATTCCACAGCTACGCAGGGGCACACACACTCTGGGTTATTTATATGGCTTATATTAGGGAGGATGTGAGGCTATTCGCAGCTAGCCAACGTAGATAGAGACCTTGATACCAGGTAGTTGAATATAACCCTTATAGGGTTTAAAGATTAATTAGGAATTAGCCTAATAGTAATACTATATATATAAATAATGTAAAAAGAAAACAATTATTTAATCAAGTAACGTAGTAGTATATAATAGGGCGGAGGGTGGTAATTTTAATCGAGTCCGCTGCGTGTATGCTTCGATTATGGTGTTGCAAAGGGGAAGCTGTGCGGTGGGCCTCCTGACCCCCTGTAGAACATATCATCCATTTTCGCTTTGAGCCAGAGAACGGCGCCACTACCGCCGATCACCTGTAGGCCCCGCGAACTTGACGCTCTTCCTGCGTTCCCTTTCGACCCCTCCATTGCTGGTGCCAAAACTACCGCCCCGCCCGGGACTGGAGCTTAAGATGCCCATTAAACCGCCGGGCTTCTCGCTTTTCTCGTGATTATTGCTGGCGAGAACTTCGCGAACTGTCTCCACAGCTCGACTTTGAGGTATTTCGAGAGTATCACCTCTCACGCTACTGGCGGGAGTAGGGATGGGTGGCGCTTCTCCCGCTAGTGTTTGTTTATTGTCAACCTTTTTAAGATCAGTGATCACGCCGCGGTACTGTTCCCGCACGGCCCGCCCCAGCTCTTCGGTCCGTGCTGTACTGTTTTCGTTCCGCCATCTCCCAGGAAGGCAAGCATGGCCGCAACCGTCAAAGGGACAACAACCATCGCTGTTTGTCTGCGGTGAGTCATCCTCGAATAACTCTGTCCTCGTAGCCTCAAGGAGTGTATTCATCCCCGACAATGCTATGGGTGCGTGCCACTCCTGGAGACAGCTAGCGTGACCACCATGTGAACACCCGGGACAATACCACCAAACCGAGAGGCTAGAGCCTTTAGCCTGGGTAGAAGCTGCACCAAGCCCTTCTTCAATTGTGAGAGATGTCGATTCCGTCGCCGCCTCACGGTGCCCACAAACTGCGCAAGGGGCTACAAGTGCAGAGCAACGCTCACACTTCCAGATTTCGGATCCTTCAGCTGAAGAGCGGCTTAACTCACGAGGTTTGTGGCATCGGGCGCATGAGAATCCAACTGAAACTCGCTCTTGAGCAGGGCGAAATATGGAACTGTAGTTCTCACCCCAGATCTCAATGCCAGAAGGCCAGCCACGAAGACAGAGATTCCGGAGCATTGCAGCCTCAACAAAAAGTTTCATATTCATGAGGCGAGAGTGGTGTTGCCTTAGCACTGCGGCAGCTTGGTGTGCGTCGATGATATTGCCAGGTAAAAGAGGCCTTAAGAGTAAAATCATGGCAGACGCATTCAAAGCTGAGCGTTTACACTCAAAGGCAACTGCTTGTGCTACAATTTCGTACGGCTGGATGGGTGGTGTTTTATGATTAGGGGAAGTGCTAGAGCCGGCTCGATATGGATAAGGGGGGTCGTCGTCCCAAGGCAAGAAGTCGGTTTCTGTAATGGTGGGTGATGGATGATTCTCAGGTCGAGAAGCACTTTGATTGATTCGAGATGCTGCATCGTGAATGGCCAGTGGATGAGGTCTGGGTTTTGCGGGTTGTTGATTGACTTCAATGACATCCGCCAGGTCACTCTCGACGGTGTCTGCAGTTGCTTGAGAGATCATGAAATCATCTGTTAAGACGTCCGACTCATACCTCTCTAGGGGCCGGGGTAGCGGCCAATCGTGGCGTACTGGGGAGTCGTCAATTTGCCGGCCCCGTATCCTGCTGGCAAATTCAGCTTCGCTGCCTCCCGATTCATTTCGCTGCAGGACGCTCCTCGTTTGCTGTACGCTCCCTCCAGATGATGTTCCAAGGAGCGAGGCTTGGCGACTCGTATCTGATAGCGAGAACATTTGCATAAAACTTTCGTCTGAGTTGAGCCTCACTGCAGGCTTTCGGCGACTATTAGGAGACCTTGGTTCTATTGGGTCAATTCTCAATGGCTCTTTCTTCTGCTTCGGTACGTCGATGGGAATTGGCAGTGTTTCAATGGCTTCTACATCATAAAAGTCATATCCTTCTATACTCGATTCCTGACTTTCTTGACTGATTGTAGATAAAGTAGTAGAATCCAGTCGCCGGCGAACGCTAGCAGTTCCAGAATGGACTGCTGGTGGCAGGTTGAAGTCCTCAACCTCATGAACTGGAGTCAACTTCTTCGCAGTACTGGAGTTCTCAAATACGACATGGTCCTCTTGGATTGGCCGAGCAAGGGGAGTGTTTATGTTGGACTCATTATCAATCTCTTCAATGAGTCGTAATCTTTCTGGAATTGGATGAGTGTCCATAAATGGTACTGATGTTGGCGGTCTTGGGGTTTCTCCACCACTAAGGCGAAGCTGAGAAGATGAATGAACTTTTGGAACTACGGGCTTCGCGTCAGCTTCCTTCTCGGAGACCGGTGTGCCCTCGGTACCGTTAAGACGATACTCTAAGTGATATCTTGCCCGGCTTGCCAGAAGCAGGTTGATTGCATAAGATAACAAGCGCCATGTTTGTGCCAGGCGAAACTGGCTCACACTTTCAGCGGCACGAGCGTATCTGGACATAATCTTCAGAACCCTCTGATCAAGTAACCCCGCATCTTCTGAGTTTGGGAGATCTGCTTCAAGAATCTCAAGATATTGCTGCGAGAGAAAATGATATGTGCTGACTGAGGTACTAGCCGGAATACGTCCAACCGCCATCACTTGCTGTGGTTTGAAGGGAGCAGTCAACTTGATTGCTTGCTCTAACGATATGACCTGATCTTCAATTCCTGGCCCCGACGGTGGAGTTGTACTAAGTGATTGTGCTGGTCGATGTGTACTTCGTCGCTTCCCACTAGTCCGACGTTTTGGGCCCAAGAAGCTACCAATAACATCTTCTTCGGAGTCACTGCGGCTGATGCTCAGCATCTGACCAGTTGGACTAGACCTAAACGAGGAATTGGGAAGGATGTCATGTGCTTTGACTGTCACTCGGGGCCTTGTTACTTGGGTTCTCTCTTCGAGAAACATAAGAACCTCTCCTCGAGCAGAAAAATCAAGGCTTGAAAGGGGTTGACGGTCCATGACTTTGGGAGCGAAAGCAACATCACATTGTGCGAACCCGTCTTGACCCGCAGCCCAGAGTAAGTCCTGGTCGTGCCAGAGAAGGGCACTTGGTGAGGCTTCAAACATATCAATCTCCTTGTAGGGCATCGTTGGGCGCGCGAGATCCCAGATATGTACGGAGTTAATGCCATTCCTCAGATTACTACCTTCATTATAGGCTACCGCAACTTGCGCAGCCCGCCGTCCCTGCGCAGTAGCAGACCAGAGTCCTGGTCGCCACGAGACGGAGGTTACAGGTGCTGGAGCATTAATTGTCCATTTGGGCTTTTGTCTCTTTTCTGCGTTTTTGGATAGGTCCCATACATAGCATTTCCCATCAAATCCAGCACTGATGAGGTGGTCGCCGTCAGGGTGCCATGATATTGAAGAGACCCCCTTTTGTGTGTCGTGGGCGTTGATTTTTAGCAAAGGGTTGGTAGGCCTGCGGATGTCCCATTTCAATATTGCGCCTGATTCAGTGGCGCAGGCCAACATCATGCCATCCTTGGGTGCCCACTTCAGATCACGAACGCCGTCAGCATTGCATCGCAAGGCTTGAAAAGTTCGAAATGTTAGGCCATTGCGTCCATGAACTGGTGCCTTGACGTCAAAGCAGCGCACGACACCATCCTGGCCTCCGGATAGCATCCACGTGCCTCGGTGTGGATTAAAGTCGAGTTTGTTGACTTGTCGCGAACCATCAGATGACTGGATGAAATCCAAACTCAAGCCCGAAGCAAGGCGGTTGATATCATACATGAAGATCTTGCCATTGGCGCATGCGGTGAAGATGGTAGGCTCGGCGCCATGATGAGCAGCCACTTTGACGTCTTTTATAGACAATTGTTCTGAGGCAAGGCTGCCCGCGCTGCTCTTGTTTGCGAACTGAGATGTAATGGCAGCGCGCACATCGATACCGTCCTTGATACTCAACCCGTCTATATGGATAGTCTTGAGCACGTACCGGCCGCCCAAGACAGCGATTCGGCCATCGGGAGACCGGTCGAGGCAGGCGGCAGGAACGGAAGAAGAGTAGACGGCGTTTTGCGAGGCATTTGGGCGGTATGTTTGGGGATTGTGGGAGTTGGCGGCAGCGAGACTCGCATCGTTGGGACTGTCGGTATTTGGACGGCCAAGAAGCCTCTTGATGATCTTGCCTTGATTATACATGGCGTTGGCAACGATGATGGCGCAGTTCGGCCGGTTGAGGAGACAGCCGAGATGGCGTCATGATTCGGACAGGTGAAGTATGATTTGTTGGGCTCGATAAGCCGGGGACAGCGTGGCCGGCGATGCTGAAGGGCGAGGACGATCAGTCACGCGCAAACATGCTTAGATAGAAGCCTGATGTTGTCGCAGAAAGTTGGCTGTCGACGCTGGACAGATGAATGAATGGCTGAGCACAAGCTGCGACAGGGTCAGCTGCACTGGGAAATGCGGCGCGAGATGCAGTTCGGGGTCATTTCACCAGGGACAGACAGGGAGGGACAAGAAGAGATAGGTACCCCACATCGATGGCCACTGCCGAGACTGCCTGCAGCCTGTGAGAGAGCTGCCTTAGTGGACGGTTATAGGTACATTAGTGGTTGCAGTGAGATGGTGAGATGGTGGTGGCTGCTGTGCGACACTGCGCTACTGCGCTACTGTGCTCCCGGTATACCTACAGCGAACATGCGGAGGCGCACAGACTGCAAGTGAGATAGATACCTTACTTAGATATCTGAAGGCATACATTCATGTCTGCAGATAGGTCTCTATCTAATAAGTACTGTCTGTATGTTATTCTACTCAGTACTATGCTTGAGCATCTATGATATGCCAAGCTTTGGCTATTCTGTCTTGAGGCACGTGTGTATACATAGGTATATACTTAGCTACCAGGATTTACAATTCCAAGCCAAATTGGGCCTCTGTCATCGCCCTACCTTACTTACACCCATCCCTACACGACAGACACTACGTCTCAACAATCATCATGTTATTCAGCATGTTATCAAATAACGTTTTTATTAACAAGAATTCACAAAGAGTATGCCCTTGAGCGGGGAGCAGCGCTTAATCACGGAAAAGAAACCCCACCGCGTCGGAATTCAGGGATCCGAGCTTGTGCGGGTTAACCCTCCAAACTCAGCGAAGTCGGGGCATCTCGCCCGAGTCAACTGTGATATAACATACAGATAAAACACCATAGAAGTCCGTGGGCGCGCCCAAACTATGAGTGTTGTCTGAGGGTGACAATAGAAAGGGAAATGAAGAATAGATTAAGATATTTAAGCAATTCCACACATTGCACATAAACAAAACTAATAGAGCTGTTATTTCCTCCATCCTCACATCTCCAACTCATCATGTCGTTCCCCAAGGTGCCCCCCAGCGGAGTCTGGGCCCCCGCCGTCACCGTCTTCGATCCCGAGACGGACACGCTCATACCATCAGATCAAGCGAAATACTACTCATACCTCTCCAAGACTGGGCTGGCCGGCCTCGTTATCCTCGGCACCAATGCCGAGACCTTCCTCCTGACGCGCGAAGAGCGCAAGCAGCTGGTACAGATCGCCCGTGAGGCATGCGGGCCGGACTTTCCCATCATGGCCGGCGTCGGCGGCCACTCAACTCGCCAGGTTCTCGAGTTCATTGCCGATGCCGCTGATGCCGGCGCAAACTACGCTCTGGTGCTGCCGCCGGCGTATTTCGGCAAGGCGACGACACCCGCCGTCATTGATAACTTTTTCGCTGAAGTCGCAACTAAGAGTACGATTCCGATAGTGCTATATAACTTCCCCGGTGTCTGCAACGGCGTAGATCTCGACTCGGCGACTATCGCCCGTCTCGCCCGCCAATACGACAACATTGTTGGCGTGAAGCTTACCTGCGGTTCTGTCGCCAAGATCACACGTCGTAAGTTTTCCTGGGAAATGTCCGCCAAAACGGCGATAGCTAACGACAAGGGTTACAGTTGCTGCTGAGCTACCAGCAGACCGTTTCGCGACCTTTGGCGGACAGTCTGATTTCTTGATCGGCGGACTGAGCGTCGGCTCCGCTGGTTGCATCGCAGCTTTTGGCAACGTGTTCCCGCGGTCCATCGTCCAGATCTACAAGCTCTACAAAGAGGGTAAGTACCAAGAAGCGCTCGCGCTGCACCAGAAGGCCGCCTTGGCCGAGCAGCCTTGCAAGTCAGGCATTGCTGCTACCAAGTACGCCGCGGCCATCAACACGGCGAAAGCTGCTGGGATCGAGGGTGCCGAGGCGAAGTTCAGACCCAGACGGCCATATTCGGAGCCATCAGAGGCGGCGAAGCAGAATGTCATTGCAGAAATGGCCGAGCTGGCTAAGATCGAGGAGAGTTTGAGGTAGAATAGAACCTAGGCAGACTTGGTGAGAAGCTATAGATGAATTTAACATATTATTAATTATGATGATCCAACCATTGATAATGCCAATATGTCTAAAACTCTAAAAACACACCGTTGATAACCCTATCCATGACCCAATGTCTGAAGCAATTACAGTATGATGATCGTGTATGCATATAGTGTGTATAATAAGGGGATGTCGTCACAATGCGATAAGCATTTGTATAGTACCAGCAGAATGAACTTTAACCAAGCCACTCGTTTCCAAGCATGAAATGTACGAACTCCGGACGGCTCCTCGCTCATTGACCTCCATTTGTGAAAAGAGGCCGCAGCAACATCAGAGGTAATGGCAACGTGATTGTTACCCACTGGCTGACTTCGATCGTTTCTGGCGCGGGATTTTCCATAGTCTAATCAGCAGTAGAATCGAGGCGACCTTTTTCTCCATCGTACGCCAGTCCATCCTCCGGCCAGCGCAGATAGCCTTTCTCGTCGGCCTCCTTGACCGCGTCTGCCAGGATATGGCCCATGATCTCATATCCGCGGTCCGTGGGATGAGAGCCGTCTCCGCTGATATCTTCTACCTGCGGTCTACCGGCGAGGCCTTCCGAGGGGTGTAGCTCGGCCAGGACGACGGCCGTGTTGTTCTCGTATTTCGAGTACAGCGTACGCAACTGCTGGTTGATGTCGAGGATCAGTGGCTCGCGATTCGGAACGGTATTCGTCAAGAGCGTGCTGAGTACGACGGTAGAACGCGGTGATGCGCTAAGCAGGTAGTCTATGAAGGCCTCCATGTGTTTACCTGCCACGTCGACATCTCGTCTCTGGAGCACATTGTTCGTGCCGACGTTGATGATGAAGATATTAGGCTTCTGCTTGGGTACGATTGCTTTCGCGTGGTCGTGGATTTGTTTACTATACTCTTGGTGTTAGCAATTGTCAGGAATAACAGTCTGAGTCCGTCAGAAGCTCATGGGATGTTGTTCAGGCCCGGAACAGGGTTTGTCTTCCCAATATCCTAGTCCTCTGAAACGGATTGTATCTCCGAGAAGCACTCACACTCTGTTCCCGCCGTACGCCTCGAAATCGTTGTCTGGCATAACCCCATTCCTTTGGGACCCTACCATGTTGATGGGTGCTCCTAGTGTTGCCAGATCACCGCGCAACGTATTCCTGAAGCCATTACTGTCCGATGATAGCTCTCCGCGAACGATGGATGCGCCGAGACACATAATCCGTAGCGGTGTACCGTCGGCTATGCTGCTTGAGTTCTTAGGATGCCAAAGACTAGGATTCTTCGTAGGACTGTCTTCATCCTTATCATCGTCGTCGTTCTTGCCATCAGCGGTGTTATTAGTGTTGTTGCTGCTGGTATTATTGTCGTTGTTATCGTTACTGCCATTGTGGTTGCCATCACTACTCGTAGAATTATGGCCACTCTCAATGCCACCACCATTGTTGCTACTGCTATCGCCGCTGTCACCGCTATTGGTACCATTCCCAGCATTGCTGCTTCCATCACTAGTACCAAGGTTATCACCTAGACTATCGGGATTGCTGACACTCTGCTCATCATGGTGAGGTGTGAATTCATGGGTTGCGCCGAGAGCTACAGAAGCATGTTAGTGGCCAACTTATCGGTGATGATGAGAGGAACGCGTTTATATGGGTAAGGCCATATTCATGTGTTTCTTACCAATTAAGACAACAGATACGACCACCAACAAAGTCAGCACCACAATTGCGCGCTTGGTTTTTAGAAAAGCGAAACGACTTTTGCCTTTTACAGGCACTGGCTTATCCAGAATGCTCGACATCCCTACTGCTTCAGTCTATTGAACCCTCCCTCTCCTTTTTGTCTACCTGTGGTAATGTAAAGGTGAAAGCTAGAGAACGAATGGAAACGGCATAACAGTAGCCAAATGACACAGAAAGAACGATATAGGCCTTGCACCTAGGGAGAGGGCAGCTCAATGAAGGACTGGTTGTTTATCATCGGCGGTAGTCGGCACACAGACAGATCCTGTATGCTTTTTCCGCTTGTATGCAGTCTACCTACCGAGATGATAGGTAATGGGTGACGTACTCTAGTCTTCATTGCTGATGGTTCTGCCATGATCCTTCCGCGCTAACAACCTATTCGCCGTGTATACCTACATGTACACCAGTGCCACGGGGAGGCTCGAGACACACAAAGGACAAAGGCCAAGCGTCTCCTAAATTTGGGTTGATTTTCTCTAATTGCGCTGTAAGGATCTGCGGTGGAACCGGAGCTAGGTCTTCGGCATGGTTTGCCGGCTTGATGTGCCATCTGTGGCTGCTTTTGCAAGGATGCCGACATTTTCGAGACGTGACAGGACTGACTGTCGCCGCATCCGATGGAAATTACAGATTCTGTTGTGGATGTCGGGAGTTTACAGTGTTACAGAAGGACAGCATGAGCTTCTTACAATGGCAGGTATCAAGTGCAGCGTGTGGGCGGCGCGTCTCGGCACAGGACGGCATGTTTCTCCTGGATTGCAGCTGAAAATAAACCACAATCTCACGGTCTACCTAGGGAGCCCCTGGCTATGTGCCATCGTTCGCGCCGGATCCCTGCTGCATTGGTCAATAGGTAGGTAGCTGGAGTCGGTTGGTTCCAGACTCCTCTCTCTGTCCTCTCCCTACATATATTTGATTCAGCACCACTCAATCTTGGTTCGAAAAGATCTGCTCGGGCACTAGAAATTTAGCTTGAATCGATCTGGCCAGCCACAACGTCACCACAGTAAATCCACATCATGACTTGTCGTCTGATGCTAGGAGGCGAGAGGTACCGGTATGCAGATGCGATCAGATCGTTGTGGGTGCTGTTGACTACCTAATTGACAATGAAACGTCCAAGCCCGCATGATCCTTCACCAAATTCCTTATAGGCAGGAAGCACTTTTTATCGGCCCACTCCGGCGCTGTGTCATCATGATGTTGGCTCCATTGCCGTATCTCGTCCCAGCTCACCCAATACCAACCTTCACACTTCTCGGGTTCCATAGTCTGCAAAATATCGTCAGCATGCAGCACTAGACGTCCTCTCAGATGTTGCTCTCACGGGTCTTTGATCATTCCAACCGTGGCGTCACAGCGAGGATGTCAAGTAGAGATGCAACTAACCTTGGGCTGGGCCTTCGCGTCCTCCATGGTGCACTGAACAAACATAGTAACGTAATGTTTTGATGCGGCATCGAAAACGTCATTCGTCACGGCGACTATTCTGACTCCTTTGACCCGTAGTCCAGTCTCTTCTAGAGTCTCTCTCTCGGCACAGGCGAAAATGGACTCGCCCATCTCGAGGTGTCCGCCGGGGAAGGCCCATGATCCTGTTATTCCGTCAATCTCGAACAAGCAAACGTGACATGCACCGCGGATAAGAGCTGTCAAACGAATGTGCATACCGGCGCCGTGGCTCCCCGCTCTCTTCCCCATGATAAGTTCTCCCTTCTCGTTGCATACTACGGCTGCAACGCCAACGCGGGGGTTTGGTGGGGGGCTAGCCATTGTTGTCAATTTTTAACGTACGCATTTGATTAGGTCTATCAACTACTTCGTAGGTATATGGACGACAGCCCAAGGAGACGTTTAAATGAGTCGAGCGAAGGTGGATTTCGTGAACCAAGTACGGAACGAGGGCCGTAGTAGTGTAACAGCCCATTTATCTTCGGAGAGCACCAGGCGGTGCAAACCACAAAGCCCTGGTAGCGGGGGTCTGGTTCGTTGGTGCTAATTAGCAAGCAGCAATCAAGGCGGACTCAGAGGTAAAAGTCCGCCCACCAAGGGCGCAGATGCAAGGGGACTTTTTCCAGACGCTTTACAAGCCTCAATACCCAACCATCAATCGCTTACACAATAAGTCTGGAGACCTAGTGAGCATGGTCGCTCGTATCGACATCTATAGGCAGTGTAGATTACTAGCCTCAAGGTCTCAGTAACAGGAAAAACAAATCTGAGCACTGCCGCTTCGCATCAAGGCAGTCCCCACGACAGGCAAACACACTCGGCAGCCTACTTGCCTACTTGCTTACCTTAGGTAGGTAGATAGTAGGTATATACGCAACGACATTCTACACCTTGACTATTACAACTTCGACAATGCCTCCTCTTTCGCCTTCGCCTCTCTTTCCTCTGCGAGGACTTCCTCTCTCCCCCTTACCTCAACATTTCTCGCTGCGCCTTTGTCAAACTTGACTAAAACAACCCGCTCCCAATCGCCACCTCGGCTGCTTCCCTTAAGCTCGCCACCGGGCTTATCAAGCCCCAGGATAGCTCTTCGATCTCCATATCGCAAGCCTAGTGTCACAGGGCTAATCACCTTGTCTGCCCAGGGGATGCTCGAGGTAGGGTGTTCCCTAGCCTTGGGATGCGTGGTCGTAGGCACGGTCTCCAGAAACATGCGCAACTTATCCCGTTGCGCGAGATAGTACTCCGTTGTTTCAGAAGGCCGAAGTTCCGCTGGCGCGCCCGTGAGGAACTGCGAGAGTAGATGCAACAGAAAATACTGGGGTGGGAAAAGAATCAGGTCGCCCCGGTTTTGCCTCTCGAGCCACGTCGTTACGTCGTCGAAGTGTGCTGCCGTGATTTCGGCCCCGCCGTCCGCCGTCGGTATCAGCGCCTCGCTCTGCGCCGCTGAGAGTACCGGGTCCGAGCTTGTCTCTAACGGCAGCATGTACACGTACATCTGCGTGGTGAACCGCTTCGGCGGCCAGTGGGGTGTTATCCAGCGGGTGAACGGGAGCAAGCCCTCTATATAGAGTTGCATGATCAGTTCGCTGTAAATGTCTTAAGGATAAACTCTTTTGTTTATGTCCTACCTGTGTCTGCTACCCCACCTATGCTTACCAACCACTCGCGGAAACTGATCTCGTTGTCGTGTATCGCTTTCCGCGCCGCGTCGCGCTCTAAGGTGGGTAGGTTAAGCATTGGTCCATCTTTGCTTCTCTCACGCGCAAGTAGAATGCCACTTTCTTCAAATGTCTCTCGTATCGCTCCAAGTCTATAAGCTAGGGAGTCTTCATGACGCCTAGCATCACTAGATGGTAGAACAGGTCCGTCATGAAAGTCGGAAAGATTGCCACCTGGAAATACATGCGCGGAAGCGAATGATGTCGAAGTCTTCACTCGGTGAAGGAGTAGCACTTGGTTTGTTGGCGAGAGAAGTATAATGCTTGAACTAGGGCGGGGTTCAGGAGCTGTCTTGACTTTTGCTAAAGGCCCCGAACTCGCTGCTCGAATTCCTTTCTTCATTGTAGAAGAAACTACTCGACCTTTTCCAGAGATTATAGTCGTGTTTATCCCTAACCTCCGTTGTATCTGTTTGGGACAAGTACGCTTTACGTAGCAGCGTACCCAGGCTCTTGCAAAGGCTTGTTTGCCGTGTCTCCAATTCTCCCGATGTATTGCGTATCGTAGACCAGTATTCACCAAGTAATACAAACTTGAGGCTGAGGAGATCAGTGACTGCATGATTCTGGCCTGCAAGTTAGTCGAGACCGGGGTTAGATCATCTACACCGAAAGGTAAGTGAGTGTAGTGAGAACATGCCGAGGTTCAGCAAGGTCAGGCAGCAGAGAGCGCTGATCCACTTGGCGCTGACGCTGGCATTGCTCTCAACCCCCAGATCCATAGCTAATGTTCTCAGACGTTATCTAGCGAGCTTCACCAGCAAAATTTGAATTTACGGTAAGATTTGGTTAATAAGTATTAGGATCTTAATATCTAGGGCCATACGTTGTTGGTGGTGGAAGAGTATTATTGGTTGCAACTAGAGTTACTCAAGTTGCAATCACTCAGAATGTCAGGAGGTGCATCAAACCCATCATCTTACCCGGGTTACTATCCTTGTCAAATACACAAGCTAGCGATTAAAGGAATGTTTGAATCATGTGGTTGTGACATATGCCCATGAGCTTACACCCATCCGAGATGTGCCCATCCATATATCGAGGAAGTGGAAACACGACGAATTATGATACACACGATCTAAAAAGAACGCCAGTACACCTGTGTAAAATACCGGACCGCTCTTGCTAAGTATCCAAACAATGCGAAATCACGAAGGCTACAGTAGCCTATCCGCAAGTCACCAAATTTCCATCAAGCAGTATCACGTCCAATGCCGGCCTTATACGCACTCAGTGCCCTATCACGACTCGCCTTATGATCCACAATAGGCTTGGGATAGCCTGCCTTCTTTGCTTGCGCAGCTGCTCCTCTCCCATAAGGGTCATGGATGGCCTTGCCTTTGATCTCGGCGAGCTCGGGAATCCATTTGCGGATATAATCGCCGTCGGGATCGAACTTCTCGCTCTGGAGCAGCGGGTTGAAGATACGGAAGTATGGCTGCGGGTCTACGCCCACGGAGCTGCTAAATCCCCAACCACCGTTGTTCGAGGCAAAATCACCGTCGATTAAATGTTCCATGAAGAAGCGTTCCCCCATTCGCCAGTCGATCAGCAGGTCTTTGGCTAGAAATGAGGCGACGATCATGCGGCAGCGATTATGCATGTAGCCCATGCTCTTGATTTGTCGCATGGCAGCATCTACGATCGGAAAGCCGGTGCGCCCTTCGCACCAAGCTGCGAAGTGTGAAGCATTGTAAGACCATTCGATGTTTGAATATTCGGGCTTGAAGGGCTTGTTCATGCTAATAGAGTGTTAACAAAGATACGGTTATACGGATACGCGGAGCAGCTGATGGCATACCAGATGTACGGCCAGTTAACCAAAACATGTTTATAGAAATCCCTCCATGCTACCTCGCTAATCCAAGTCTGGATACCTTGAATCCCGGCATCAAGCTTTTTGGTCTTGTTCCGAGCTCTGGCGGTCCGGATAGCTGTCCTTGCACTAAGAGTGCCCGCAGCAAGATGCACTGATATCGACGCCGTGCCTGCGGAGGCGGGGATGTTCCGCCGTTCAGTATATTGGCCAATTCTTTCTTCACAGAACTTCTCTACCCTGTCCATCGCTTCGTGCTCGCCTTCTGGCCAGAGTGAACGAAGTCGTTTGGCATCTTCGTCGGACAATTTCTTGTTTTCCGGTACGTCGGGTATATCGCAGTCGAATAGTACAGACACTTTGTCGCGGGCATCCGGCGGGTTCCTCGACGGTGGTTCAAACGTGTTGAGGAGTTCTGGGTTTCCGTGTACATGTGAAACCCAAGCTCGATACCAAGGAGTGTATACGGCGTACTGTTTTCCGGTACCCGTGTGCAACGCCCCCGGTGGTACGACGCAGGTATCGTGGAAGATGTCCATAGACAACCCACGCTCTGCACACAACCGCACCATCTTAGTCTCTCTGCGAAGCTCGTCGACCTCATATTCCATGTTGGCGAAGAGATGACTCGCACCCCATTCTTCCATAAAGTCGATAATTCGGCTGGGTATTTCTTTCCGTTTTTCTACTTCCTCGACGTATAATGGGATATCCAGAGCAGCTAGGTCCTTTTTGATTACGTGCAATGTTCGAATCATAAAATCCACGCGAGCTGGTGATGTGAGATGTGCTTCAAAGTCTTGTGGGCTCACGATGTATATGCAGATCAACGGGACCTTAGCTTCCCGGGCTTTTTCACTGGCTTCCCAAAGTGCACGATTATCGGCAATTCGCAAATCCATCTTGAACCAGTGAACAACAGCATCCTTTACCTTTACTTTATTCCGCGCCTTGCTTGTTGCCTCAAGGGCGGCGGTGAGTTGTTCCATAGGCCGGGGAATTTCATTATTGCTGTACGCTTGTGCTCGTGCATTGCTCATTTCGTGTGGGTAATATTTGCGAAGTACGATGCCATTCTCTTCAGCTTCTTCTGTAAAGGGATGAGGTGCGCGCAACGGATCAGAGGTGCCATTCCCAACCCTTGGTCTCTTGGGTTTAGTAGCATCTTTAGAGTCGTTGTTAGCAGCAGCTTTCCTCTTGGAAGCTGGCTTTAAAGCCAAAGCATCGCCGATAGAGATTTGCGACGGCATCAGTGTAGCACTTCTTCAATGCTTTGCGGGCTGGGGTGGTGTGAATACTAATCAATTAGTGTAGGCTCATGAATGCGACTCATCCTGAGGTATCTCTTTCATAGAAAAGGAGATCAAAAGAGTCCACTCTCAGTTGACCTAGCTCAGGTTCACTTTCTTTCGTCTGCCAAATTCGCCAAAGCACCCTCGATGACGCACTACACATCTTGTTCCGTAGATCGCGCTGTACCTGGTCGGCTCATTTAGTGGCTTGCGCTAGTAGGGACATCACTGGTTCTGCTATCAGCTACCAACGGAGGGTTCCCTTTTTATGTTTCATATGCCTAAAACCATCATTCCGGATCTGCTTGCAATTACCGTAGGTAGTGTTCGAGTGGGCTCCAAGTGTCGCGCTTTGGTAAGCAGCAAACGTGACTGTGCAACCATTCTCCAACTGACCCAGCCTGAGACAAAGAGATGGTATAGGTAATCTTTTAATCAAACTATACCTACTGGGCTCTTTTCCCTCTCCTCATTTATGGTGTCGATAGTATGAATGACCCTCGATTCTAGTACGGCTGGTTGCTTGTCATTGGCGATATGTGTAACTGCCCACGGCATGATGCTGCATGAAAGGCAAATCACCTACGCTGCATTGGCAAGAAGGTTCAGAGCTCCGTTAAAAGAACACAAAGACTGTTCTTGTATTCCCCTGACAATTGTTATGATATCCATAGCATAATCATATGATTGCGGCGTGCTCCGTGTAGGAACCACCGTTCGCATAATCCAGCCTTCAGTAATCATTAAGGACCATGTGATAGGCACTATGCGGTCGATGAGAGACTTAATAGCACAACCCAACCATGGCCTTAAGTACGATACAAAAGTATAGCCTAAAGAGATGGGACAGCTCAACAGAACCGACATCAAGTTATAGCACCGTCTTTCACAATTGATCGCCAAGTGAAGGAATCGGTTGACAGGTTGGGATACATCCAAGAGAAAGGGGACGTCTGAAACAGATCACCCGAGACCTTAGTTCTGCAGCTTCTTCAGTTGTAGAAGGACCGAGCATTACGCAAAGAACATCCCGCATATCTGATTACCCAACACTGAATGAGTGCACCCATTTCACTTGCATTCCGGGCGCGGTGACAGGAAAAATTCGATAGCTTATAAGGCAATTAGAAAAAATCATTGTCGGAAAAATTTACCGTCTGTAAGCACTCGGACATTGTAATAATGATGGGTATCTTGTATGAGACCAGGAATTCGCCTCAGATGTGGGACAATGGCAATGCACGCAGAATCACAACCTTACAGAATAGGAATTCTTAATATTAATGTTTGACCCGTATCTGTGCCATGGCGAACAGCTCGGACACCACAGCTTTTTCAAGGCCACAAATCGATCTCCGGCACGGAGACTATCAAGGTAGTCCCAGACTCCTCGCCCATAGAATCACTCGAAGGTGGATGCGAGAAGACTTAGCCAGCCGTGAAAAGAATTCATCAACGCCACAAAAGATACACACGGCGAAAGCATCGAGATTGGGGATGATTTTGTTCGTATTGTCAACGTATCCGGAGTCGCATAAGGACGGCCGTATCTCTGTATCGACTAAGCTGCAGATCCTACGCGTCTTGCCATGTTGACCTAATCATGAATTTCCCATAAACGCCGTTACCTGGATTACCCGCTGTTAGAAGGTTTACGAGGCTACCGATCTGTGGGTTGACATACCGCCAATAAGAAATCCTCTATCGGTTGGGGCTCCAGACGTTCTTTAGGAGACCATCCTTCTGAGTAATTCGGTTGAAGGCATCGTCGCTCTCGCCCTATTTGTTATTTAGTATGGAGGAATCGCAGCAAAATAAGTTGTCGGGGCCGAATTACCATGGCGCGCACGAAACCGCTCAGAGCGTAACTTGGGTTTGTTGTCAGTGTAAATGTATTTTAGCAGGTGGGTGCCAAATCCTCATACACGTGGTTCTCGCCGGGCACCTGTCTTCCGTTCTCATCGAGCCTGGCAACCTTTACATTCCGTTAGCAGCCGCTGACTTTGACTTTGGGGTATATGTACTAACGCTGATCTGAACACTGGCGTGGTCGGTGGCCTTGATCACTATAGCAAACCGATGTCAGCCGTCGCATCTCGGTTAAACGGGCCAGCTGTGCATTGGATCGATTTTCTTCGAAGCTGAGCGTAGAACATAGTAAAGATCACAGCGACTTACGACGGCCGGTCGCGCTGCACTTTCGCTATAAGAGTATCCTGTCAGTTTCCACACTGAGATGTCCAAAAGATGGAGGAATGGCAGCATACTGGCACGTAAAGGTCGACGAGTTCTCCGCGGTCGTTCTCCATTTTGGCGATTGGGGCAGAATTGAGATTGAGGCGGTCGGAAATGTGGTTGATGATGGTGTGGTTATCGCAAAGAAATTCTATAATTTTGACCTAGGCCACAGATAGTGGGAGGGATGTGGTGGGGTTGTACCTGGGTATCTTTTGCTCGGCTAAGGTCACGTGCAGCTTGGTCACATGCTTTCGAGTTTATTTCGCGTGGACCCTTCGGCATAAGTTTGCCCCGGTTGCCATTGCCTGGGCCCCGCATCGCCCCATGGGCTTTTATCGGCTCTCAAGTTGGTTAACCGCTGACATGAATCAAGACTCCTCCAGCAGCTACATAGGTACTATCACGACGAATTGCGGACGGTCAAGCATTCAAAGCATAACTCTGTGCCTCTTCTGATACGAAACCGTTGAACTTCGATCTCGCTTTGAGATTTCTTCTTCATAGATGAATTATTACTCTTTTTGACAACTTCAATCTGCCTGTCTACGGCGCGTGCCGTTGCGCTAGAGGCGCAGCGTTAACTATCCATACCCGTTTGACAATGTCTTCCAGAGATTCTTTTCTGTCTTCGCCACCTCGCGCCGGATCTTCCGGTCAAAATTTCTCCTCGTCCTCCCCATGCCTCCCCTCTCTCGATGAGATATTTCTCAAGAAGAGCCACAACAAGTCTCCCTTGCATCCTAGGAATCGCGCTGCACCCGTCTCACATAATACCCACACGTTCACAAGCGCTGCAATTCTTCTGCGAGATACCCCTAAACCTGATATAGATATCGAGGAACTCACCAACTCGCCACCATTACGAACGAAGAGCCACACAGCATCTACACCATACAATACGACGTTCACAAGTGCTGCAATTATATTGAGGGACGCTCCTGAAATCGACATAGATACTGAGGAAATCACCGATTCGCCACCCCGAAGGGAAAAAGAAAAGAGCACGAGCGGCAAACGGAATACTTCGAAACCTAATATATCGTCAGTCGTTAGAAACTCAACAGAGCCCGTCATTGCGATTGGATCTTTATCTCCGAAAGATAAGCCATGGCAAAAGTTCATAAGTGAAGCGTCTACGCGGGATGGTGACCAGCCCTTACGCTCCCAATGTGCGAAGAGGCCGACTACAAGAAAGCTCTCGGGCAGGGCTTTTGAGTCGATACCTAAGCATCATTCTACGGGGAAAGAGGTGTTCTTATCTGAAGATACTTCTAGTGGTGTGAAAAACAAAAATAGTACGGAAGATGTGCTGGACGGAGTTGTTTCCGGCGCCGAACAAGAACTTGCTCTTCCTCGTCGGGGCGATTGGACTCCTCCAAGAGCGAATGATCCTATTGTGCTTCATTCCGACTCAGATACTCGAGAGCTTGTCTCGTCGGTCGATAAGGAGCCGGTATCAAAAGACGTGTTTCAAAACTTACATAGCCAGTATGGAAGAAAAGATGTGGAGTTGGCACAAAAAGCATGTCAACAGCCCAAAGACGATTTTCTAAAGAAACGCAAACGCATTGAATTGATATCTATAGGTCAAAATCATGAGAGTTTGAACTGCCATCAAGGCGCTCAATCACTAGACGTACAGCAGCCAGAGGAACAGACGAAGCGGGCAGATCTTCAAACACCCGTGCCCAAGAAGAAGACCAGGACAATCACTGAACTTGCGATAGCTCCTTTCGCAGCCCCACTTCCATCCGACATTGAACTTGCAGGACCAGCAACTAAAGAGTCGATGCTGGATTATTTCGATGTCGACGGTGCCGTTAAGGCGCTGGTTGAGCATCAATCGGCTGTCATGTCTCAAAGAAAACCTAAGGCTAAAGAGACGAAGAAGCCATCCAAGACAAGACGCAAAACAAAAGGGGGCACAGAGGCCAACCCGATTTTATTGTCTCCAAGCACCGCCTTGAAGCAGTCATCGAATCAAGATTTTCTTTTTGGAACTTCCAGCCAACTCGTACAGGAAGATTCTCCAACGACCTTGAGAGATATTCAGGCTGCTATCCGTGCGTCCAATAGCCTCAATTCTGTCCCTTTTGATCCCGATATACCCCAGCGCTTATGGCATGCTGGAGCGCGTGATGAAGAAGGTGAGTTGATGGAGATGGAAGTTATAGATTTACAACATGGTCGTACAGTCAAGTCAGGATCAGATTCAACAACCACTCCCAGTGGTCGAGATTTTGTTGATATCGATGATATTCTAGACTCACCGTTGCCAGTGACTTCGTCCCCAAACACAATATCTGGAGGCAAACAGACAGTTTCACATTTCTTTCGGTCACAGAACACCAAATATGACTCGAATGGTGGGGCCCCCGAGTCTCAAGACTTGGGAAATGCAACTAGTGTTGAGCCCCGTCCCAATTATGAATTATTTACAGATGGGCAGCTCAGCAAACAGATCGCGTCGTATGGGTTTAAGGTGGTAAAGAAACGTGCTGCGATGATCGCATTGCTAGACCAGTGCTGGACAAGCAAACATCAAGGCAAATCAGCTGGTTCAACACAACATTTGTCAACGTCTAGCCGTACCCCAACGCCAGCTCAACAAGAGTCTACAAGTGATGTCCAAAACAAAGCCCCTTCAAAACCCCAAGGACGCGGCCGGAGGAAGAAAGATGGCGAGTCAGTAACATCAATTGCCAAACCCACTCCATCAGATACATCCAGTTCTAAACGGCCACGAGGTCGACCAAAAAAGAATGAGACTGCACCCACCACTAAGGCAGAGTCTAGTACCTCAATACCAAGCCCTAGGCGACCGCGTGGTCGTACTAGAAAGCCGAGTACTACTTCTGTTGAAATCCCAGATTCTGAGAATGAAACACCATCACCCATTTCCTCGCCTGACCCGGTCTTCTCTTCGCCGCCTCTGTTGGATCTAACAACCTCAGAAGAGGGTGATATGTCTCTGAATATGTCGCCGACTGATAAACAGGCAGAGTTATTTAAGCATATAACTAAAGCTGTGACTTCAACACCTCGTTCACAAGATCCGTCAAGTCCGTCTTGGTATGAGAAGATGCTTCTTTATGACCCTATCATCCTCGAAGAACTCGCATCTTGGTTGAATGGGGGCGAGCTAACACGTGTTGGGTACGATGGGGAAGTGTCTCCATCTGATGTGAAGAAATGGTGTGAAAGTAAGAGTGTTATTTGTCTCTGGCAACAGAATACCAGAGGGAAGGAGCGCAAGCGATACTGAACTATTATGAGATTACGAGCTGAATGTCCGATGACTGTACTCATAAAGAGCGTTCTCGTTAATTAGTGAGCTATAATATAATCTAACCACGGATTATACACTTGCGCTGTAATTCTTCTTGCGAGGGCGCCGGGGTTATTCAGCGGTATAAAGTAACACGGCCTGGCTAAGCAATTTCACAGCACTCTTAGACTTGTGACAGTAAGTAATGCGGCCGTATCTCTGTCACTATCACTGCACTTAACAGATTGATACCCGAACTTGAAAGTGAGTGTGTTACTTATCCCACAACTCCTTGCCCATAAGTATATTGTCACAGTGCCATAGTTGAGTATAGAGACGCAGGGTCTCGACCTGATAATGTCGTTTACCTTTTGGTAGTGCAACAGTTTATAGTACTATACTCCTGTACTCTGTTCCATCACATGGATACTTTCTCTACAAAGGTCTCGCTGTTGGATGGGCGCATTGGTTAAGGTTCCTCATGGTGGTGTTTAAAATTATCTTAATCCTCCGGACAGCTGCCGCGATTGCTTGCCGTGGTGTCTTTGATTAACGTGGCTTCTTCGCCTCGTTTTCAGCCTATTAGCCCATGAAGACAAGTTAGAGGTACAAGTCTCTTTGCTACTCTACTTCTCAGGATATTAGTACATAGTTGCGATGAGTTGCTCCCAGTGTTACACGTGTAACCTCTGTACCGGTTGAAGAATGCAGTTCGCCTTGCACTTCGGCCGTACGAAGGACCATTGCAGGCTGTTCATGACCTTCCAAGACATGCAGGCAATATTGGGCGATATTGGAAAGTGAGGTTATACAGACTTCGCTTCTTGAAACAGACCCCAGAGACCCAGGCGGTCTGGGCTGGCAGATCATTTGTATATAGAGTCATCTCAAGCCACCAACAGCCGAGAAGGAGTTGGTTGGCCAAGGACTTATGCAGCCCTAGTTGATCATTATAATCAGAATCCTCAGTTCCAAGCCCAGTTCAACTGCCCTTGTTATACCCAGACACCTAGCCTGTTTCTCTTACCTCCTTGCTTGTATTTTATGCTCAAGTAAATCTATCACTCTCTGCATCGATTGATTTTAGCTGGATGTAGTCCTCAAGTAGGTTTCATAGAGGCAAGATGTCCTTCTGGTTTTGAAATCCTTACAGTAAGAAATGCATTCTGCTGTTATAGATGCACATCGCAAAATAGTAATTCTATGCAGATTACTAGGCACCTCAGTTTTCAAGCTGCGAACCTGTTAACAGTTCGCATTTAATATAGAACTATTCCCTCTAAACATGAAATTTTCCTCGAGTTACTGATACAACCATCCGAAAAGCCTAGTCTACAAAGAACATGCAAATCAGATCTGCCGCAACTGCCCCATTTTGTGTATTAACTCGTGCTATCAAATTATGTAGGTACTAACCCCCTATATATTCTCTTTCACTTTACCTTAACCCCCCCTTCCTGCATGTTGTCTGACATTCATTCATGTTTTGCATCGCCCCCCTCTACCTCACTGCTAAAAAGAGGATCTTAATGACAAAATGCAAAGCACATCATGTTAACATGATCCGATTCGTTGAGAGCTGCAGGATTCGAACCTGCGCGGTTTCCCACTGCGGGATTTATGGTATAACCTCATCGAAGAGATTAAGCCTAAACACAGCGCCTTAACCACTCGGCCAAACTCCCACTGTTTTGAAAATCTTGCCGCTAAGATAACCCTTGTGTTGTGATTCGGCCAAAAGTGCCAAGACCCTCTAGGCCACCCGGCAGCCGCGGCAGCCAACCATGCCCTTGGCGAGAGTGGAGCTATAAGCGATTGGGTTTATAGAGTCACAAGGTTGGATTGTTATACTTAGGGCAAAGGAGCCTAACAGGCAAGAAGCTCCTAGGTTGTATGAAGTCTGAAGAGGATAAATAGCCCAAGTTTCTCCTAGCTTAGAGAAGGAGAGACACCAAGGCTCCCGAGAACCCCAGTGAATTGCCAAATATGACTAAGTTCCCTCTACTAAAGCCCTCGTCATATTTATAACATGCTGTAAGCAAGTAAAAGCAGCTATAATATTAAAGTATTCATGGTAAAACTAATATCGAAATGCTAATATTAAAACTTCATAGTTTAAAACTTTTATGATCAACAAAAAAGTATTCGAACAAATTCAAACATCTCAAATTCTGCATCAGCCGTGAATCGAACACGGGGCCCATCGATGGCAACGATGGATTTTACCACTAAACCACTGATGCGATTGTGAACATGATGATCCAAGGTGACTAACTCACATTCTCTTTTTTGTTATATAGAAAAAGCATTGTCTATGTCACAACGTCAACCAAGCGCATGTCCTGTCGCTGATTCAACGGGCATTACCGCCTTAATAAGTCTACAATAAGTGGAAATGATATGGCTGCCTCCTTCATGTATTATTTAAAGCACAGCAAAGGCGCTTCTGATTTGTGGCCCTCAGACAACATCTATTAACAAGCCTCCCAAACTCCATTAGCCTTCTAGCCCAAGGTTTGGTTGAAATTTAAATATCTGACACGAAATTCTATCAGTTGCATCGTAAAAGTCAGATTCGGTTAAACTATACATGTATTGACCGAAACAACCTGGGGATAAGCACGTGTGGCTCTGCTATTCAATATGAACATGGGTTTTGGAGATGCTTTGCGGTCCTATGGCGAATACGGATGTTGCCTCCACGTCCAATAGTACAACCAGCAATATAAGAAGACCGCCAAGACATGCTACTGTTGGATAGAACTGAATATGCGTAAACAGATTTACCCAACGCCAAGAGGCTCGAGAAAGTAGTGATCAGGAACTCTCCACTTTCTGGTAGTTATACCCGGTATTCGAGTATTAGGCTATAGAGCAAGAACGGGTCTGACTATAACGCACTAATTGCATGCTGGCTCATTCCCATGTGCGAAGGGGGACTGAGACATATGATGCTGACGAGTACCTCGGAAAGACAGCCCTGGCTCTGGACTCGATTTTCTGACGCGGAACGAAATAGCAGGTGGGAAATGTAGTTCAATCTCTAGTCGCACCGCGTACTGACTGACTCATTCAGCACCCTTGTCCTATCCCATGGGAAGTGTTAGGTAAAGAAAACTGGGCGATAGAGAGGTGCTCGCAAGCCCGTTCCCGTTATGAAATCCATTCAGTGAAAAAAGATGGGCAATCCGAGCCACACAAGATCTCTTCACCTTCATATCTCTTTTCTTGGTATTCGAACTCACTTACGGTAGCGCCACTCCTGAATAACTGGAATGTCTATCTCTTCCAATCCACATGGCGCGGTCTATCTCTCCTCACTTCTACAGATTGACGGATGCTCAATCAAAGGTGTGCAATTTAATATTTACTTCTAATTACGGAGATGATGCGAATTTTTCTCCGAAGGGCTCGCTGCTAGCAAGAAACGACACAATTCCCGAATCTAGAACCAAGTCGATTACGCGGAATCAAAATATGACGAAGTCGGTTAATGAGAGGGCTCGAGCTGCAGCCATTGTACTGAACCGCTACCGGATTGAATACAAAAATGATTGGGATCTTCCCCAATCCATACTTCATTCTCAGGTCCAGATGCAAACGGCGCTTGAGCGAGATGTTCCAATCGAGCTTGTGATCCCTGCATTTCCGTTCAAGTCTTCTAATCGCTCAATGAAAGTCCTGAGCCCGCTACCGGATGAAGCTGAAAGACTTTCGCTGTTACATCTCGATGGACTCTGTTCAGCTATAGCAGATGCCACTTGTTCACAGACATTTTTGACAATTATCTCCGATGGGATTATATATAATGGTACGACATCTGTTGTTGATAATGCAAGATGGCTACTAAAGTTGTTTTTAGATATCCTAGGTGTCTCGGATCAAGAGGTATGGAGATACGGCCAGCAACTACGACAGATGGCAAAGAGTAATGGCTGCCATCGCCTTCGATTTTTACGGATTTCCGACTTAGTCGGCGCCGACGACGAATCATCAAGACTAAATGAAACACTCTATCTTTCCAGGGTGTCTGAATATCGCAGTATACTTGAGTCAAACACGCCGAGCGGCTTTGATGTGTTGCATGCCATCACGAACGATCCGGACATTACCAAGACATACAAAGGCTATAAGAAATTTTTAATAAGTGAGAGAGATGATAGAACTAATCGCTCTCGGTCTCAAATGGAAAGGGAAAATAGTGTCATTGCTAAAGCGATGATACTTAGAGGAAAGGTCAGTAAATGCCTAACCCGAGCTGTGAACCTCCAAGCTAAAGCGTAACAAGGCATTTGCTGAAGCTGTAAAGCTAAAATTCCCGGATTCTATTCGCCTTTCAATCCACCCCTCTAATGATATAAACAAGGTGTCTATAGCTATGTTACCACAAGACAACGAGATAGTTATGACTCCATGGCATGGGGCTGTTGTACGTGGCGTAAATGCTCGTGTCTCAATGTCGCATGCCATTTTGATACCAGCTATGACGCATGACATTGTACATGTTGGCGGACACCCAAGTTACTTCCGTGAACGATCCGATTTATTTACATGGCCTAATCTTAATGTCAAGTTCGAATACTTGTATCCTTGTGGTATTTTAGTCACGCCGGCTGAATCAACATCTACTTACACCGTATCGATGGTGGATATGCAAAGGATCCAGATCCTTGCAACATATTGCTCTCCAGTTATCTTAAGAGGGTTCTTTGGAGGCCAAGACTGCGTTCCATTAGCTTCTAATCCAGAAGATATCACCTTAGATCTACCGAGGAAAAATGACAACCGTACGTTTATTCAGAAGCAGCGGCCACCGGGAGTTTCTTATTGCTGAGTTGCACACATCTGAACAGTAAGAGCTAACTCTGATATCATAGCGGTATTGTCCACAAACATATCCATACACTGCAATAGCATGGCCAAAAACAACACTACAAAACAGAGGGAAATATACCAGGATCCCCAAACATCTAGCGCTCCCCAGTCGCAGTTTTCTATCTTGAGTATATCAGCCCCGGTCAGTACTGGCTCCGTGTTTTTCGCCTCCTTCGATCTTTTCAGTCGCTATCTACCGCGGGCCTACCCCGTCAGCAAGCTCGAGAAGATCAAGTGGACATACTGCTATCCCGGATCACCCCCTAATGTTAATGAGAGCATCCCACTAGTAGTTCGACACCCAGTCCGAAATTTGCCATGCATTCGCTGGCATCGGTCTTGGCCACAATGGAGGAAACCTGGAGCAAGTGCTAATATCAGCATTGTGAATGGGTCACAGAGTCTAGTACCTTTGGTTGATAGCTTGTTAGCTGACCACCGAGTGTGTCTTCGTTTTCGAGGGCAAGAAGGAGATATAGTAGTTGTCGATAACTTCACCGTCCTCTATACTACCACTACTTGATCCAGCACCAGGCGCATTCAACCAACTGTGGCATGTTTCTGGGCAATACCGACTTGTAAAATAAAACTTTTAAAGGAACTAATATAAATGCTACTATATTAGTTATAGTCTTTTAATTTAATCCTTCTTTTAAACAATTTTTTTTAAATTTAATTATTAATATAATTTTTATAGTCGCCACTTTGACAATGCCAAAGACCCCGGCCTTCAAGGGTTCGTTGTATGTACGAGTCTTCAGTAGGCTTGGAGGTGCTGGATGAGAGGTAGTCGATGAAGGAGTCGTTTGTCAGAAAGGGAAGGCGGTGATACTTGCGTTCCACATACTGGAATGCTAGGAATCTGTATATAAGACCTTCATCCAGCCAGATAACTGTATTGTAACTTAGACTTCTAGATAATCTAATGGGATCATATGTACTACTCTTGACATCGTTAAGTTCAGAACAACACGATTGCAGACACAAGTTTGCAGCAACTGTCTGATACCACTCATGGTCGGGGACATTGTCATTCTGAGCGAGTTCACTGATAACGTAAGGGTGAGGGGATCACACCACTTTGCTTGTTGTTTCCCTGAAGTTGGCAGAAATCAGAGGTGTAATTGACCAATAATTAGAATTCAAAAGCCTCAAACGTTGTTTGCGCAGATCTTATTTGTGGAACCTGCCCCGCCATCCAGATGTTCTGCATCGCCGAGCCAACTGAAACAATCCCAGCATATTATTCCCACTCCTCATCTATCGCACTCAGGTAGAGAATATATACTAATTGTCGTTAGAGTCGTACGTCTAAGGATGTCATTCTGACAAAGTGCAACATCATCTCACTCTCACTATGGCACGTTCAATAATAACTTCTCTGCATCGCCAAAACATGTTTGCACGTCGAGTGTTCTGTTCATCTTTCCCTAATACAGCCATACTCCGGTCACCATTCCGTATCTCTGCAGTGTCATCGAGATCAAATATGCCCTCTCCCGCCCCCCACGAATACCCTCCGGCGAGAATCAGCCGCATAGGTTTCCTCGGCAGGGTTTGAGTTGCTCAACTTGGCCGATAAGGTTGAAGAAGAAATGCTACCTTACTACGTACGGGACCAATACTACCCGATAACAATTGGGGAAATTGTTGGTAGTCGTTACCAGGTAGTTGCAAAGCTAGGATATGGCGCGACATCTACCGTATAGCTCGCCCGCGATCTGCGGGACCAGACATTTTGGGCACTCAAAGTTCACATTAACATTATTGAAAACAATCAGGAACTCGAATTATTTCGCCACTTGGCTAATACCCCCATGGAAGAAGAGTTCCTACATACAGCAGCACGTCCAACAGCTTAAAGCTTCATTCAAGCTGAAAGGCCCTCATGGTGACTACGATGTTTTCGTCTTGCCTCCTATGCAAAAGACTCTTCGCGATTTCCGGGCGGCGCTTCGAGACGGAATATTTCAATCGCTTTTCGTCACGCAAGCTCTTAACCAGGTTCTTTTGGGCTTGTGCTACCTTCATGTTGCGAACATGGTCCACACAGGTAAGTTCAACTAACGCGTGTCACGCTCAGCCGGTCATGGCCAGTCATGACCAGTTTTCAGACCTTCATTTAGGCAACCTACTCATCGGCCTTTGGGATCTATCAAAAATGTCTATAATGGAAGAAACGGAGCTACATACACCATCGTCCAGGAAGCGCATCGGCGATCGTACTATCCATACATCATGAATGCTGTTAAAAAGGGGGGCCGGTGGTCCTCCCACTATCTGTGGTTTTGGGCGGGCCCGGGTAGGTGGAAAGCACAGCGGAGTGGCTATGCCACTTCAGTATCGAGCCCCAGAAGTGATTCTCGGTATAGAATGGGGCATTCCCGTAGACCTCTGGAGTGTAGGACTCGTAGTACGCAAATCTCTTCCTGTTCTTCCATTCTTCCTGCCCTGTTCCCTTCATATGTTGTGCCCTCGCTGACATTGTTGATACAGACTTGGGATCTCCTTGAAAAAGAGCTTTTATGTGACATATACGATACACACTCCCAGGACCTGAATGATACGCACCACCTTGCTGCTATGACGGCCCTTATTGGCCCGCCACCATCTGGGTTTCTCAAAAGGAGCGATAGGACAGCCCAATTCTGGAATAAAGACGGTAAGCAGAATATTTCACATTGGGTTTCTAGCTCCTAACGTCTTCATTAGGACATTGGATTGGACCTATTCCTCTACCTTTAAATAAAACTCTCGAATCTCTTGCTGGTACTCTGAATGGAGAGGGGAAGGATATTTTTCGACTTTATCAAGCAATTACTGTGGTGGATTCTAGAAGGCCGAACTAATGCTATTGACATGTATTTCCACCCTTGGCTAGGGAATGACATCCCTAACCTAGAAAACGAAGGGAGTGAGGAGGCATGATATTGGAGAATAGGCGACTGAAATAGCTTTCCGTCAAGCGACCTGTGGGAAAAAGTTTCTGCCAGCAGCTAGTCTGTACGCTCCTACGGCATGCTCTGGCGTTCATTGTACTTCTAGGATTTTCCCCTTCTCCATCTTGTGACAACAGCATGCAGTTTATTCTCTATCAAACACTGATAATTATTCTATCATGCTATATCCGTGGTTCGATCATTCTTAGATTCTTTTGACACGAACCTCGGTCGGTATCTGTAACGTAGTACTCATTCTCCACACATGTGTCCTACCTATGACTTGTGTTGTTTAATACGTGACCGTTCATCGGCAGTGCAATATTCGTCTCTACCTCTTATCAAGTACTATTCCTGGAATAATTTGACGAGAGTAATAATCAATGTTCCTAGTTCATTCCCTCTGGATTCATCGATGCCATTTCTAGCCTGCTGCAAGCAATGTTGCATCTCGCGTGACAAGGGTCAGACTCATACTTTAACGTGATGTATCTTGCTGGGGATGTTATCTAGACATGATCACACCTAGAGATAATCGGAGAACGAATGGTGAAATTTGACTGGCGCACGAGGATACGACAGACCGGTAATCAAACTGTGTGCTGTTGTTAGATTATGTGGCCTGACGTACAGGCTGCCCTCCTGACTATATATGTGTCACTTGATCCCCCAAGATCTATGTTTTTTCTCTCTTCTCTTATCATCCTGAATGCAATTACTTCCTCTGCTTGCTGTATGAATCCTTCCATCTCAATTCCTGCAGCCCCGCACACCAGCTCGATCCAGGTGAAGTAGTGTTTGATAAAATTATATCTTTTCCTACTCAACTGGTAAAACCTTTACATATCTACATACTCTACTACCATTAATTGCCGATAATGTTTGGCAGAGGTCACGCTTCATCTTCCGCTGGGGGCTCGGCCAGACCCGCATGCACTGGATATTATAATCTATCTTTGGCTGCCCCTCCATCTACGCAGGAGTTCCCTCGTTTCCTTAACCTCCCCCCTGAACTCCAGAGCGAGGTTTGGCGCTTCGTTTTGCAACGCCATGAACGAATAATTCATGTCTTCTTACGCAACCGTCTGTACAATGACATAATCTTGAGAAGACAAGGTATTCACAGACTCAATTCCTGTGAAGTCCAACCATATGATATTGTGGTTCATGGGTACCAGACGCTCAGTGTACTATTTCGGGTCTGCCGTCACTCTAGAGATGTCGCTTTATCTTTCTATAGAGTGCATCTTCCCTGTTGGTTGATTAAAGGCAGCAACACAAGGAGTACAATCTTACAAACTGGAGTGCTCTACTTCAACCCGGAGGTAGACTTTCTCTATATCCGTCCAGAGTACTACGCCGATTTCGACAGTAGATTATTTGTTCTATTTCTCCATGATTTAAGAATGCTTCATGATCCTAATCATGTTGGGCTTTTGAATTTAGCCATTGATCGACACGGTCTCACGGGCCCCTCCGGCGTGCATAGTGGTCTTTGCAGCATCGACCCAGATTCAATTCAAGAGTCTCTGAGATCATGCTTGGCAGCTATTCTCAAGCATCTTCGCCAAGTCTTTTTTGTTTTTGGTCCATACGACTCCCGCTTCGATCCTGGGGCGTACCTTGATGAACCGTCGTTAGAGACTTATGTGAATCGTGGGATTCCCGTGGCACCGATGGCTCTGAACTTTCGGCGATTGCATCCAGACCCACGTCCCATCGCCCAGCATTTAACTAGGATCTACCTCGATTCAGATCCTAATTTTATGCCTAACATCTGGAGGGCGATTCTGAGTCTCTACTTAGGCGAGGGAACGCAGGTGAATACAGAATATCGACTTCTAGTGTCTTCTATCCCTGATGAGTATGAGATCTACGATTGTTTTGATGGAGAGAGGTGGTTGGGAATGGAACAATGTACTTGGGACACCAGAAATTTCAGAGTGGAGGACTTTACACAGACAGTGTTTGGGTTCTGGTTGTTTCCTATAGATGCATTTGGCCCAGCCCAAGACTCTATCTATTTTGGCTCTGTACCTAATTTTGTAGGCCACCCGACAACTTGGCCTGACTTGGCTTGGGTAGAGCTGCCACGAAGGTTGTAAATGCCACCATATCTGGCACAGTCTAATGTTTCTTATATCTTCCCGAGAAATCCAATGTTCTTTCATCCTGGATGTATGATTTCATGTTCCAATGCCGACTTATGCTCCTTGACATTCATTACAAAGGCCGTGTATACTGTTTTTGTTCTGATGTAAATTTCAGTATAGCAAATCACAGAGCTATCACGAAACAATCATGGAGCTTAACAGTTCCTTTGAAGCACCAATTAAGACAGGGTTAGGTTATTTTCGCTGGCCTCCGTATTATGTGCTTTAACAACTCTTATGCAATCCCGACCTTTGAAACAGGCTGACATTTAGGAAGTATGAAGTGCAAGAACGACAACCAAAGGTGAAGCAGTATCTGTTGGAGTTATCACTATGCTATTCCCACAGATAGATAGAAAGAATCGCTGGGTAGTCGCCGGTCTGCCCAGTGCCAAGAATGCATACCAAGGTTACGAGATCGCACTGATGCTTTCTCCAGACTAATACCAACGCTTTTCAACCTGTATTGTGTCTTTTTTGCCCACGAGATCTTCGGGAAATGTCCCTAAAGCGGGCAAGGGCAAGATTATATTGTCCACTATCAATCTGCGCCATTATCACCGAGTTCTTCATACCAAATGCCAATAGCGGATGTGGCACCTCTCTTAAAAACATGCAGGGAATGCATGACTTCCTGATACCTGTTGGGGCCGGTTTGGTCAACGATGTATGCGGAAAGGGGAATATCGGTATCCGTAATATCGTGCGCTTGGCCCTTGAGCATCTCCTTTGTTACAAGTAGTCACTGTTTGGCTGATACAGCGTTGAACTGGGATCTAAATAAGGGCTTTGGATGTATCGATCTTGTTGGTTGGTCGCAACATTTAGGATGGGTACAAATAGTGCGGCGCAAAGATTGTACACGGGATTGTCGTTAACTTAGCACTCTCGGGTGGAAATAACTAGGTATTCTTAGGGTTACGATTCAGAGGAAGCTGAGATTGCGTCGGGAGACTGTTGCGGTGGTTTATTCGAAAGCTGATCCTGAACACATAGATGTTAGTGTACCTTGGAAGCTTAGGATTGCGAGAATACTGCATAGCCAGGCTCGGTCCAGTCACATGGTCTCTAGGCAAGCGAAAGGAATTCTGTGTACGCCAGTAACCACAGAGGCTACAAAACCTCATTCATTGCGCCAGTAAGTCAGAATTGGAGTGTTTGCCAGCGCTTCTAATAGCTGGAAAGCGGCTGCCAAGATAGGAGCGATTAGATCTGTCGCCATTAGGCTTGTAGGAAAATCAATGGGGAGGATGAAGGAAGTAGCCTTGCGGGTGAAGCTGGAGATCTTGCTCGACATTGAGAAGAGAGTGACGCAATAATATCAATGACCCCGCAACCATTGAGGTTCACAATAGCAAAGGAACCGTGAAAACATTTTTCTGAATACATCTGTCGAACCTAAGTGGCACTTTGGGCTGGAGGAGCTTCTCCTTGTTATTCTTGGCCTGCTTTGGATTGATAATTGCATAGTTGAGCTCCAGTAAACGAGAAGCAATAACAAATGCGGCTGCAATCTAGACAGAAAGGAACGCACAACACACATACCATCTCTTTATCTCCATAGCCAGCAGAATCGCCCATCCTGTAAGAACTCCCCTGCTAGTTATGTATTGTTTCGGTGTTGGGATACCTGCGAAAGTTCCAAAGGGACAGGGACAATCAAGTGTGCTGGTTTGAAGTGGCAAGCCGTGGGTAGTTCTGCGAGAACTATCTTTATAGAGACAGATAGCTTGTCAGTCTCTAATCAAAGGATACATAGGAGGTTCTCTTACCCTCTGTAATTCTTGATGGCAGCTCTGGCAAGGCTTTCTTTGGCCATGTAGCCTCCATAACTTATGTTCCTGCTGAAAATAAAGATTGTGGGATGGTGCAACTCCCGAACGGGGACTTTCAGAATGTACTCTAGCAGTGAAAAATCGCAGTTGTGTGTCACTCACAGCCCAATTCTAAACACCGGACAATTCACAATGCTGCACCAGTGGCCTGATATTCCTCTACAAATGTCTATGCTTTCGGTGAAGCCTTCTATTTTTAAAACACATTACCAAGAAACTTGTTCCATATAGGTAGAAGAATTCAAGGCATATGTCAATGGCAACACATGTAGTCTCTGCGCATTGGCGCTCCAGTTGCTTTCTTCCCCTACATAGACCCAGTAGCAGACGCTTGTTGGTACCACTACCCACTCGCCGGAAGATTCAATTAGCACTCCCAGTACGTAATTATTTGCGCAATAACAACTACAGTTACTGGGCTTTCTCCGACGTGCAGTACTTCAGGGGTAGTGTGCTGTAATAGCTGTCGGAAGCAACAGTAGGGCCACTTCTAACTTGATTATTAATTTCCATCTTCCTATTTCTTGACCATCTCCATCTTCGAGCCTTATAATATGCCGATATCTTGGTGACTGTCCCTACCTTTCTGTGTATCTCTGAGAGCCATCGACCAGCGTATCAGACCATCATCGCCATTCCTACTTGCTGGCCAGTTACTGCCACAAGTTACGGACTACTACCGCAACGACGATGGAAGCAAGTTGGTTATTGAACATTGTTGAATCATTATGATACTGCTATCCCCTTCTCTCCTAGCTAGAAGAAGGAGTAGCAACGGTAAGCACCGTTGATTCAGGGCTTCGTCGGGGCGACTCATTTTCTAGCAGGTAAGCAGTAAGAACAGAACAATTTATCCTACCGAACCTTCATTTGACAAGCTGAATCCGCTTCAAAACTATTACCTACAGGATACAGTCCCGGGCAGGCGGTTGATTCAAATTGGTCAAATTCGCCTCGACTCTCCCTTCTCGCCCGACAGCCGCAATGCTTCCTTAGCCCTCCAACTCTCCTCTTGACGAGAACCCGATACCCCGATTCTAGATAATTTCAATATGTTATTGTTAGCTAATGTTCATTTACTCCATCACCAAATGAACCCGGAAGCGAGGGTAGGTGGAGGGTTGGGTGTTTCAACGCCACCGGACGTACCCTCGCAATTCCTTGAAGGTGGCCTACGGAGTCTAGGGTTATATGCCCGAGATATTGAACCTTGTCCTCGAAGAAAGAAGACCCATTAACAATTCGAGCGAACGGGCAACCCTTGCATCCAGTGGATACGTCGGAGACAATACCCTGCTACAATCAATATTCCCAGTGCCATATCCCCAGAGTTGTGTAGCGCTGCCTGCTCACGATCACTCCAATAGAGGAACAGGTTCACGGCTTCTGCAGAGCTGCACTGCATGTGAGAGCACTCCATATTTTGATCTGATAGGATATGTGTAAGGTTTACGAAAGTCTGCGAGTCGCTAATCGCTGGCTGTAGTTCAAGACGAGTTCACTCTCCTATCTTTGACTTGACAGAGCATTGTCCGCTGGAGTTCATTGCTTCACAACTCACGAGATTTTCCAAGTGCGACATTCCAAAGCTAGATTTTATCTATCAAGACTGCTAAATACGCGGTAACAACCTGATTCAAGATTCGCGCAGGCATGCGACAAACGTAGCAAGTAAACCCCACCGCAATATTCTAATAGAAACCCCGATAGTTCCCCCATTGTCCATGTAAAACAGTATATCTACAGATACTTAAGTATAGCATGGCGGCGCTCAGTAGTCGGTGGTCTGGCCTTTAGAAGAGGCCTAATCCTTTTCAGTAGCAGTCATACATAGATCAACAATAATTGTTACCAATTATTTACCATCTAGATTGAGCTACTTCGGAGAACTTTCTTCTAGGCTTAGGATTGTGCTCTGTAGCTTTATACGTCAGCTAGGTGCGAGCTACAACTAAGCTAACGAGAAGAGAGAGTCGAGATTTGGTTAGGTTTCAAAATAATAGGGAGAATTGCGATGGAACCCCAATGCTCTCCCCTGTTGGGAGGGTGCAAAGAGTATGGTACCACTCCCATTTTGTTGCTGCACATGAACTCGGCGCGAAATATGTGTTCGGGTTCGGATTCGTATAGATCCGCCGGCAGGCTGAACGTGAACATTCCTACATGGTTCTATTAATGTGACCTTTCTGCCTTGTGAATAATTTGTACGAGGGTGCTGTGTCCCCATCGTTGTTTTGTTTTGAGTATCACCATCACCACTCATTTCCTCTACAAGTGGAAATTAAACCGTGCCATAGCCCCCAACCCATCAACAATACTCCTTATGATCCCCTAACTAGCAGAAGTGAGGGATGGTACGGCCGAAAGCGCGAATATCAAGTGGGTCAATTCAGCAATCGTGTTTACTATAGAGGAGGGGTACATGTCGTGGTACAATCCTGACCAGTACTGTACTTTGTAATAGAAGAGGGCAACTGCCAAGCGGGTACATGGAATATGCGTGCTAGGCTTCGGATCGGCTAAGTCCGTGTCCCATAATTTGGACTATACTCTATGATTGACTGCTTCTGGTCGATGTTCAGACGGTTCTTACCCCTCATCATACCTTGGCGCGATCATAAGCAACATCTGGGCGCTACATCTTACCTTTGAACACAGTATGTATTCCATATTTAGCTCTCTCTTCATCATCCCGCAACAAGTTAGTCGGACCGACCTGAGATATTCGCCTCATCAACAATTAGGTATTTTTATGAATTGGACTAAAAATACATGCTGTGCTCTAGTGTAGCGGCGCCGTGGTGTTTCAACACTGCGCACAGTTTACAACTGATCATACATTACGAGCCGTACTTGTTTACATAGAAAAGGATGGCCGCACTCCACAATCACTGCCTAGTTGCGAACTAAGAGGGGTTGCCCCCGATAGTTGATTATTCATATGTTAATTAATTCATTTGTATATACTTCTGGATATGATTATTTTCGCAATTTGAACGATCAAGGTTTGAAGTGACTTTACCCGAAGTCACTGCATTGCTGTCCCATAACCACTCGCGGCGATACCCTTTGTGGGGTTTGTAACTTTCTAAAGCTTCAAATTGTTGCAATCTTTGGTGTCTACGTATTATCTCTGGGCCTCTCAGTGGCTATAAGGGGCTTCTGTAAGTGATGTGCTGTAGAGCATACGTAGGCACCGAATTATCACTCTGCCTCTCATCAAATCTCCCTAGATGCTTTAAGAGATATGAGCTCAAGGGATATTGACGTACAAGGTCTATACATGCACATGCGGCACCGGACAACAGCTCGCCCTAGGATTAGAGAGCCTATATCCCTGCATGACTTACCTATCCTCAACTTTGAAATTCAGGCTACATCCGTAGGGATGGCATAAGAACACATGGACGCAGTCCTCGGCGTATTTCAAAAGATACTCTTAATTAAGTGTACAATGAAGTTGATGGATAAATTGGTAGCATGGTATTGCGTCCGCAGGTAGAACTGGGTTGGCAGTGATCTTATTGTAAGTGAGGTAGGTATGAAGTGGAACCTCAGCCTCAATAGAGCAAAAGTGGAGTGGAAAGGCTGAGTGGCGGTGCAGGGGGCAGGCAGCATTTGTGCAAGGAATTGTGGCTGAAACTTAAGGCGGCCTAGGCGGATCTAGGTAGGTGGTTTGGCCCCAACTTGCTTGCTTAACCTGTATGAGGTAAGCTGCGACGACATCTCATCACCACCTACACCGTATCACTCGTTTTATCATTGCCGTTTTGCTGGCTCCAGCTGTTGCGATGGATCCGGGGCGTCGAGCTATGATTTCTGGCCGTAAGTCTCCCCCTCGCCGTGACATCACCGCTCCCAGACGTGATGCCAATACCAGGATCTCAAAGCCTCAGCGGTCGTTCCAGCCAAACACTACGAGTACTGCTCGACAAACCTATCTCAGCCAAGACGAACAATCGCAGCGTTTTGTCGCCGATGAAGATAAGTTTGTACTCAAGCAGTCCAAGAAGAAAGCGGACATCCGCGTCCGTGAGGGGCGGGCCAAACCCATCGACCTCTTGGCGTTCAATCTCCGATACGTAGATACCGATCGAGATGTTTTCGACGACAACGAGAAGGATGTCCAAATCACCGTCCCTGCGCCTACCGCTGTCATAGAAGCACTCAGTGAAGCGGAGGCTACCGAGCTGGATTCCGAGATTGCGTCATACCACACGCTTGAGACAAATGCTAGGAATAGGGAATATTGGACTGCTCTACGGAGTCTGGTTACCGATCATAAGCTGAAGCTAAAGCCTTTGGCACCTGAGGGACGCGCGGTAAGCGCTGTCACGTCCGATGTAGACAAGATTTTAGGGCCAAAAAGTCTGCAACAACTGGAGAAGCTGGAAGGTCAAATACAGGCGAAGCTTCGCTCTGATGAAGTCATGGACACCGACTACTGGGAACAACTCCTCAAAAGCTTGCAAGTGTATAAAGCTAAGGCAAGACTTAGGAAAATCTGCGATTTGATCCGGGACAACCAGCTCAAGTTGTTGGCGAAAATTGACCCGGACAAAGCCGCGGGACTCGCGGCTGGAAACATCAATGCACAGCCCTCCTTGAAAGATCAGTTTACAGTTTCAGCTGCCATCAACCGGCCAAAACCGGCGGTTCCATCTTCATCTAGCACTAGTAGCGCGCCTCCTGGTACAGCAAGGTTTGCATTCAGCGCGAATGAGGATTTCTCGCAGGCCACCAAAGCTTTGTACGAACGCGAAGTTGCGCGCGGTGTGAACGAAGATGAGGAAATCTTCACAGCGGAAGAAACAGTCTCGGGCATGACGAAACCCCAGTGGGCTGATAAATATCGACCAAGGAAGCCACGGTACTTCAACCGGGTGCAGATGGGCTACGAATGGAACAAGTACAATCAGACTCATTACGATCACGACAATCCACCCCCCAAAGTAGTTCAAGGGTATAAGTTCAACATATTTTATCCAGATCTCATCGACAAGACCAAAGCTCCTACTTTCAAGATTATCCGCGAACACGGGAGAAGGAAGGGCGAGTCTCTTGCCCCTGCGGGTGAAGAGGATACATGTCTCATCCGCTTCATTTCGGGCCCACCCTACGAAGACATCGCTTTCCGCATCGTTGATCGCGAGTGGGATTACAGCGCAAAAAAGGATCGCGGTTTTAAGAGCAGTTTTGACAAGGTATGGTTTCTCATCGCTCTCTCCCCCCTTAAGCTTAATATTCCTTGATTTCTGCGAATCGTTGTGGAAAGGGTGACCGGTTCCCTGCCGCAAGCCTCTGTATGGAGCAACATGTCTTTGTCTACATCTGATTTGAACATCTATCAGACCAGTTTCCAGCCACATCTGTTGTGTAACCATGCACCACATTGTTTCAGAAACCGGCACTCCTATCTCCTACATCACCTCAGGTTCACGCAAGTCGCACTTTGTAAGGACATCAGACTGACATCCTGCTGTAGGGTATCCTTCAACTTCATTTCCAATTCAAGAAGGTAGGCGTTCCGTGTAGAACCCTTCTCGTGAAAGCGGTCATGCTAACATACTATGCTTAGATTTATTACCGAAAGTAGGCCGAGCATCTGCAACGAAAGGCGCCACTGGTCGCTAGGTTGTTAGCGAGACAAACGACGTATGGCAGATAGTTTGTGTACAGTATTAGCCGATATTTCGCATGGCTATAGCAACACACAACGGTTGCATAACAGGGTGCTAGAAACATTCTTTATCTTTCATCAGTCATTTTCTAAGTGATACCCGGCGTTAATTCGTCTAAGCCTAGTGACACAACGACTAGACAAATCCTAACTTCATTTCAGACTGCAGCTGATAGTGTGATGGATCACATTCAGCAAATGAGCGTAAAAGTCGGGGAGACTTCGACATAGCTGGGAACTCTCGTCTATTGGCGGTCTATCTAGTTGCTGCAGCGCGAAAAATACGGATTTGAATGGTGAGTGGCCTAGGTTATCGACCGAGTCCTCGGTGATCGGTTATCATATTGGTAGATCTATGATGCCACACATTGCAGTAAGCTCTGACTTCCCACACGACTCTTGTCCCTTTAGCATCCATCTTCATGTCTGCAGATCAATGGGCCTTCATGTCGGCTTCCTGGCCTCTAAGGTGGTTAGCCGACCCGTGAGATCTTCTAGAAGAGATAGGAATAATATGCAGATGATGGCATCCGCTAGAAACCACGTCCCGCGCTAGCATCCGGGCCTAAATTAGGAGTAAGGCTGGTGGTAGTTGCCAGGCGGCCGCAGCGGTGTAACCGTCAATGAGGCGAGCTTTAACGAATAGATGGAGACTCTAGATGCTAAACCCATCACTGCCATGCAGGTAGCCGTAAGCAGGAGGGAAGCCCTGAAAGCGGCCCCTATGTCGTGCACCGGGCCTCTTGGAAGATGCGACTCGCAGACATACTGTAGCAGAATGTTCAGAGGGGGAAGAGCAGCACAATATCGTTGTCTTCGCCCAGTCCGAGTCGCGACTGATTTGAAATGAGACATGCCGTCTTGGCCTCTCAGATGGGTATCTGGGAGGGGTCAGAAAACGACTATCCCCCAGATCTCGATAACTGCGGTGTCGCAAAGGTGGTGTCAGAAGTTGAGGAGCCCGGTTTCTTTGTCTTCTCTTATCCTCGACAACCCCACGCCACTTAGCGGTGTACCCGATACCCCTTCTCTAACCGTGAAGAAGCGCGCAACTGTTTGTACCGTGAATGCGCGAGATACCGAAGCAGGCAGTAACAACCATGGCTGCGCGGTGACAAACGCATCAGGGGAACTTGGACGCAGATAGGCACATAGCACATACATGGATGCATATGAGACTCAGGCAACGTAAATGAGCAAAATCTTGGCCGCAGATGCAAATCATCAAATGCGGCAGACGTCACGGGGACATATTTAGCGAAGGCAATTGTAGAAGAGCATCGCTAGGGGCGGGGGGACTCTTTGATCACGTACATAAAGATGGGCAGATGAACAGATTCACGGAGAGAAAAGAAAAAAGAGGATACAAAAGAAAGAAGCAGAAATGCGAGGTTGGCATGCCGCGAGCGCAGAGACGGAAACCTACCTACAGAGCAGGGTCGCAGGAGGCGATGTGGACGCTTGACGGCTATGCGGGTGCATGGGTCAGGTCAGTAATGGGATCGATCTGCCCACCGCTACGCTGGATGTATGTAGGTTGGCAGATATTGCGCCCAATGCTGTACACGAGCAGATGAAGCTCGTTCAACAATTACTACTACCACCAGGCATTTGGTTGGTGCTGCTGGCGAGAGTCGTGAGTCCAAAAACCTCAGACACGATGCGATGTACGGTAGTACTACTGCTCTACCTACATGTAGTACCTATGTAGTGTATGTAGGTACCTAAGTACAGTAGATGGAGATAGGAAGTTGCCTAATCGGGTAGCCTAGATCTAGACTAACCCAAGATGGACTAGCAAGGTAGCATTGACTGTGGATGTAGATGTACTTATGTGTAAGTACCTAGGTAACTCTGGTCAAGCACCGGGTGGCAATCCAAGCGCTTGAATGGGGAGTTCTGGTATGAATGATCTAAAATAAGGCATGAATACTGAAAATATGGTACTAGCTCACTGACTGCACTGAATCAAAAATAAAACGGCATCAGTATAGAGGACGCAACGGAACGGGACAGACTGATGCTGCGTCGCGCATATCTAGGGAGACCGGAAGCACACACGTACGAAAGCATCACAGGCTGTGTGTTTTGAGCCTTTGTGTATGCCTCGATGATTATACTCCCGGTCCTCCGTTACCACGGGCACCCTGTGGTTCTCAAGACCGATTAGTACTCTATTCTAGGAGAACCCAATACACATCAGTGTTTCACTCGACCCTGATGGGCCGATTGGCGAGGCGAAGGGAGAGAAATAAACAGAGAAAGAAGAGGCGAAGATACACACTAATTACAAGTGACATCCCGGGACGAGCTCTGTATACCAACCTACCTATTTCTACAGCGGAGAGAACCCGTCAAGAGTCCATTACCTACAACCCATAGCTCTCCAGCTGGATTGTAGGTGAAGGAGGACAATACAGTGCTCACGACTGAAATTCTACATTCTACACACATTGCAGCTATGTCAGGTATGGATCGAATAGGAGATACATGGCAGGCATGTACTACTACCACGAGATGCTGCTCGGCACAGAGGTTTGTACTACACATATATATATACCTATATATATCCACCACAGTAGGGGGCAGGGTTTGAAGACGACTTACACACATACTAATCCATGTACCCCATGTATGAAGATGCCTACTTACTTACATACATAGGTACATATGTACTTACTTACCTAGATAGATACATACGTGTAGGTATATAGACGTGTGTAGTGTCCAGACGTCTAGGTATAGATGTATGTGTGTACATATGTATGTAGGGAGGTAGCATGGCGCACACCTGGCACACTACTGCGAGGCCTTTTTCTGCTCTTACAGGCATCCAGGTACAGCAGACAGTATACCTACCTTACCTTATACATGGTAAGCTTGTGTACCTCTTCCGACGACCCATGGCAGAACTCCTGTCTGCCAGGAGATGATGAGGATGATGGGTGCATGCACGCTGTGGGAGGGTTGTACCTACATGGTGTATACATCCATGAACAGCCATGTGTACATTGGGTACTATTACCTAAGTAAGGTAAGGATATTATTTATTATACAGACACCTCTAGGTACGTACATATGTACAATGTATGCATGGAGGGAACTAACAGGTTGGCACTTACCGCTTTGGGCATCTTCGTGTGGTTCTCTCTTCATTATATCGACGCCCGGAGCACTTACACCACTTACACGCAACGGCTACGGCCACACCACCACACACATTCAATGCAGCTATGGCCATTGTAGACCGAGAGATTGGGAGACTGGACTGAGAGACTGAGACCGACTGGGGTTTGGATGGGATCCTCATCTTCCCCAGACTGTCTCCCATCCATGCGGCCACTCCAGTCCCCGGCCATGACCAACAGTCTCCAGTGTCTCTAGTGTCTCCAGTAGAAGAGGCCATTGACGACTCTGGCTACGTACCCGCGCCCGTGCAACAACCCACACCTCACACACCTCCTCGCACATCTACACCTTTTACACTTACCTACCTACATAACCTACTTCCTTGCCTACTTACCTACTTACTTTACCTACTTGACCTCCTTCACCTACTTGACCTACTTCACCTACTTCACCTACTTCCTACACTTCCTCCTTGACCAAACCTATGCAGGTAGTTGGGAATTGTCTTGATCTCTATCCTCTGCCACACATTGATTTGATTTGATTCATTTCTTCATTCTTTCCCTCCTACAGTCAAGTCAGTCAGTCAGTCAGTCAGCCTGCGCTCTCTGTACCACACTTGGCCGATTAAACAAGACTCATCTTGTAAGGGCCGACTCTGTAGCTACAGACAGACACATTGACCACTTGACCTCCTCGGCTCCGGTCCTTAGCCCGCCGTGGAACGTGGAACGTGGACGTCGACTTTATAAGTAGCAGCCTCCCGTTGTGAAGACCTCATCCATGTCCTCTCCCTCCACCACCACACACCAACATCGCACGCCTTAAAACTGTCACAGCTCACAGCTCACAATCAACATTGTTGTATTCGGTCTGCTTCCAACTATACATTCGGGCACCAGCTGCTTGTCTCATCTCGATACTTGCTGCTGCTTTTCTCCATTCACCAAGTCCTCTTCAGCTCCTCTCCCATCTCTATCCGCCACTACCTTTTCGCTCTTCGCTCGAGCCTGTCTTCAACGTCTGCCTCTTCTCTTCCTCGCCTCAGGTTACGCCCGTTGAATCTATTTTGATCCATTGACAAGAGCAAGTACACAGCTCTTGAAGCATCTAAATCGACAATCTTAACGTAGGTACTTTACTTACCTTGCACTCCCCCTCTACTCCGCCCAACTTTCTAACCAGCGTATCTACCATCCTCCCCCAATTTGTCCTGCCGTCTACCATGTATTATTAAACACCATATGTTGCCAATGCACATTGTCTTGAGTCCACTTGTTTCCCTTTGGCTGGTTGTTTTCCTGCTTGTCTCGAGATCATGCACACGCACATACACACACAGGATGTACGCAAATCACAAATACAGACACACGCATGCAAACCATACCGCACAACCATAGACTGGATACAAGAAGGATAACCAGTACACCTGTTTGATTTATCAATCACTCTCTCTACTGTTCAAGCTTGGCCGTCTTTAATTGTGAAAGGAGACCTGCGCGCTCACTTCAACTACACACAACCTTCTTGGACTTGACTGTTAACATCACCTATCCATTGTTTTAGGATATAACTCAATATCATTACGACATGACCAAAAAAAGACGTGACGCAATGCCCCCAAACTTTCCCCAGTTGACTCCTCCTTCCGACAATGAGGAGTATTATGCTTCTACTTGTATAGAATTCGAGCCGCTGCTGGCAGAGGCCAGCATCTCCGAGTTTGACCAAGCATATCAGTCTGGGATTTCAACACCTAATGGCAACATGCTTCTGACACCGTCTCCGTCAACTCTGGGCAATGTGGAAGCCGAGGATCTGCTCCAGTTAGGCTCTCCATCTATCTATCCGGACCCTCAAGCCCACGAGGTGTATGCATATGCCACCGTTGAATCGATGCAGTGGTCCTTTACTGGTTCTCCCCAGCCCTCGTTTACCCAGTTCGCTTGGGACAGCCCTTACTCCAACATCCCAGGGCCTAGTTTTGGTGTGTTGCCTGATAGTCAATTTGAACATCAGCCTCGCCACGTGCCAGGGATGGACTACGGTTCAATTTACCAAGAGGCGCCTGTGATGAGCTCTCCAGAAGATCAAACCCTATTCGCAGAGTTTTTGGAGGATGAACGCAATGTTAAGACCAATATGCCCTATGCTCAGTACATCCGATTGGCGCTCTTGAGCGTGAAGCCTCACAGCATGAGCCTGGCGCAGATATATCAATGGTTTCGAGACAACACGGATAAAGCCAGTGATATCAGCAAAGGCTGGCAGAACAGCATTCGGCACAATCTTAGTATGAATAAAGTAAGAGTTGTTTGTGATTTTCTTTTTGACATTGGCTAACAACGGATTTCACAGGCATTCTCCAAACGGGAGGGTGGCTCTGAGTCTAAGAAGTCGTCTGAGTGGTTTCTGGAAGACTGGGCTGTGCACGGTGTGGAAAGCACAACCAGATATCGAAAAGGAGGTCCTCCACGTCGATCACAAGCCTTGAAGCGATTATCAGGTCGCAATGGTCGCATTGAAGATCGGAAAATACGGACTGTATCGAGTCCAAGGCTCGCTGGCCCCTCCAACGCACGAACGACTTCAGTCCGTAGACGAGCACGAACCCCTATCAACTACAACTTTTTCAATGATCCAATGCCCAGCCAAGTAACTTGGGTGAATCGCCCAGTTCCTGCAATGGCGCCCATGCCAATGCCACCAATGGCGCCAGCACCAATGCCATCAGCACCAATGACATCTGCACCAATGCCACCACAGCGCTCCTACAGCATGCCGGTCGTTCGACAGTCCATACATGACTTATCTCTGGATGAACAACAAGATTGCTTGTTTACCGACCCGGAAAGCCAGACTGAAGGCATGCCAAACAATTACACGTGGTCTGAGTAAACAGTTCACCTAGACATGCTCCGGTTTTTCATTTGGTTTAGTTTAACTTGACTTCACAATTGTTGTATAGTTCCCCACATTGGCTTCTCTTTTTCAGGGTCTTTTCTCTTTTTCCTTTTTCCTCATCTTTCTTGTCCTTCTCCTTGTGTGTTTTCTTTTCTTTTTTTGTATTCTTTTTTTTTTCATTATGTCAAGTTTCCTACGAGAAATTCTGTGCAAAATGAGTGTGTTTACATGTTGTGCACCTCATATGAGACCTTTCACCCACCCACACGCACCCGATCCTCGATAGACTAGAAACGCGGAGGCGGATGTAGACGCAAGCAAAAGCTCAAGCAATGTACTCCTTTCTAGAACTGGGTAACTGTCACAGCTGGAACGGAAACGGAAACGAAATTAGAAGAGTAGGATAATGGCATAGATAGGACAGGATAGGTGGCGTTATGGGCGATACCCATGAGGAACGGCGCTGGATGGAAAGGATATGTACTACACGACGGCGGTATTACCATGTCAAATTCGCAATGAGTTACGCAATAATGAAATTATCTTCCATGCCCTTGCTTCCTTTGCTCATTATTGTGAATAAAGGATATATGACAGCTACATTTAATTCAATTGTCAGAGAGTCATACCTCATGGTACTCTGAACGAGAGAAATAGAATACAGACGACCACTAACACCTCAGCTCACACAGGAAAGCGAAGTGATTAGGAAAGGCGCACACCTGTACCAAGAGCTTGTGCTCTGCGAAGCAAGGCCGTGGTTTTGTGACCTCGCTGTAAGCTACACACAAGTAGAGTGGCATCCAGCCAATGAAGGGAAAGGCGACAGTCCAACAACCCACTGGGCCCTTCCCGCCCTCCTGCCCACTCGCGTACTGATTTACATACACAGGAGGTAGGTACATATAGATACATCATTACCCATGCCCATCAATACAGTGTAATTACGAAAAGGGTGCCCAGTTGAAAGATAGGGCCCATATTTACCCAGTGTTTAGCAAGTGTTTATTCCTTTGCTGGTGTATTCTTCCCTCTTTGGTTCATTACTATTGGTCCAAATACACACACAACACAGTGGAAGTGAGTGAGGGTATTTGAGGTGTTATTACACGAATACTAACTAATTAGTAGATGGTAATGTAATCATGTATCGTACACGGAGAGACGAGACAAGACAGTGTTGGGAATAGGGGCCGGGCGCACAGACATATGCATTATACAACCGGTGAGTCTACACAAGGCAAAGTTAAACGATAGCGAGGAAAATGAGGAGAGAGATGGAGGGAGAGGGGGGGAGGGGGGAGAAAGTAACCTACCCTACCTACCTAGCTAGCTAGGAACACTGGAAAGCAAGGTGGCACGGTCTTCGGTCCTTGGTCTTGGCTTCGGGTGGACATAGCTTCTTGTACAATACAATATACCTAATTACCAACCCTTGAGCAGATCCCGTAGAGCGCGGCAGGACTCCTCATTGGGTGAACCTCGAGGGTGCCACACCATGTCCCCCCTCCCCTCGCGCTCTCGACCACCTAGTGAGAGCATGGGAGGAGGGGCCAGGTAGGGGGTAAGAGAGAGCGAGGGACCGGGGGGAGGGGTGGAAAGAGGCTCGGCCGGTTGTACTCTCGAGGGGCGGCCGAGTTGTAACTGAATGAATGTGAACGAGCGGTACGTACCCTGCTCGCTCTATGGCCCGACTGTTGGGTATGAGGGTGGTTGGGCGGGCTCTGTGCTGAGGAACAATGGAAAACGAGTACAATACATGCTGCCTAGCATAGGTACCTTTCATTGTCTACATTGAGTGTATTATCCCTATTGAAGCACTGGAGATAGCAGGACGTAGCGTGCGTGTACCTATGTATGTATGTATGTGTGTGTATGTATGTAATGTAATGTATATATGTACATCATTCATGTACATCATTCATGTACATCATTCATGTACATCATTCATGTACATCATTCATGTACATCATTCATGTACATCATTCATGTCTGGCTACTGTAAGCGAGACTAGATAGCTTCGGCTAGAATTACTTGCATGCGGTCGTCACATCGATCTGCAAGTAGATTGGCGAAGGCGTGGAGACGCGGGATCCTTGCTGCTGATCCTAACAGCCTTGGGCAGCTACCATTATTTTTTTTATTTATTTATTTTTTAATGATTATTCTTTTCGAGGAGTATGTCTATATCGTGATCCCGATCTAGTGTAAGTGGCAAGGGAAAGGTACCGGGATGTGCGTACAAGCGGCTAAAGGGGGCCCGCAGACAGTGTAGGTATTGTATTCCACTGCTGTCCCAAAATGGCGGAGGACGCCGCTGTTGTTTCGAGTCGGATGCCTATGTGCCCGGGATGTGGTCCTGTAATAGGTGGCCAGTGGTCCTTTTTCCAGACGTGTCTTATTATTGGTCTTTGTACAGGCAGGTGTTCTTGAACAATGGGAGAGCTTGCTGTACGCCTCGCCATCTAGCTAATGGGGATCGAGTCAGGTAAACATATCCTCTCGGATGACAAAATTCCCGCTCGTTCGCCTTTTGAAGTTGTATATTCGGGGATGGCTCGTAAGAAGTGGGAATACCAAGTGACTCTGTGCCCGTAGTGTAACTTGCTGGGCAACCTGCTTCGGCAGTACTGTAGTATCACGGAAGTCCTTACCGCCCTCCCTTCCATCCACTCCCATCAACACAAGACCCTGTCAGCTTTTGTCTTCAGATGAATGGGAACACATGTACCCATCATGGGAGGCTCAAGGAGGCAAAAGATCCGTGTTGGTGAGACTAGAAAGGACAGAAGCTGCAGTAACCCTTATTGTATACCCATAATATTACTTTCATCGCTAGGTAACCACAGGATTGCAATGATATGGCTATGTACCTGAAGCAGGTGGCGTGTCCCAGTAGGCTGGGAAGTTGTGGTATCCAGGCGTCCTCGACCTAACGTGTTCCTTTCATGCAGCCACAGTTGCACACCGCAGCATATCCATGTGTCCCCATCATCTTGTAAGAGAAGCTATGCTTGTTTCTGAGTGGAATGCAGAAGGATGCCATCATAGAGGGAAAATGGGAAAAGAGGGGTTAGGAATACAAGTTGGACAAATGGCCGAACCGAACTGCACAAGAGCCAAAGTGTGTGTCATTGGTGTAGCTCTCAACGAACACAAAAGCGGAAGCTTATGCGCACCATCACTGTATGTCTTCATTTACTAGACTGAATGACTATTACCATTTGCTCCATGTTAAATAAACACCAGGGTATTATCACCTTCCACGCCAGAGGAGTGTAGGAAGTAAGCAGAGACAGATGACGACGAGTAAGAGGGGACAGAGCAGGACTGCGGCAGTTTCCTTCCCGTCGTTCGCCCGTTAGAATTAGCGCTGTGACTAGCACTGCCTGAGTGTAGACTGTCTGTAGTGTGATGGTGTTAGTGGTAGCCAGGATGGTGGACGGAGCGATGAGTACCTCTCCTACTTCCCAGTCTTCTGGTGTGGCCACACTCTTCCCGGATCATGTCTTTAATTTGAGCCTACTGAAACTGCTGGGGGGACAATTCAGTAACTATGTGGATAGCTCCAGTGAATCTTTAGCTTCACGGGCAGGCCAGCTCAACGCCGGCGTAATCGTCCCGCTTTGTGACATGTAATTTTTTATTGGTACTTTCTAGCTCCCGCCCTGTTCTATTCTTGCCTTGCTAGCTACTGACTCGATAATCATGGGTAATACGTCACGGACTTTCCTGAGTGGATAACTTTGTGTTTCAACGTAGAACGCAATACAGAGAAAACTTGTTTTCAAGGGACTATCCCTGTGCCCTACATGGGAGCGTAACGGGACCGAAGAGTAAAGGTGAAGTATCTAGGGAGTTTACCTATACCTTGCGTGGTTTAGTTGCAAGATGAATGATCTGTATTTTCCAAATATACTCATTGGGTTTCAAGCTTCTAGTCATGACCCAAGTCGGGCGGTTTCCAGATAGTGTGCTCCAACTACAGCGACCATCTTGACTCTCAGTTGTGCCCAAGACAGCAAACAAAAATGAGCATTATGTGTGGGAGACTCGCTTTCACTTCCCACAAGTGGTACTAGCTCCGACGTTGTTATCACGTTGCACTGTTGTTTCTAGAAACATGAAGAGTCACAACTCTTGTTGTCATTGTCTTATATAATGGTGTGCAAGGCTTACTGGTTTTATCCCTTGGTTCTACTCTTCGATCGGATAACATATTGCGATTGGAGTAATAACGATGAATTCCGTCTTGGAGCAGAGTACCTATGCAAACATATGCAACATTGTCCGTAAGTCAAATTTTGTGCGCAGCAGTTAGTGTCAACAAGGTCTAATCATTACACCTTCTGGACATAAAGAAGAATATTGTATCTAGAAAGAGCCATCCATTGAGTGGGTATAGGTCTTGGTATAATGCCAAGTCACTTCTTCATTGTAATACCTAACATATTACAGTGTGACAATGATCCTATAGAGATGTAGGCACATCTGCCGGGGTATACATACACAATAGGGGCAAATGGTTAATCACCTAGCTCAATAGCGTTCTGCTTCTGGCTATAGTGTGTTGTAGAACTGCATTGTATTTCTTCATAATGGTGTAACCGAAATACCTGCCCTCCAATGATAGTACAAGATGCCTAATAACTTGCTAAATAAGCGCTCGGTCCCATCCGTGGGCATTGCTTCACCGATTGTAGAATCTCAAGCCCAGCTTCAGGCCTGGAGTGCGGAGAGTGTGGGTTAGTAGTTCCCGCCTAAAGTACCCATTATCTGCATCTGGGCCCAGATACTGTATCCTTCTTCTCATTAGACGCTGAAATGGGTCGTTCCTCTTCACCGTAAACTGGAAGAGAGAGCCTTGTTACTTAGCTGAGATATCCCTGGTCTCCATAGTTGTGTCCACCAGAGTGTCTCTACGTGTTTCTTGATGGCGGGTCGCCCATATTGTCGGTATATAGCGTCCTAGACGGGATCCGTTCACCAATATCATCTCAGCTAAGCGCTCCAAAACCCACTTTCGGTGTATGCTTTTCATAGTAGGATCTGTAGCGACTAGAAGTAGAGGTGGCAGCCTGACCGCACAGTATTCAACACTTTGCCTCGATCTTGACATTTGCCTTGTGCTATTCTAGAGGTCATCTATGCAAAGCTCTGTGTCCTCAGGAGCCTATAATACTGCACACATGGCCTGATAAGTGGGGTGAAGACATGCGTACAGTAAATAGAGCGTTTCTGGCTGGATCTGGAGGAGGAACAGTAGAGCGGTATATTGTTAACCATGGTTATTTTAGCGGATATGCCTCCTGCTTTCCGCATCGGTACCTCCCATCATGTATCCTGAATACATCTTTGCTACTTTCTTAGCCTCTGAAAGTACTTTTCAAGTCTGAACTGTATTATCTGCTGTTCAAAAAGGTGGCGGGCACTATCTTCAGCAGTAATATTTACTTGTGAGACCTCGTGAAGTACTACTACCCACCGCGACCCATATTTGTTTTAGATAGAATTAAGGAAAATACAGCTGGGCTCCTAGTGTGTAAGAGACCATTTTCGTCTCCTAGTTCATTTCTCATCCCTAGTCTAGCCTCACACCCTACACGACTTTAAAGTGGAAGAGGGCACTTAAGCGACATCTATGTCCACCCGATTTATGTTCATATAACAGAAATGTGCCTACTAAATTCCCATCTAGAAAGATCTTGGTTCTTTTCGCATGGACAAGCAGTATCAGTAGATGCAGGTGTATGACCATAACAGGTGATTTATGAGACCCGAATCCCTCCTTAACGGCTATCACCTATCTGAGTATTCACGTATTATCGGATACTGTCTATCCCAGGTATTAATTTTCTTCCCGCCATGCAGAAAAAGTATTCTGTCTACCACAACTTTGTAATAATAGCTATACATTCTCTGCCTGATCCCTAACTGTTCATCAGTTCTCCTATCATCAACCAACAGGATCACACGTGGGAGCCTAGGTAGGTATGTATGTAGATTTTCCTAGCGGCGAATTTACAATATTATGCTTTCTTTGCTGGCTCAAGGCAAGGTAGATGTATGTTTATCTAGCCGAACTTGAAAAGAAGAAAATTATCTTTTTATGTTATTTCTGTGGGCTCTAGCTTAGCAAAATGGCTGATATTCAATGTAGATGACATAATACTAAGCATTTCACAGTTGCATTGCAGCCAGCCACAACCCAACGCCTCAAGGCTTTATTGCATGCATTACGCTAGCCAGACTCGACTCTTGGTATGTTGCATCCAATATTCAGATCTACGTAGATGACGAGCATGTTAACGAACGAGGGGGTTGGCCCGCAGCATGCATGGAGTCTCATGATCCTACTGCTATAACCATGAGCCGGGTCCTCGGAACAGATACTTGATTCACTGAAGCACAAACAACGGGGATACGCTGAACGATGGACATTGGACAATCCTCGCATGCCATTTACTTGTAAGGATCGTTGAAGATATACCATGATAATTTACCCAAAAGCTTAAATTTGAAATGCGCTGTGTCATTTCTACTATCCAATAATTGCCGCAATATCGTCCAGGGGGTCATTTGTCAACATAAGATCAAGCGACCATTTCTCTATCATTCTCCTTAGGCCTTTCTTTTCTAAATCACACGTAACAATGCATATGGAGCAAGAGGGGTTGCGACAGAAGTATGAAGCCAAACTCACATTCAACTTGGTACACTAAAAAAATGCCACGCTGCGGAATGCTACTCTGCACAGTTGTGGATCATAGATCTTTATCATCGGTGGAATTTTGCTGTCACCAACCCTGCGTGCATAAAGCTATGTCCGACCCCCCATCCGAGGGTACATTGCAGAGCCTTTCACAGGAGTATTCTTTAACTAGAACTCTCAATGGCGGTAAGATCCCGACTCACATGCTTCCGCTATCTAAAGATACGCAGCTTTCGCTAACTAGATTATTAATCAGTGTTCATTCGTCTAGTTGATAGGCCAGTCCAACGTCCTGCGTCAGCCTGCCCACATTCGCGCAAGGTCCCGGATGCTTTCTCTATTAGTTACATTTGGTCACACTGTCACGTTCGAATTTCAACCTCCGGCATCATTTTGCTGTGACAACACCGTCTTGGTACACCTGGAATGCGGATAGGGGCATTGCGGCCGGATCTGGGGTGTAGCAGCAGTATATGGCACGAAGTAACGTCAAGATAGGAGCGAACGCGTTCGAGACTCGGCTGCACATAACTAATCAACTCTCACAGTCGAACAACAGGGTTACAAAAGATAGGGAATGAGAACCCCTCACAATACTCGAAGAGGTGAATACTAAGGGTGAACTGTCCTCCGGTGATCTCTGCTATATCTCCCTCGAGGACGTGGCTGAGACGTATGTCGGCCTACTGGGAAGCACGTCGTCACAAGCTGGGTTCTACGGCTTGCGAAATTTCGATCAAACCAACACCGCCATATGAATGCTGACCAGGGAGTGCCTTTCTGCTGTTCCATTTCACCTGAAGTGTAAATGATGGATGCAAGCGGCCGTCATCATAGAGGTGCGGAATTTTACAAATAATCAGACTGGTTGTTGCACGTTATTTCATGAGAGTTCCTAGAGAACCAAGACGCGGACTGGTACGAAGGTAGCATCCGTATCGAATAGGGGCGTAGAAGCTCTCCATAACGGCCAATAATTAGGGGACTCGGCCTTGTGATCATCACCAAAGGATAGTCAGAGACCCCGAGGAGACAGGGCAATCTCGGTCTGTCTATACTCCGGTGTTACATGTTCTCGGCACAGCAAGTATAGAGCTACTCTCATCGTGACCCCAAACAAGAAATTGCCTCTCTGTCGTTTGTCAAGTGTGACGTAGCGAGGAATGTTGTGCTTCATAGCTGCTCCCCGACGACATTGACGGCTGCAAACGGCCTACCATAGGCGAAAAATGCAACTTTATGAACGGCTGCTGTCACTCCAGCAAAAGAAGCTGTGGCGTCAAGGCTGCCGTGATGTCACATCCTAGTGCCGTTGTCACTTGCTCCATTTAGTTAGAAGCTATCGCGCTATATTGAGACAACTGCCACGTGGTGAGTGTTGTTGCCAACGCTGTAGCTAATACTCTTGGAGTATAGTTACCGAGGCCACTAAAACTTCAGAACGAACGACATGATACCCTGCGTGACTTGGTGAAGGACATGAGCTACTACGGAGTCAGTGAGTCGGCATTTGAAACAGAGAGGCAGGCTCGACCTTCTCCAAGAAAGCTAGGGAACATGAGTTCCATCCAGCCGTGGTCCGCTTGGCTAGGTACAGCTTGACCTAGCCCATCACTGCCTTCCACAAAGACAGGCGCACAGAGATTAAATAAATAAGTAGTTTCTACTGTCTCACTATCGGCGGTTTATATCGTGGATGTATGACCAAGTACCCTACACAGACCACCTAGAAAGCGGGATGGGAAGTTGACTAACGCACAGGACTTTCAAATGCATACAATAGCACTTAGCTGGTAGACCGTTGAAACACCTGGTGTGAGACTAGCTTTTTCTGTGCGAAGCTTGACAAATCTTGGCATTCTTGGGCTAGGTAGGCTTGATACTAGATCGGGATCAGTGAAGCAAGGACGCAAGTTGAGGGATGCCAGCGCTGGATCGTGCATTGGGGGGCTTGGGCCGCCTCTAGAACTCGGGCGGGCGGCACCGCCTCGAACCCCTGCCGGCAAGAGGGCGAGGCGGTTTCCAAGATCTGAAAGGGCCTATCAGACCGCCTAATGAAACGGATAGAACCGGGCGCAAGTCGTCACAGGCCTGGTGTTGCCATGGAACTCGGCAAAAGAGGGGGATTGGGTGTACTGCACCCCTCCTTCACGACGCGGTTGTTCTGGTGGACACGGTTTCCAGCAAGGGATCTGCTAACACTACATGTGGAACACGCTATTCGTCGAGGACGCATCCGAGTAGCCCTGCATATGCCCTGCTAGGCTCTCTCTCGAATCAAAGAGATACCTCCATGTCAAGGAACATCCCAACCACCAATACTTTCGACGTGGGAAAATAGAGCGTCTGGAAGCTAGGAAAAGAAAAGTGTCTAAGTAGATCGCTCCCAAATCAATCAAGCCCTATCCTATGACACAAGCAAAGTGAATGATCATGTAACACGAGCTATAGCGTAGGTCCTTTCAGCCATTGGCTGCCCTCTCTCTTGATAGGGGCAGAATACATCATGACTTGAGACTTTTGCGCCTCATACACTTTGTCGTACGATTCTGTGACTAGAGTCCCTTTGGAAATAGACAGGCTGCAATATATGTTCGATTATACTAGGTAATAAATTTGCACAATGTGTCGATCTGTATGTGCACATTGCTGTCTCTACTCTTCCCTGCTTTAGCTGAATTGCCACAGGGCACGCTTGGAGCTGATATGAACAAAATCTCCATTGTAAACAACCACAACAAATTGTGCGCAAAGAAGTAGCAAGTCGGATAACACATGATGTTTTGGGGAGTTCTGATTTTTCATTCTATTCAATAGATAGCCACATAGAAATACACTACAACAAGCGCCACAGCGACCTAGTTGTAACTTGTAAGAAACACTAGTCCACCAAAATATAATCTCGAACGTCAAAAACGACGCCGTTAGACATTCGAGTAGTCTAACGGTTATTATATAGCCCCACCTACGTTCAACATATAATCCTCAGCAACTAATTTTGATTACTTCGAATCCTTCGTGAATGTTGTGTTCGTGAAAGCGATATCGTAGGCTCGCTTGAGCGTATCCGGTATCTAAAACTCCTGGGTTAGTCCGGAACCTCTAGAAACCTGTAGGAGTAGGTCACCTGTAAGAATACGTACTTCTTGGTTACCTCCACCTGCATTTATTAAATCTTTGTAGTTGCCGCCATATCTACTCTGCCGGCCCGGGTTACGACGACCTGTTGGAGGAGGTGTTGGCGGTTTAGGAGTATTTCCGGGTTTGCCACCACGTCCACCGCGATTACCACCGCTTCCTCTACCTCCTCTGCCTTCTCTTCCCCCTCCCCCTCCTCCCGCACCGCCACTATCGTGATCGCTCCCACTTGACTCGCCGGAATCTTCCTCCGCCGAATTGGGCTTATACAATTTTGGGGGAGGGGTCAAATTGAGGCTGTCCCCAGGGGACGGGAGTGAAAAGGCTGGTGAGTTTGGAGGTTCAGGAGCACGCCCAAGCGGGGGAGTCCGTATGTCTGACATCTTCGGTACTCCGAATTCCAGCATAACTAGCCTACATGGCAGTCGGAATTCAGGGAAATCTCTCTCTGAGGATAACTGTAAATTGATTTTGGTCCTCTCAACATGGTCAAACGGTGGGGGTGGAGGGGGTGTTCTGAATGTCAAAGGCGTGTAGCTGCTGTAGTCGTTACTGTCCCCGCCGTCGCTCTGAGGGCCATCTGCATCATCATCTCCGCCTTGATCACCATCGGCAGTTGCTTGATGGGCGGCTGGTCCACCATGACGTATAATGAGTGAATGAATCGAGGGTTCACTGCTGTGGGGCGAATCATAGTCTCCGTTATCACCACCAGTATAGTCATCGTCGTCCCCACGGTTAGGGCTGGAGAACACGATTTCGCGAACAATGGTTTCGTCTACAGGATCGCTTTCCAATGGTAGCCATTCATACTTCACAGACAAAAAGTCAATTTACCTCGCTATAATCATCCATCATTCAAAGGATATTTAAGATTTAAGAAGAACGGAAATAAAGCACGCGGAACATACCGGCAATATGTGGTTTGGCTTTGTCCAGGAAACGTCGATTGATCTAGAACGCAAATATCATGAGTTAGCAATTCCAATGCATCATAGAAAGCCACCGGATATCATCGATGGAGCCATCTCTAAAATTGAAACCATTTGACACAGAAATATGTGAACGTGTGAAATTCTAGATACCAAGATGGGCTGAAGCAGGATGATGGCTCCTCTTTCCAGATATATCTCGCCATGTTTCTCATCCCCAGGTATCCAATGTCCGCCATCCCTCGTGCGATAAATGATATCCAAAGAGAAATCGGCAGCCTAACATTATAATTCATGGACAAGGACATTTGGGCTGTTTGACTATACCCCGACAGTAACATGAAATGAGGAGCCTGGTATACTCACCGAAACCAATCTGCGGGTCTATCGCGTGGTCGGCGCCATTTCCAAACTTGAGACCTCGCCAGTGGCAGAACAGTGTTGATGATGTAGTCCATCTTTGGTATAAGTTGCCAGTTCAGAACGTCGACCCTAGAGTCATCCTTTTGTGAATCATTGATTCCGCTGTTCTTGCAGTTTCTATACTCCCACGCTTTCAGTGTGTCAAGCAGCGTTTTGGAATATCCGTCTTCGGGATTGGACATCATGCTGTTGATCTCGTCACCTAGTGATACGTGACCCCTTAGCCACGGGTCCATAACTCAAGTGTATCATGAAGGTTACCGCCAGAGAAGATAGGGTAGGCAAGGGAAGTCAACATAGCGGGAGTGGCCAAGAGACATGACTTACAGGATACCAATTCTGGACTAAAAATAGGGTCATAGTCTGGCTCGCCCCAAGGGATATGACACAGACACAGGTCTTTAACTAATTGAAAGACACCATATGTATCTTGCCATTCTGCGTATTCATCAGTATCCCAACAGCCGAATCGGACCTTTCCTGGAGGGTCTGCTTCTATACACCCGTCCCCAAAATCTCCTATCACAACCTCAGGAAATGCATTTGATTCGAAGCCCTCTGGAGGCTCGAATTCCGATGTTGGTCTTTCGATGTAGTGAATAAAAACATTGTTTACAGCAATGTTGCGGTGATAGATTTCTTTTCGCGTCAGTAAGGATGGGGTTCACTTTCGTTTTTCTCAATTTTCTGTACTTGGGTTTACTCACTGTCCCAAAGAGGAGGATCAGTATTGCGGACAGGGTGGCATCCTGTCTGTAAGAATCGTACAGCCTCAAATAGTGTTAACAACACGTGCCATACTAGAAAACGTAAGTCGGATGCATTTTTGTATGATGATTGAAGTAAAGGCGACGTTATAGATCCGAGTTGTTTAAATATCCGGTTTTATCCTTAATCAGTTGAAACAAATTCGAAAAACTCACTGAAGCCTTCAGGGATAGGCCGCCTCCGCGCTCGATACGTGTTTCGCAAATGTTCAATGGTACCACCATTGTAGTAACTGAAAGGGTAAAAGTCATCAGCATAAAAGAGAAAGATGTGAGACGAAAGACGAGGAGAAAAGAGAAGAGCGACAGTGCTTACTTAAAATACAACGATTGAGTCCCACTTCCAAGATCTTGCCATAAAACCAACTCGTTGAAATATGTTCTACAAACGCCACGTATAACTGAAGGGACTGGCAATATGGCCTCGGCCTGCAGTGCGGTAGATATCCGAAGCTCTTCACAAGGTTCGCCCGCAAGACGATTCTGACGTATCAACTCAAGATTACTGTGAGTAGCTACCGGAGCTTGGGTTAGTCTTGGGTTAGTTGGTGATCACTAATCATGCGAGCATGGAAAGGCATGAGGAAATAATCGGAATAGAAATTGATTGGCCTGTGCGGAGAGTAATTATGATCGTGACAAAAGTTGTCCATAGCATACGTGGTTTCACAATCTTATTAATATAGAGTTTCCCAGTCTCTACGGATTGTACTAAGTAGGTCCAGTTTTGACTTATAAATTCGCGTACGAATATGAAACCCTTCGCTGAGATTCTAGGATCTGACGTCCACTGACGGTCGGGATCTTCATCCTTGAAAGGGACGTGCACTCCAATATATCGATATGGGCGGTGCGGATCGACGGCGACAACAGGAGGCTGCGGCGGTGACGGCGGAGGAGGAGGAGGAGGAGGAGGAGGAGGAGGAGATGATGTTGGCAATTTTGCCTTCGTCTTCTTCTTCTTCGATGCTCCCTTTCCCGAAGTTGCCTTCTTCTTTTGAGGTGACGGCGGCTTCGGTCTCGGCTTTCTCTTCACGTCTCTTTGGGGTTGTACTCTTTCGGGAGCTTGGTTTTTGGGCGGCATCTTTTAGAAACGGTGATTCAGATGGCCCACGGATCAATCTGTTAACTAGCTCTGCAAGAAGTTTATTTGAAGTCACATTTCGATCTAGAAGGTTTTCATAAACGGGGACCTCGTGGGAACAAAGGCTTGAACTGAGGTTTGTGCCCGATTCCGGATGAGGATACTTACAGACTCGTGGGTTTGAATTTAATAGACAAAGGAAACCTCTTGCTGCCCAATGGTTCCAACCACGTTTTTTCTTTTGTTTTTAAATCTATTGGGACGCTCAAATCACTGTCAACAGCATGTGTTAAATGAATCATAGTATCGTAGTATGGTTAGTTATGATGGAGGATCCTATAAGTATGTCGTACTCGAATCGTCCACAGACTCCATAATATAGCCGTAATACACAAGAAGTCTGCCTACCCAGCTACCTACCATTCTGGCGTACTGGCTCCTTAGAGAAACTGATGTGACGTGTTGAGATGTTGGCACGTTGTAGGAGCCATGTTCGTGCTGCTGGAAGGCTTGTTGAAACCAATTTCATTTGATCATTACATCTAGAGCAATTTTCCCACAGTTCCTGATCAACAGTGGCGGCAGAGATGGCAATTATTTGAAGCTAAGATTGGGACCTTAGAATATTGTAAATTGTATTCAACTCAAAACTTCCTCTTCTTCCTCGCTGGAATCGCGGCCTGACGGTTCAGCTCCTTAGCTAGCTCAGCACGTTTCCGCTCCGCTTTCTGTTCATCCGTCTCCAATTCTTCTGGCTCTACCGGTGTCTCGGAGTGAAGCCTCTTAGAATCTGTTTGAGACTTTTTCCCTATCGCGCCTAGTTTTCTAGCCTCTGCCTTCTTTGGTAATGCAGTGTCATCATGGGCATTATCTTGTGCGGGATTTGCAACAGGAAGATCGTTCACTTTAGACTTTCCCCCTATTCTACCGAGTGTTCCTTTACGCGGTGTTGATGGAGCTGCTGGGGACCGCTTCAGCTTTGCTGCGTTACGTCCACTTTCAGAATCTGAACCAGACGGTGTCTCGCTACCAGTCTTCACATGTGACTTCGCCACAGCCTCTGGTTTCGTCGGCTCGGATGCCTGCTTAGGCTGCCCAATTGTTCCTAGGCGAGCGTTATGCCGCGTATCTTGCTTCGAGGATCTTAGCTGTTCCTCATCTTCCGTCTCGGACTCGGTATCGTGCTCGTCGGTATGTAGAGTTCTAGATGATTGGCTAGTAGCAGTATCACGAGCAGCCGCCTTCGTAGCACTAGGCCCGCCTATTTTCATACGAGGTTTGTTCTTCGATTTGGTTTGGCGTCTGTTAGAAACATCAGACTCATCGCTCTCGGTGATATCATTTTCCCCCTTGCCCCTTGCCGGTTCTGCACCGCTGGACGATCTTGAAAAGCGACGAGGAGGTGTAGCTTGTACTTGAAAATCTTCATCTACATTTTCTGATGAAGCAATGTTGTCATCGGCTTTCTCATTTTGTTCTTTGCGAGGACTTTTTATTTCAATCTCAGAAGCAGTATGGAAATCTGAGCCTAGCCTTTCCCACCAGTTGTTCAGTGTGTCAGACACACTTAAGTCTGTATCTGTTGCGCGACCGAACGTCGGATCACCAAAGACATCACGCAGCAAGTCTGGCGCATTCTGTGGACTCTCTATGTTGCGTTGGGACCTCCATTTTTCTTCCTGGAAAGGTGCAAGGCCTTTAATTCGCTCCTCGGCAGCAGCTCTAGTGATTGCGTGTTTGGCTGAGAGTGAATTGAATACGAGCTCCAGTGGTGCATGCATTGTACTGAGCTTGTCCAGCAGCTTCGATATGACAGCATCCTTTTCTCTGAGTTGACCCATGAGATCGTCAGCCTCGCGCGACTGTATGTAGCGCTCTTGCAAAAGGGGTAGCACGAGCTCCGAGGCTAGCGAAGTAGTCTCGCACTTGATTAGGTGTACAGGCCATTTCAGAGGGGCTAGAGGGTGCGGCAGTTCACAAGTGATGAGCATTGTCAACCCATCCCGGTTGTTGGAATGGGGCCCGGTGGCTGCGGCGATGCTGAGACTGGTGAGGCGATGATCTGGCGATGTGGGATCAAAGGCTGCCTTGAGCTTCGACAGAAACACAGCCCATTGCTCGGAATCGGCATCGACCAAGTCAATGCTTGTGTTCTCCTGGAGGCTACGCAAGAGGATGCCCCTCCGATCCAGCTTCTCCACCCATAGATGAGCAAGGTCGGTGACATGCAGCGTATATGACGACTCGCCAAAGCGGGTAGACACAAGTAGTGCTGGTAGCGTTGGGAAGTGTGGCAGAGGGTACCATTTGGGTGGTGATTCCATTCTCTCGTGAGTTGCAGTTCTTCGGAGCGTTCCGATGTCCGTTCGACATTAAACTTCCGGTTAAAGTTGGGAATTCAATGAGGTCAGCTAGGACGAAGATCCAGACAAGAGAGGCTGAATTGAAGCTGGATTAGCTGATCAATACTGAGGCTTATGCAGCCTGATCACCATTCTAGGCTACCTTTGGATCAGTTGGTTGTTCAGACCGTGTGAAAACAATGATGGAAAGTGCTAATTATACTGTATCGCACTACCGGGGGGGCAATCTCTGATATGCAGTTCATCACCTCAATGTTTCAGCTTCTGAAATCAAAAACATTTCACTATTATATAATTGTCAAGCTACATGATAAAAGACAATAAGATATTGGTATGATAGAACACCAAAATGTTGGGAATGAGGCTACTGCGGAAATACCCGCTCTCAGAGAAATTTACTATAGATGGACGAATGTAGCGTTATACAGGGGCTTTAGCACCTTAAGTCGATTAACACAATAACGCTTAGATGTATAAACTGAGCTGCCTGCCTCAACATGAGAGCGCTCAGTGACGCTGAATTAATGCTACAATATTCTCCTAGGAGCATGACCGCATGTCAGATAGAGAAATGCATCGCGTCTTTCAATAAGCGGTACTGGCAATAGATTAAATATCCCGATCTACGTATTCTAACTATCGCTTGTACATATACAACCCAAGTACCTCATTCCCGGTTCGAGGGTTCTAGACTATATGGGCGACCAACCTAAATAGAGTGAACCCGACGATTGAAATTTGGTGAAAAGGTACTTTCTATCTATGAAGGCAATGTAATGATCTGATTATTACTCTATACACAAACACCATAGCAGATTTATTCACCGATTTGCAGACTCAGAAGACTCAGAGACCACGAAGTACCTGACAATTGCAACCGATTCCATATGCGCCACGTACCTAACAACGGGTATAATTCCCATTTTTTTTCAGACGCCAAACAAAATTACGAATTATTACCGCCGCTCCAGGTGGGCAAACTTTAAGTAAAGGCGCGTCAAGTCAGATTAAACGCCTGCATATGTAGTCCCGATAAAGTCAGACCCGCAGATCGCGGCCCGCTCCTGCTCAGTCAAGCTGGCTCCCCACGATCTAAGGTCGTCTAAGGTATAGTTCGACCTAGCCAGGATAGATGGCAGTCTATCCCCTCCATCAAGCGATAGGATCAGTTCATTATTATTCCCTCTTTCTTTAGACAACATGGTGAAGCGCAGGACAACCTCGGTGACCGTGACCAGGATGCTGACGATGATGAGAATGATGATGATCCATGTGATCGCACTCATCTTCGAGTCGGCAACTGAATCCGAGAGAATTTCGGCAAGGTCCAGGAAAACGCGGCATCGCTCATTGAGCACCTTGGTGCGCGGGTCGATTTCAAGATAGTCGCGAATGGCGACGTACAGTGGGTGCAGCGTGGGTTCGGCGTCCCAGAAGAAGTTGGGGACGTCTAGAATATTGGACGCTACAGAAGAACGTTAGAAGATATTGGATCGGCAATGAAGACTTCTGGAAACGGGGCACTTGTACGTACAGAGATTTATTTCAACGCGACTCTTGAACAGGCGCCCAAGGATCTTGACGATCTCTGTCCTCGTCATATTGAGCTGACCGGTTAAAGCGAGCCGCTTCGGCACATCCTGGGCGTCAGTCAGGGTCTCCGACATTCGTTCCTCGAAGAAGCAAAGCTTTGTGCTCTGCGCTATCGCGTGACTTATGGTGAGCCTGACCATGTGATCAGATCGTGGCAACAACGTGATCATGTCGTTGAAGATCCTTGGACGTTTGACATCGTCGTTGTATTCAAAGTGGAATTCCTCGGTTTCGAAGTCACTCTGCTCGAGCGGGCGTGTGACCAAAGACAGCCCGGTCTCGCTTTCGGCAAAAGTGATATCAGCCAGAATAGCCTTCTCCTGTTGTTCCGTGAAGTTCCAAAAGACTACAACACCATAAGAGAAGACGAACATCTCTGCAAATTGCTTGGCATCAGGAACAAACCTGTTCACAGGCTTTACATGGCCGTTGTCCTGGGTGTTGTTGTTGGTTGCTCGTCCTTCGTCCGAGTTTTGGTGGCGACTACTCTCAGTATTTTTGGGACTTGCCGCGTGTTCGCCGAATCCGTACTCGTCATAGTATCCCATGTGCTCGTCCCGTTGTTCGCTCCTCTCTATTTCAAGGTCCAGGACCGTCTTTCCAGTACCAGGGGTCTTGAGTATGGGTCGACTTCGTACGCGGTAGCCGTCAACACCAGAAAGTAGTGGGGTATGGTATACAGTATAGAGGCAGTCGTCGTAAAGTTTAGTCTTAGCATCGTGCTTCTTGCGTAAGAATTCAGAGGTAGATTTTATCTTGTAAGACTGTGCCGTGCAATACGCAGTAAGACGGGCAAGCTTTTCGGCCCGTTCAAACTTAGGAAGACGTTCGGCATAGCTCTTTCCTCGAAGCCCGCCTCGTTTCCGTAGCACATCGCGCTCCTCATCCTTCAATGGTCTCCCTTCATCCTCCACCTGTATTCGCTCCTCATCCTCGTCGTTTTCGGGCTCGTCTGGTGTTTCGGGAAGTAGTACTAGTTTCTCGCTAATTCGTGTGGTTCTCGAAGGCATATTTTGCTGTCCAGTGCGCGGCGCCAGGTTCGGTAAACCTCCCCCACTCACGCGACGAACGCCCGCAATACTTCGAGGCCCTCGCGGCGGAGGTACACGAGGCTGCCCTGATGGAATTTCTGAGGCGTATTGCAAGACATTATCAACCGATATGAAACGCATGGGAGAACCCGACGGCGGGCGCCGAGTCACATCACTCCTGGTAGCCATCTAATATCGCTATTGAGATGGCAGCAGCGCCGTGTATAGTGTGTCTATGTCTAGCACGAGCGCGTGATTGGATGATGTCGGCAACAGTAGTCGTTCGTGTGATTCGGATGGATCAAGGTTTGGTTACCTTAATCAAGCCGCGAAGTTTTTGCCGAGTTTGCTAATAATGTATGGGAACCCATTGACGAGGGAATAGGGCGACTCGCGAGTCTGTCTGCGCATTCGTATGTGCTCGATCGTGCTAGGAGCTTGCCAGCGAAGAATGTTGAGATGACCAGATGGCTTGGCTGGACGCCGTTAGCTCACCTGTGCCTGAGGCTGCAAGGTTCGAAAGGTGTTTCTGACAACTCCGCAGATTACATTCAATGTGCAGTATACGGCTAGCTTAGATAGATACAATGCCGCTGTTGTCAATTGAGAGTCATCATCATTACGATCAAGACAAGGTGCAAGTACATTACGTCGATGGCGGACCATACCTATGCCAAAATAGATTCGCTCACTGCAGGGATCCCACCAAGTGGGGTAGGTACCTGTGCTGAGGTCATCCGGGTTAGCTCGCTACACAAAGGCAGGTCTGGGCAGGATACAAAAGGAGTGTTGACGTACTATCGGTATCGGAAATGAAGATGTTATTACTAAGTATACATTGAATAGTTAGTAAATAACAGAGGAAAAGACCGGAGATAGCCAGGCCACATATGTATCGTTATAACTTAACCGATATAGAGATACATTTAGTAAAACAGCAAGGTACCTAACTAACATTAGGAGCCTGGATGTGGTGTGCTTGAAGCCCCACTTCACGTCGATAACGACACCGAGTTTTCAGGAGACAACACGCATAAAGGAAATCTTTTGGCAGTCACTTGAAATCTTCTATCATCAATGTATCAAAAGCCTGTAGGATTTATCCATTATCTGATAATACTACATGTGCCTATGCTCTATCAACAGAAACTCTTCCCATACCATCCAAGCAAGACGCTAAACGACCTACGACGGGTCATTATTTTCACTCGTCTCTAATCATCTCACATTCTGCCTCATTCTTGTGCTATGAGGATGCTATTTCCATTTCCAGCATTGTATTCGCACCCCCCATGTCAATGATGATAATCAACGTCGTATGTGAATTTGTACACTTTCAGGAAGATTTTCGAAGACCTTTCAGAGCCAGATCGCTTATGTGCGGAAACGACAGCAGTTCCTATGAACAACACGTCGAGACTGGGAAAGTTAAGGGAAATTTTCACATGCAAACAAGCCTGTTTCCACCATGGCAATTTGACAAAGGAAATTACAGAGAAATGACCGGTTTCAACGGCCTGGAACCTGCCGCCAGCGGGTAGCCAAGTCGTGGTAATATCGATGTGAGGGATGATTGTTTAGTGGTTATCTAAAAGAATCGTTCAAACGCTAGCCACTTCACTTTCCATGCAACTTCTCCTTGAGGTAAACCACTGCCGCATATCCGGAACAGCATTGGGTCGTCATGCCATGGGCACACCACGGGCACCTGACCATCGTGGTGATGGCGGCAGAAACACCCAGTGATTTGTCTTCCACGACTGAATCCGGCTTGGCCATGCACTCGTATACTCGCGAGGGCATATCGTGAAAGAAATGGCAGTTGCAACACTCTACAAGCATCTTGGCGAGCGGCTCTGCTCGACTACCCGCGGACACGGCGCTTCCAATGCTCCCGGATGAATTGTGCTGCGGAAAACGGGGTCGCAATGCCCTTGATGAGGATGCCGATGCCACAGAAACAGCCTTCCGTGCTTCCTGAAGATATGCGGCGCCCATGGAGGTGGGTGTTGACGAATCAAGGCCATTTGTGCTATTATTGCGAGACATCTTCAAAGCCGACTTTCGAGGCATCTCAGTGATGTCTGGTGGTGAGCTAGGAAGGCTGACCGAAGAGGCTACTGCGCTTGATTTGAGATGTAGTCGCTGCGATCGTGAGGGTTGTTGCGCGAGCTTTGTTGTAGTACGGAGGTCTAGGGCGGATTGTGTCCTTGGTGGAAATGGGAGCACATGATCTTGCCGATCTTCTTCATCGTCCAAATCTTTGCGAACAATATCGGCGAAGCTCACTGCCGTTGGCGAAGCAACTAGAGACGGGCTGCTCGATACTTCTGCGCCTCTGCTTGGTGTAGAAGCGGACTGCTGCTTGAGCTTGAGATCTTTGGCCGTAGCAACTTCAGTCCAATCATCGCCAATCAAATTGGCCCTTGGATTGGTTCTCCGAGGCGCGAGTTCTTCAATGCGCTCGGAGAGCTGATCCTCGGTACTCGTGCGAGATAATGCACTGTCAGTCTGTGACATGGATCCCAATAGTGCATTTTGTGAGGCTTCTAGGTCCGATATTGGCACTCCTTTCCGTGATTGCGGCCGCGAGCTATTCGGCGTTGTAGCAGACGATGGTGATGGCGGCGAGTCGTCGCAAGTCGAAGAGGAAGACCTCTCTGAAGTCGTACGACTTGGGTCAATTGGTTGCGATTGGATTGTGGATGTACTAATCATCTCTGTTCCGACCAGGACCTTCGCAGTCTTGGATGATATGCCAAGGCGTTCGAAAGCAGGTACGTCGCTATCAGAGAATTGAGAGGAAATAGCAGGAGAACCTTTCTTCTCTTGGCCAAACGACATTGAGCTCGTTTCTTTTGAGTTCAAACTAAATGCGTCTAGAGTTTTAAGGTCTCTTTCATTCGCCACAACTCTTTGCTTGTCATTGATACTTCGTACGTGGTCCTTTGGGACTCCATGTCCACCGTCTTCATCCGACTCCTCGGGAGATTGAAGTTGTGTAGACAGAGGTTCGTTGTCGCTAGGTAATCGCAAGCCGAGTATTGGGGGTGAATAGGACTCGCTGAAAGACGAAAAGTAGTCTACTTCTCGATGGGGCTGCAATGGTTGCTGCAATGCATCGGGTATGTCCCTGTCAAATGTGATGAGATCACCAATCGATTTTTCGACACCTATTCCCTGTCCTTCAGACATTTCAGATGCCGTCGCATTGTTATGGAAATCCGGACTTCCTAGACGAGAGGTTGTTTGATGAGATGTCGGGCGAATTGTTGATGTGTATGTATCGACAGACACTTGGTCATCCTCTGGAATATGCCCATCCACGATATCCAATCCGTGGTTTCGGTCAGACACCGCAGCCACCTTCGCTTCTCCTTGGGCTACCCGACCTGTGATTGATACATTTACAGTATTTTTATGAGGATTTAGAGGTCGATTGATTTCGTCTTTGTGATTGCGAGAGACAGTGTGTTTTCCACCCATCCCACTATCCTTCGGTACATCAATCATCAAACGATCGGTGACAGTATTTGACCTGGGTTGTCGATAGGGATGCGCTGCTTGAGATTGCTTCTCGTGAGCTGCGACCATAGCCATCATAGCATCCCGAGTAGAGGCCTGAGGGGCTTCAATTTGTACACGCCGGCTACCGGAAGGCTTCAACGCAGGGATTTCTTGGTCGACGCCGGGTGATTGAATGTCGACTTGACGAAGCCGAGGTTGCCGCCCACGGGGAGCGATATCCGGTCCAGGTTCCGTGTTCACTCTCCTAGGCTTTGGAGGAAAAGCAAAATCGAACTGTTGTTGTGGGTGCCCAAGGCTAGGAATGATGCTCTCCACAGGTTGTTCACTTTGGCCCGCAGGGTTGCCTTGCTCGACTCCAACAACTAGCAAGTTGTCATTATTTCTCGAATGGTCGCTGGTTGAGCCATCCGCTAAAGGCTGATGATAAAGATATGACGGCCCCCTGAGTTTACTCAATGTCGACGATAGTAGAGATTGTGAGCGACCAAGGCCGGACCCCATGGATGTATGTGCTCCTAAGCCCTTTTTCTCTTGTGAAGAGAGGGAGTGATCTGAGGTCGATACTACTGATCTAATTGATGGTGGCTTCTTCGACTTCAAGATATTAGGTTGCTGTACAGGAATTGTCTCATATTGGATACTGCGCAAAGGTTCGGCTTCATTGGCAAGGTTTTCAGAGCCCTTCGCAGTGTCCTTGCGCGCATCTATAAGCTTCTGAACTGCGGTCACATTACCGTGTTGCAATCTAAAACCAGAAAGAAAACCTTTACTTTTCCGTTTATCTTTTGTTGTCGACGCCGACTCAGCTGGTAGTGTTTGGCGCTTGACCAATTCACCGCGCATTTCAGTTGTCGAAGAGGAATTCATCTTGTTTGATTGTACCGAGGTGCCCAACTCAGGAGCTGAGATGGAGCGATCCGATACTGTTAGCGACCGTGCGGTGAATGGGTTGTGTGGGGGGAGCTTGCTCAAACGATTGCTTTTCCTTTTGGGAGCGGCGTCTGGTTTCTCTTTCGTACCCTTCCGATCGACCCCTTTCTTCTGTTGCTTCTTTTTGCCTTTCTTCTTCTGACTGTACTGTTCCCAGCTGGGAGACTGGCAAATGGAGGAATCGTCTGAGAGGTCTTCCCCCTCGGGCTCGGAGAAGGTCACTGTCTTAGTGCGCTCCCCTCCAAGCGATAACTCCTCAACGGATCCCTCCGGCCTGGTCATCACCTGAGCTGGCGATGGTGGGATGGATAAAGAAAGAGAGGGTAGCGCTGCGCTGCGGCGAACAGCCTTCATTATCTGGGTCTGGTGAGAGAGCGGAGGATAATCACTCGCACGCCGAGACCGTTGGGGAAGGGGGTGGGCAATAACTGAGGAGAAGGGAGCCCTTGGTGTGCTGCTTGTTGAAGTGGAAGGGTCATGATCATGTAGGATACGCTTCATCTATAATATGTGGTAAAATAGGTGTCTGTCAGCAATGGCGGACCTAATGCAGAGAAAAGGTACTGGTAGGGGCAAGGCGGTTCTGGAACGGGCATAGGTGGTCGAGATTTTAGAAGCGGCAGGGAGGGTTACATGCCGGGGGGAATATCATACCTTGCACATCTTCTCAAGCTCCAGCATGCGCACAAAGCTATCCGATCGCGAGCGCGGCGCTGGTGGGTCGGGACTCGGTTGGTGTACTTTCCTCATATTTGCCGATTACGCGTCCGAGTGTGGTCGATGGATCCTCCAATATAATTGCAATTTTTCTGCTCTTTTTCTTTAAGCTGGCCTGGTCCTGAGGTTTCTTATTTCGGCCCATGGGTCGTTTGGAGGAGCTGCAGCAGCTGGCGGACACAGGGCCGGGTGACCGTTGGATCAGGGTGCCGGGATTGGATCGGCGGTGCAGGCAAAATCTTTCAGACAATGTACCCTCGTATCTAATAACAACGGGGGCAGCACTCAGTCAAGGGGCTGTATGGCATGGATTCTAAGAGAAACAAAAGGTCCGGTAACCCTCTAATGTCTTGGCTGGACGGGTAGCTCTACCGTCCGTACGGCCGGCCTGTAGACGCAGAGGCAGAAGCCGAGACTACGGGGTCATGGGATGTTCGAGATGTCGACTATTCACGCGCTGACCAACGATGTGGCTGGACCTGGGCTGCTGAGCGTGGGGTACGTTGCCAGCGTCCACTATTGCATCTCAGTAAAGGACCGAAAAGGCAGTTGCCAGGAGGTTACCGTAGGCAGATGGAATACTATAGGCAGATGAGGCTGGCGCGATGGATGACGCACTTTGTCTCCTGCGCGCGGTATGAGGAGAAGAGAATGTCAAGTCAAGCGAGCGACCCAATAAGCGGACACGGGCAGTGAGACTCTGCGAGAGTGAACGACGAAAAAGAAGAGAGGAAGTAGCGAATGGACCATCACAAACACTCCTCTGCACCACTACTATTGCCAACCTACCGAACAGGCGAGGAGACAGATCACAGCATGTAGGTAATAGGTATGTAGGTAGGTAGAGAAGAGAGAGGACATCAGAAGAGGCAGGCCTGTTTGTTGTGTTCAGATGAACGAACGGCAGCAAGTCACGGAACAGAACAGGGAAATCACAGTCGACTGGCAGTACGAAGTAATGGAAAGTGATGATGGGTAACACAACACGAGCAGAAACCCTCTGTCTCTCGTCTTCAGCCTGGGGTGCCGGGTGCTTCAGGTACTGTAAGTGTGTGTCAGGTAGGCCAGCTACGGTAGCACCAGAGAGCTGTCCAGTTGGGTCAGGCTTCGTTCTCCCAGGTGGCAGACATTACGAAGTATTTGCCAACAGAATCAGTTACCTAAAATAAGAAATGCAATAGTATCATGGGATGGGATGAAGCAGGTAGCAGGTAGCACTCGCCAGCCTGTCCCGTCGAGGCGGGCAGGCAGGCGGTGCGTACCTGAGGTACTTACATAGGTATGTATGTAGTGACCAAGGTACAGTACCCAGGTAACGAGAGCGAGCGCGAGCGCGCTGTACAGGTACCAAGCTCATTACCTATTTAAGACTTAGGAAGTACTATTAGTAGGTACAATTACGATTGAAACGGGTTTAGCTGTCGGTAAATTCTGATGCGCTGGTCGTATTGTGTCCTGTACCTAGTCACTCTACATCAAAGACGCCTGTTCTCGTTGGTGGTAGAACGCCGGGGCGATAGAGTGCGATAGAGTGCAGTGGTGTTGGACATGGGCCGCCAATCGGCTGGTTGCTAGAGAAAAAAGTAGGGCGCACACCTGCACTGATGCAATACGAGAAGAGCAAGCGACGTGGCTGAGATTCCAGCGGGTGCAAACGAACATGGGACTACGAAGTAGGTAGGCCAGCCCGGAAATAGCAGATAAAACACCTAGCAGAGAAAGTAGCAGTTACATGTGCATGTGCATGTGCATGTAGGTATTTAGACCTACCTACACTGCCATGAGGTATGTAGGCCAGCATGATGAGGATTTAGGGGTGGGGGGGTATCATTGAACGGTGCGCTTAGTATAGGGAATATACATTACATTACATACTATACTATACTACCTACTCGAGATATGGATAGTGTGAAGTGGGCAGTTTGTCGCTAGTTATTTCTCAGACAAGTAAGTAGGTGGGTAGAGGCAGGCAGGTAGGTCGGGATGCAGGAAGTTTGCATCTGGGCTAAACTAGGCGCTTAGACGACAAATGCTAGATACTTTATCAATCTACCTACCTACATGTAGGTACCTAGTATGCGATCTGGCTGCACATGAAGCACGCAGGCCCAGAGCGAGCGCTAGTAGGGCAGAAGGTGGACGGGCAGGACGGAGCGTGGTAGGTAGGTAATTGGGAGCGAGATGCACCGCAGCCAGCCACTCCGCAATTCGGTGAAGCCTTTTAGCGAGGCACCGTTGGGCTAATATTTGCATCAATACATGATGCAAGAGGAAACCCGGGTTCGGGATTGGTACACTACACGTCTGTGCATAATACACGATGGGGACAGCAAAGCAGAATGAATGACTGGACCAGGAGGTGGCCTGAGTGAGTGTAACAACATGCCACGATGGAAGAAGAGAAGACAATGGAAAGATTGTCTACATATCTGCATCGTGCCTCACTTACACATAGGTATATACTACGGTAGCTACCCAAGTGGCTCCGGTTACTCAAGGTAGGAGGCAAGGTAAGGCACATGTATGTATGGTGGTGCGTAGATTTGGGTAGGTACCTAAGTATTGGCAACTTTTTTCGAGCATTCTGGGAATGCATACTTAGATAGTATTCAAGACACAGAATGAGACTGGGGGATGGTTTTACCATAATACCGGTATTACAATATCACAACCTTGCCTCTACCTAGTACCTAGGTAGGCACTAAGCATGTTGACAGAATACCTACGTGATTCTTTAGCAGAAAAAAACTTCCATGTTACTATGTAAGTAGGTACGGTAGTTAAGACCGGTAATCCCCGTCAAGATGGCCATAATAGGATATAAGAGCAGCGATCATCTGAAACATGCATACCTACCGTACTACCTACAGTAGTATGTACGGCCACCGTATGTATGCAGAGGCGTTGCCCATACTGCCCATATCAGACTCCATCAGACTCCATCTCGCTACCCCGGCCATCGATAGAATGCAAGTCTGTAGGTATTGGCTACATGGCGATCGTACGTTCTCACAGTCGGCACTCACGTACTCGGATACTTCATGATGAAAAACACACACACAGTTTACTCATCGATACCTTGGAGGTATTTACCTATGTGTATTATGTAATCCATGGCACCGGAACACGAATGACGGTGGGTGCATGTACCGATCCTTGAAACAACACCACCTCCGCCAATCTCACTCTGAATCCCATATTCCGAGCTCTTTGTTCCTCAGCATCTACACTACTGTAGGTAGTAGTGCTTAGTTAGAATCCACAATGAACCCATACACCACCTGTTAATATTTATTTATTTATTTTTCTTCGCATTGCATGTCTGTTGGGACTAATGTATACTTACTTCCGCACCTACTAGTATGTTCGTGCTAGTAACTAGTTACCTAGGTAGGTGCCTAGCACCTACTTCGTATGTTCGCCGAAGTTGAGTGGGCCTAGCCCGGCAGACGGAGGTGTTCCACAGCGGTAGTTACCGCCCGGTGGCCACGCTCTACTACTACCTAGGTAGGTATAGGTAGATCCTTAAGTAGGTGCCTACATGTACTTGTAGATACATAGGTAGGTACAGCATTAGCAACATTGAATGTAGTAAGCATTTTTAGTATAAAGACTGGTAGATTGATATGATTAAGCTTTGCTTTTGGTATTGGTATAGATTTCCAAGCAACGGGCGCACTACAATAGCAGTGCTTGTCGTCGGAGAATAAACTGCCCCTAACTTGATTCATTGCGTCACAATATTAACCATATTAGCCGCATGGTGGTCCCTGTCCGGTCCCTGTCCGGCCCCTGTCCCAGCGTCGCCCCCCGCCAATCCTCTACGACACCACACCCATCGCCATCTACCTAGATCGGTTGAACGTGCTTGCGAGCCAGCATGCCAGCGTGCCAGCCGTCCGCCAAGATCTCTCCTGCACGTCTCATGCAATGCAATGCTAGTCCACAAGAGGGAGAAAAAGCTGGAGACCAGGTGTGCCTGATCCTTGATCTGGTGCAAACCTCCCTCGCTCTCTCCTCGCTCTCGGGCTCATTTAGCGAGCAGAGGAAGCTGCTTTACCGAGCTATGGAGTTTTATGCAGACAAAATGCGGCGAGATGAGCCCATCGTCGTTGTATTGTGCGGTACCGGGGCCATCTCTAGATTGCATCGTTTCCAGGAAGCAGTAACCGATACCCCAGAATAATAAGGATCCTATTTTTGTTTGTTAAGCACGAGCTGATTACTACCTCGTCCCATATTAAACCAGGAGAGCTCACGGGTACCGGCACCAGATCGTCTCACAGTCTTGCAGTGACGAGTTCAAACACGCGATGGCAGGAACGTGCGTGAGAGAATCTGCCGTTGTGGCTCGTCGGCCTAGGTACAGGGTCGATGACGAGAGATGGCGCTGCCGGTAGCATCCTCGGTACCATTCTCCGGTATGTCGTGCAGCATTCGGGTTTTTGATCTCGTCATCTTAGCTGCCGCCTCAACAGCCACTACCTATAGGCAGCCTTTTCGTACTGTACGAGCCGAGTGCACAATACCTAATCAGCAGTCTACCATAACAGTAGATACCATGGATCAATTACTCCACCTATGCTAGGTAAAAGGATACCATCGCTAAAAAAAATATGCCCGTAATCGGCTCATCCATAACTTTGCACTCAGAAGTATTAGTTTCTTCATACGCAGAATTTTAGGGTCGAATCATGGCGAGTTAGTCGCCACCCTTATCCCTGGAGGATAATTCACGAAGTATAGATACTCAGCAAGGCAAGACAGCAAGGGGATGGCTAAATGAGTCCAGCAATCTTGAGCCGCCTCTGCTCACACCAACCAGATATAGACTAGGTATATCATGGACCGACTGACTGTAAATTCTCATTCATTCTCTTAGGCCGTCAATGCATCTAGATTACAAAAGCTCAAGGCGTTCAACTTGTCGGAGGTTAGACTAGTTATGCATTTCAAACCAAAGATATCAATCAAAAGCAAAAATAAATTTAAAAGAAAAAATAAAATAAAATAAATATAATTAAATATTGATTGCAGCTTTATCTTATCGGGTTAAATGTTACCGTATGTCCAGTGTGAAATCAGGTAATTCTTATAGAAAGGCCAATCAGCACCTCGACTGAGAGTCACATTGTCATACGGCCAAGACTTCAGAACCGAAAATAACCGATATTACTCCTAAAGAAAAGTGAGGCTATAAGCGATTAAATGAGAGCAATCTGTTAGCTATAGGAAGATTAACAGTTAAGGTATAAATGCTTAATAAAAGGAAGGGAATCATAAATTGTATAAGGCTTAAATAAATATAAATAGTTAAAAAATCTCCTACTTTAAGAAAAAGAAAAAGAAAGAGATTAAGGCTTTAAAGACCTTTAATAGATTATTAATAAATATAATTAAGTTCTAAGCTCTTTATAAAAGCTTTTATTATAAATAATTTATTATTTCC